TGGTGTTATGGTGTGTTTGACCCTAAATTAATTTTACGCAGGAATATCCCTTTAAATCAAGACATCAAGGTGTGACATTTTCTAAACCTGAAAAAAACTTATAAAAACAGTCGTCGCTCCAGCCAGTCCTCCTTCTTTGATGCTTCATCTACAGCTGATTCCCCTCTTTAGCATTCATATTAACAATGGTATTGTAGATATTTAAGATTAAAGACTTGAGCAAATTCTTGTAAAGCTTTTAAGGGTAAACATGAGGGACTCTTGAGTGTATGTGAAAACCAGAAGCTATAAAACTTTTTTGGCTAATATGATCAGTGAGTTCTTTTCACTCCAGGAACAGGCTTCATCCAGAGTTTGATATTCAGGATTATTTATACGTCCATGGCTGCCTTGAGAAGTTCTAGTAGCATTTCTGTGCTTAGCTAAGCCAGCTGCTCGCTCTATGATACATGTGATAAATGTGCTAATATCACTCCTGGCGGGACACTAACTTCTGTGTGTTGATGACAAATAGCACATCTGGCTAAATATACAACAGCAATAAATCACGGCTGTTTGGTCTCATTCTCCCACATGTCTAAATCCTGATATCCTTCTTGAAACACTATTTGACAGGTTACTGAACAAACTGCCTGCACCCGACTCTTTCAGTGACCTTTGACCTTCAGTATATGAGGCGGCACTGACCCTCTCTGTTTCCTCCGTGTTACAGCTCACATTTAAATTCCTCACCGGCATCCTAACCCTAACACAGAGCACAGACACATGTCAGACCTACACATGTGAAGGTTTTATTGAAGCAGATCTTTTACCGTACACGCACTGGCTCATGTGCAGGAATCCAGCTGAGGTTTGGGGACCACTTGGGTCAAATTTATTCTTGGCGTGGAGGTAAAAGGGAAACCCTCTGGGGCTGTTTTAGTCACAACGTTTCTGGAGATCTTATAGCAGGACCAGATGTTTCAGTTTGTGGAGACTCAAACTTTAGATTCAGGATTGTGGTTCACTCAAATTATCATATTCAAAATACACACTGTGATCATGTCAAGGTTGTCGGCCCTTCAGAGAAACTTGATACCGCTTTAAAAATTGCTCCATGCATAGAAAGAGACAGAGTGATGTATGTATGGGTATGCTAATTGAAAATCAAGAGGGCCTGAGTGCAGGAATTTGTGTAATTATGGTAACTTGGTGAACTTTGCGTCTTGATAATCAGCCCCTCCAGCAGACTAAACATTTGGAAGAAAGAGCCCTCAGATTGTAAATGCGGTTCAGGTTGGTGGGTCAACCTCCATTGTCCACGCTCTGATAAAACAAACTGAGTGAGGCTGTTTTTATCAGCAGGAAGTTTACTGTATCAAACAATGGGAGCATTTCAGCAAACTTCCATGCAACGCTAACAGTACGGGGAATGTTTTTGCACATATGTGAGACTCCACTCGTGCTTATAAGCCAATAAATTTGCAAAAACTTTTACAAACTTGTCTCATGTTTTACGGGTTTAAAGTACACTAAAAGGTTATTTCTTCCTTTTCAGGTCAGGCCTGTGACCAGTTTTTTTATCCTCCATTGCTCATCATCAAAGTTAGGGTTTATGTTCTCTAGCAGCTCTGTTTAGCATGTTGAGACAACTTACCTTTCTGCCACGCGTCTGTCAGCCACAATTAAGAGCTGCAGTTTAAGAAAACTTGAAGGTATTCACAAAACAGCCTTTCTTAAAAGTATAATATAGGGAAAAAAACATGTGCACTTCCTTTAGGGCTGTAAAACAAAGCAGCAAAGAGTGACTGAAAAATAATGCTGATGCAGAAGTGCAAAAACTGCAGATCGTAGAGTGTCCACTTGAAGCTTGATGCAAAAGTAAGAAATCCTTATTCAGCCACGTCAAAGTGCAGACTTTTACAGCAGAAATAAACATGTTTTCATTTACATGTTTGTTCATGTTGCTCATATCTTAATAAGCTTAATATGTTTGGCTTTCTTCCAAAGATCATAAACAGACATCAGTGTTTATTTGTGGTTCATGATCAGCTAAATATCCTCACAGGAGCTTTAAATTGAGTCAGTATTGAGCAAAAGCCCAATGGAGAGCACCACCGTGTTTAATACAGTCTATGAATAAAACAACATGGTACAGTTAGCTGCTGATTAGCTCAGCTTTTCAGTCTGGGTCAAGATGTTTGAGTTTGTTCACTCTAAGTTGTTGCAGTCTGAAAACAACGGCACCACTGAGTACAATTAGTGTGCAAACAATCAGCCAGTCAGCACACAGGCGGGACTTACACTGTTGTCAAGATGTTGTCAAGCGGTTTCAGGCTCTCCGTGGGAACAAAAGTTGAGTAACATGGAACTGCCTCGCTGATCAACTCTTGTGGGTCCAATCTGATTCTGTTTTAGTTTAGAAACAAGACCAGGATATGACTTTGCATACTTATTAGCTGCTGCTTACAATGGCTAAACTTTCAATCTTCTCCCCACTGATGCAGCCGAGTTCAGCTGCTCTTAGATCCAACTGTCTGAAAAATAACTTCATCTCCTGCTTTGATTCCTGTTTGTGATGCAGATGTTAAGAAACTCTCTGAGCAGCATCAAAGTTGCCCTGTGGAGATTTCTGGTGAACAAACAAAAGTTGTTTATACTCTCAAATGTGCATTATGCCGACCCTGGAGGACAAACAAACATGCTGGATGTATTTCCTTCCTCAAAAACTGAATTAATTCCTAAAATAAATAAAATAACAATAACAATAACATCTGGCTACTTGCTGTCTCTATCTTCACTGTCATTTTTTCTGGGGCATTACAGTGGGTCAGTGAATTAGTAAAACTACAGTGGCACTCACGTGGACCCCTGTGGCACTCCTTAATCCTACGACTAACTAAGACTCCAGAGGTTACATTTAGGGATGCTAAATCCACCTTACTTAACACTTTCTGTCAGCTTTTTTAATCATATTAAGTTAGTTTCAACTCTTTATTGAATGCAGGTGAATAATAATGAGAAACAAAACTCCCACGGTCTTCCATGCCTAACTGTCATTCAGCTAAAATATGAAGTTAAATCATTTTATTCTTCCCAGATTTTGCCTCTTTGGAAACTTTGGGAAAACCTCTCGACTTGGAGTAATGCTCTGAGAGTTTGGCAGCACACAGTATGAGTCTGTAAACTCTGTAAAAGTTGGCCTGAAAGGTCACTTTCACAATTCTTATCAAAAGCCACAAAAATCCCCCAGACTCAGATTTCTGATAGAAAGACTTGTACTTTTAATCCCCTTCAGTTTTCCCTCAAACTCCTGCTTCCCTCGGCTCTGCCTCTCTGTGACTGACTGCACATAACTCTCCCTGTGTGACTGAGGTGATGTATTCTTTTCATGTACAGAGGAAGCGCAATATCCTGTTCCCGCACGGCCTCTAATACCACACTGAGGCAGACTGGCCCCCGGCCTCTCAGGGGCCCGAGTGCTCCTGAAACTAAAGCCACCGGCTCTCTAAGACCGTAATATATGAGGTGTGTGTCTGTCTGTGCCTCAGACTTCAGCCTGTTACATGTCAGTAAAAGCTGGGACTAATGGGGTCCCTGCTTTGAGGGCACTGGGAGGACTGGTTCTCATTTTAGAGGCTTGTAGGCTTTTATTGAAAAAAAGTATTTGCCTGTTGAGCTATTGTTGTGAAATCTAATGTTTTGGAATCTCATGAGATCGCTGTTTCCCACAAAAAAAATCAGCATTTTTTTTTATCAATACAAAATTAAATCTTTAGCAGTAGCTGATCATGAGACTGAGGACAGAGAATAAAAACAACTCTATAAAGTATCATAATTTTTGTGCTGTTTCATGGTCATTCGTGAGGGATTTATGCACTGATTTTATTTCCTATGTCTATGTAGATTATCAGGCTCTAGTGAAATTTTCTTACATATTTCACAAATGTAATATGTGCCCTGCTTTATTTTGCTGTCTGGAGTTGTAGTCAAGTTTCTATCATGACTCCTAATAATTATGGGTTTAAAAGGAAGGATACAGTGGCCAAGAACTGCCACTGATGCAAAGAATGCAAAAAAAAGAAGCCACAACGGAAGTTAACGACGAAAAAAAGCGAAATTAAAAAATAACATTTCCACTTACTTTTTTACTCATCTTCTCGCTGTTGTCTTCTGTGCCTCGATCGTAAAACATCGGTGCATCATCATAACTGGTCCCCGCAGCTCACTTCCATTGTGCATTGTGCCTTTTTAATTGCATCCTTTTATTTTCGCAGTAAGTAACTTTTTTTTTTTTTTTGCATTGTCACTTTTTTTGCGTTGTTAACTTCCATTGCACTTTTTTTTTTCTTTTTGCCTGCACCGTTTCTTTTTTTTTTTTTTTTTGCAGCAGGCTTTGGTTTCTTTTTTTTTTTTTGCATCAGTAACTTCCATTGCGACTTCTTTTCTTTGCATTCTTCTTTTATTTGCAGCAGTTGCGGTTCTCAGCCACCATAGGAAGGACGATGATAATAATTAAAAAAAAATCTATCAAAATCATTAAACAGAGGCATTAAACTTCCTTGAGCAACAACTCATTTACCGTGCTTCCTTTGAAGGTGATGTGAGTTTCCAACATGTTTTGTGCAGACAGGAAGTATTTTAAAGGCCCTTCACCACCTGCTCCTAATTAAAAACTGTCCTTCATTAAGGACAACATGTGAGCTCCTTTTGGCAACCTTTTGCAGGATACTTTGACTGTAAACATCAATGCAAGTAGCTTTAAATTAATCAATTTAAATCACCGAGCACACAGAGAAAGCCTTTTAACATACACAAAGTTAAAGTATGTTCTTTAAGTTGCTCATGAATCTTGCAGCACCCGAAGGTAACACACGTACAGACACACACACTGGTTCACAGTCAGTGGGAGGTCTACCTATGTGACCCTGCAGCTACAGCAGGCTGATGAGCCCTCCTCCTCCTCCTCCTCTTCCTCCTCTGTGCACCGTCACTGGTTTCCCTGGAAGCCAAGAGAAACCAGTCAGACGGTCGTGCGCCTCCGGTTCACTCGCTACAGGATCCGGGCGCAAACTGGAGGAATGCGTGGCGAAACACCAAGTTTGTTTGGATTTTCACCGAGGAGGAGTGTCTTTTAATAAGTGTATTTTCACACCTGAGCGGATCTCTCCCTCCTGGAGTCAGAAATGTCACACCAGCAGCGGGTCGTCCAGCTCGCCGCCGCCTCGCTCGCCGTAGTCCTCGGCTTGGACGAGGGGAGCTTACACGCCGGCGGAGGGAAACTTAATGGCAACTCTGCGAGCGGGCAGGAGATTTTCGCGGACTTTAGGGCGCAGAACTTGCGCAGTTTTTGGAATAAGAGACTCGTCAAGGCTATGACTGAGGTGTACTTTCAGGGATGGATGGAAAATCTGGTGCTTTTCATTCACGGGAACGCGAACAACCTGGAGGTGCTGAGGGAAGCGTGGATGCGCAGGGCTCTGAGGTCACCTAAAGGATTTATCATCAAAGCTGTCGGTATGTAACACCAGTCTTATCAATGAACTCCTATCAGTCATGATCAGAAGTGTGATTACTAACCAGCTGATTCGAGTGGAACAACTTTTCCTGCTCACCTGAGTTCACAAAGTTAGTCTGCAGTGCAAAACAGGAGAGTGTGGTAGCCGATGACACAGGGAATAAAAACACTGTAATGAGCAGCTTTGACTCCCATGCAAAAAATTAATGTGGTTTATTTTACTGAAAAGGATTCCTTAGTGTCACACATTCAGCAGATAGATAGATAGATAGATAGATAGATAGATAGATAGATAGATAGATAGATAGATAGATAGACTTTATTGATCCCAAACTGGGAAATTCTCATGTTACAGCAGCAAAAAACACAAAATAAAATTAAATATAATAAGTATGTACAATGCTGACTAAATATATACAATAAATACAGACTGAATATACTAAACACCCTAAGAGAAAAAAGTGAGATATGAAAAAAGTGGGCTATTGAAATGAGTAATATATATGAAATGCGAAATATACATATATACATATACAACATCACAAGACAGAAATGCATAAAAGAAGTAAGTTGGACAAAACTGAACAGAGTTTAACTCTGTTTTCTAGTCATCTGTGGCTGATTTTATTCATTTCTTTCATACAAAAATACCTCCAATAAGTGGCATTATCCTATCACTTCTCTCTATTAAAATATCATTTTAGTAACCTCAGTGTCAGGGCTTGTCTTCTCTTCCTTGCTGCTGTTTGTTTTAGATTGCTCTGGCTTGTCTACTGTGTGTGATGCGCATAAAAACTAAACCCCCTTCCAAGTAATTAACTAGAAACCGCAAATCGTTGCCATGAACAGTAAAACTGCTTCATCTACAAATTTCAGACACCTCAACTTTTGCATGAAGGATCTGTTTCATTGGTATTAATACAGCCTTAATCTCTGCCCCCCTTTGCATTATTGTCTTGTGTATTTAAGAGGATTTCATGATCACCAGCGTCTCTTTCTTGGCGACAGTGTGATATATTTACTAAAGCTTGTTAACAAAGCTCGGTAATTAACCTCAAATGGCTCTTATCCTCTGGCTCACCCTCACAGATGTGTTTTAAAGCGCATAACTGCACAGAAACAATGAATGGAAACCTTTATGTTGCCTCTTATAGCGTGATCTCATGGGCTATAAATGCATGACAGAACCTGCTGCTGGAGAAAATGACAACCGTGCACGAGTCTCAGAGCCTCTGACAGTGTTATCGAGAGCTACACCAGGTTGTTCACATTTATGGGAGACAGATGCTACATTTTCAGCGCTGCAAGTGAGGAAACTGGTTTAATGTTTCTGCAGTCAAGCACCACCCCCATTGCAAGAATTGCACCAGTGAAGGATGCAATAGAGTTGGAAGCTGTTTCTTGAGTTGAGCTGCTGCAGCTGCTTTTTGGTTGTTGAAAATGCGTCCCCGCAACACACGCTGGTTCTGAGTCGCCATCAGGTCCAAACTCCAACCTTCCAAGATTTCATTACTCTTTAAGTGTTATTTTTCTGGATGCACCCCTCGCTCCCGTTCAGATTGAACAGTGTGCAGACAAGTGAAGGGAGGAATGTGGAGTGAAGGAGAGGAAGAAGAGACCACACAGGGGGAGACGTGGGAGGGTGTGGAGCGATGGAGGGGTTGGGGGGAGGAGGTAGAAGCTGACATGTCAACCTGCTGTGAGACATTTTCTGACCCAGAGCGCCAACTAAGCAAACAAACAAACTGCATGTGAGCCAAAAGAGCTGAGCCTCGCACCGTACTTTGACTTTTATTCACTGCGTCTTAGACCCTCCCATCAGAGATTCACAGAGAGATCTGAGATATCAACACTGGATCAGCTGTTTGTGTCTGCACACTTGGGTATTCATTGTAACAAAAACTCAGACAGTAACAGTGTTATTTTCTCTGAGTGGGTCCTCCTTAGCTCTGGGAATAGGGCGACACAGTTTAAGAGAACTGAAACGCAGGATCTGACACTTAAAGTACTGTTGATGATCAGATAAAGTCAAACTTTAAAGACCTTGTGAGAACTTTTTGGGGTCGTACCGTTTCTTTTTATCATCTTTCTTTAAGTTTCCATTTTGTCAAAGATATCCCACTCACTAAAGGACACTCGTCATCTATCATCTGTCTTATTTTGATATTTATTTGTTGACTTTACGATTTGATAGTATGATCTCAACTGGTTCAGCTGTACCCTGCCTTATATTCACTATCTTAGCATCCTTACATACGGCTGTTTGTGTGTGTATGTATATGTGACTTATTTGTTTTTATTTAGTTTTTAATGGACTGTAAAGCACTTTGTGTTACATCCTTTGTATGAAAAGTGCTTTATAAATAAGATTTGATTTGATGATACGATACAATATGATCAGTTTTTTTTGCCCCCCTATGTAAATTGTCTTTAACTCAAGTGCCCCTCATATTAAGCTTCCTCAAAAGTATACTTAAGAATTTTTTTGAAAAGCCAAAAACCAAACACATGCAAATATGTTTGATTTTTACGTCATTGCGGAGGAAAAGTCTTTGTACTTCTCTCTTCTCATCTTTGCCTTTGAATGCCCCGCAGGTGTCGATTAGTTGTTGTGTTTGAGCCTCACACCCGAAACTTGTAAGCAAACACGTCTGTGTGTGGACTTGTCACCTCCTTCTCCTCCCTAACAAATCTTCCACCTCACACTGCAGCAATTTGTATGGAAATCAGTGCTGGCAGCCTGTCAGAGGCTGGTTTACTGCCTCCTCACTGAGGATCGGTCAGCAGTGAATCACCACGCGACTGCCTGCAGACCACTGCTGCTTTTTTTGTTACCCAGGATTGATGTCCCTCCAGTTTCATGGCCAGCCAGGGAGTGTGGAAGTCAGACCCTTTGGATTGATATCCAGCATGGACTCAGAGGCCTTGACATTGTCGTGATATAAATATGTCAGCTGGAAAACAGAAATGTTATGAGTTATGGGCTACAGTGAATTTCAAACAGCCCTATTTCCTTTCTCCAGGTCAGAGCAAGGTTGGGACGTGACTTTACTACGAAGAGGAGATTTTTTTTTTAATGAAGGGTAAAGAAACCAGTTTAAAAGATTAGCTAAAAGTTAACAGATGTGGTTTGAATTAGCGTAGAAAAAGAAACCAGATTTAATCATTAGATGCTGGCTCCTCATTCACCCTGCCTGATTATCAGAGCCTGAATGAAGACAGACTGCTCTGTCAGCCATCACTCGGTCTGTTTCGCTGCATTTTAGAAGAAAGAGGTGATGAGGAGGATTAATAGAGGATTGGGATGGTGGTGAGGTTAGGCAGAGCTAAACAGACAGGGTGAGGAGTTAGTGTGAACAGGCCGAGTTTGTTATCCTTGTGGGAATGGGACTCACTGGTACTGAGCTTGACCTTTACACTTTAACTCGGTAACGTCTGCAGGGTGTTTCTCATTCTTTCCCTAATACTCTGAAATTATTTCCCCATCCCTCTTCCTCTTTTAAATTGTTGTTTTTGTTTAAGTTTCACTGTAATATATTTCCATTAATGATAAACCAGAGTACAGAGTGTTTCCTGCATGTGAAGAGCAAATAAAAGTGTGTTTACATTTACTGTGTGAGCCAATACTCACTTTATTGTAACCTGGATGGAGTTTCATACAATATTTAAGTTTCAGCTCGTATCTTGTTCCTTTTTGATGCTCATTTGGACCACAAGAGACAAAAAATAGCTCTGACTGACACTTTCCAGGCTTACTAGGTACTCCTGTGAAATCCAGAGGCTTCATAATGACTGTGAGCAGGTCCTGAATTATTTAGAGTCCCACTATTGTCCCTGCAGCAGGATGAGCATGGATCCAAGAGCTGAAACATTTATACGGAGTTAGCCAGTGGTGTAATGAGGTGTCCTGTGTCCTCACTACAACTGGCCTCTGTAAACTGTCCTCTTGAACATGGACATGAATGAACCCTCTAAACAGACCGATCACTTTCATTGAGAAAAGTTGATCAATAAGAGGCGTAGTACGGTAGATCTGCCTGTGTTTTGTAAAGGGGTTACAGCACATCTATGAGGGACTTTTTCAGCCAAGTTATCTTTTCAATGGTATGTTTCATTTAACTCACCATACCATGTGAGGCATTCCTGAGATGCTTCATTTACTCTTGAGATCATTTCCTGAGTTTGCCAGCTCAGAGCGCCTCGTTCCTGCTCTTTACTTGAAAGTGTCCCACTTTCACACTGGGGGTGTCTCCTTTCATGAGGGTGTTTTGTCAGAGTCTCAAAGCGGCTTCACTAATGGTCATAACTCTTCCAGATGTTGGCTTATTAACCATGACACCCCCTCGCAGGGCCCTACCAGTTTTAAATGGCCCACCCTGTCCTAACTAAGCTGCGCGGGTCAAAGGTTACAACCTCCTGCCTAACAAGCCACCTTAAGGTCACGCAGCTTCAGAGGGCTTATTAGCACACAAACACACGAATACACATCAATACAGTATTCAGGTGTTCCTTAATACTCACTGTTCAGCATTGTTAGAGGTTTATAGCAGTGGTTCCCAACAGTTTGAGTCTCACACAGGCCTATATTTTATTCCCATTATATTTTATGTAACAGTGGTTAACACCATTTTTAAAAAGATAATATTGTTTGGTAACACTTTACAATAATCTTAACTTATAAATGGTAAATAGAATTAAAATTTTGAATTTATTTTATTTGTCTTATACAAAGAAAACACCAAATCATCAACAACAATAATAAAACACAACCATAATTGTTCAAGAAGGGACAGGAAGAAGCAAATGCTTATCTTGTCTGGACCCCTTCTTACCATGTCATATAACTACGTTGGGATGATGATAATAACAGTAATAACAAAACATATACAAATACATATATAAATACAAATCATGATAATAAAAAGTAATTAGAAAACACGTGAGTTGCTAATAAACATATTTAAAAGGCATCATGCACAATAGAGAGTAATTAAGAAAGACAATGAATAATTATATTTATTAAATCAAATTTTGATAATTTTGTACAAGGAGCTGTATAGACCATTTATAAATGGTAAGCAGATAGTTTATTAATGTTTATTAATGTTTAATCATCATCTATAAATAGCATAAAGACCATTAATGAATTATAAATTTTACAATTTTAAAAACCTAACCCTAACTTTACAATAACATTTAAGTAACGTTTATAGGTATTTTATAAACCACTTATTAATCATTTACAAAGTGCTTCTGACACACATTTAAATCTAGATGTTTTACAACCAACATTTAAACCCTATATAAACCTTAATTATTCTTTTTTGTCAATGATGATTAAACATTAATAAACTATCTATTTACTATTTATATATTAACTTGGGAATTTGGGAAAGCTTGCATTAATACAAGGCTACTAACCAGTCCATTGCTGTCAGCTAACTCTTTAGTAAACTATACCAACTGCTTTTTTCTAGGCTTACCAAATATTTAATTATTCTTTTTTAATTGCCTATTTCCAGTTGCATTATTATACTGGTCTGTATTATATTCCTGGTCACTGAGGAGGGCAGCAAGGTACACATTTGATTGAGATCAGCTTCACACAGCTCGGTCATACTTATTCAAACTCATGTGATAGTTAAAGATAAACACTCTCCAGCTCCCTTGGGGCTAATACCACAATATTAATATAATAACATTAAGCTGTTAAACTAAATATACTCAGACGTTTTCCATGGAAATGATGAAGAGTCTGAATTTTGACAGCGGTTTTCTTGCGAAAACAGAGGTGGAATGTTTTTCGAAACCTTACCCCGAATATTACACCACATGTGCTTGGACTGAATCGTGCGGTGGTCATTTTTCTGCTTTTTGGTCTTGTTCGATCAAAGTTCATTTAGTTTTATTTGTGCAAAATAAACAGTTTACTGGAGACAAAATGAATTGTATCGTGAACAGGTTTCAACGTGCGCCTATCCGAAGAAAATCAGTGTTTTTAAAATGTACATTTCTTTCAAAATTCAATCTTTAGTACAAGGTAGTTAATTTTGAAAACCATTTTACCAGTGCCAAGGGTCTGTCACTGCATTAAAAATGTACTTTGTGAAAAATATGGGTCTATATGGTAAAGGTATGAGAATCCCTGACCTCTGTTCCCAGACATGACCTTCCACATGTGTGTGCACACCTCTCAGCACATCATTTGTCAGCCACATCCTTTTCCAAGAGCAGGAAGCTCACCCCTTGCGCAAATCAGGCATGTTGCCCTTTTTATCGACCCAAATATTGGGCTCACCCGTAGCAGTGGGGTGGAGCTGTGCCAGCAATAACAGTTGAGGAGTTTCCTCCGTATCCCTCAGCTTATAGACCCTGTCAGCAGCTGCTTGGGTTTCCCATATGGGATTTGAATTCATTCACTCTCTAGGCAGACAAATGGGTCGACATGAAGTGAAGATATTTGCATTAAATTCTGTGTTACTATTACTCTTCACTTTCCTGACAGGATGTTTTCTTTGCTTCATTTAGCAGTGACAAATGCACTGGTATGCTAACATTGGTTCAATGATAGCAGAGTGCCGTGTTATTGTAGTTTCAGAGTGAAAGATTCTTTCAAAGACCTGGACTGAGCAGCATGCTGACCATTTAGAGTAAATTAAAAAGCAATGGATCATATAGCACACAGTGGACAGGGGCTCAGGTCTAAATACTGGGATAACAAACGCAGGAATCCACTGCAGCCTGAGCTGGGTTTAACAAGAGGAAATAGGTTTCATCTGCCAGCAATAACTGCCATCACTCTTGATTAAGGGGTGTGGATCTACTGGAAACCCTCTTAGATTGTGTTCATATGTTTTGGTGGCGGGGTGCCACAGGGGGGTAAAGCCGCATGGGGGACAGAAGATAATACCCAGACTGAGACATAGTTATGGAAACCAGACACTAGGGCCTATTTCTGAGCAAAACAATCAGTTTGAAAGTACAATATACAAGAATGATTTAGTTCATTATCACTCAAATAGAAAAACTAATTAAAGTTTACTAACAGCTTTAACACAGGACCTAACACGGAGCCTTGGGGAACACCTGTCCAAGACATTCAAGTCTTAAGTATAAGGCAGCAAGGTAGTTTGACAAACTGAACTAAAAAACTACATCAAAGGGGTGAGAGTTAACAACATTAGGAGGTCGATACAGCCATGTTAAAGTGTCTATCTTTACAGCTGAGAGAGTTAAGTATAAATTAGCATAACTAAGGCCCGGTTGATAGACGGGCTTGCCTTTCTAGGTTAACTAAATGTTAGGTTGAACCAACATTTCCATCATGACGATCTCAGAGAGACTCCATTCATGTTTCATACAGTTTATACTATAGACACATTAGGGACTAGCTGAGATAGTAATGCACTTTGTTTTGACCCGAAGTCAGTCTGATTTGTCCAGATACTAGAATTATATTGTTTTCTAAAGGTTTAGCAGAAAATCTGGTCAAGACTAGAAGCATTTTGTTTCTGGACTTAAGTGTGACCTTTGACCAGAAGTGAACCTGAAATAGATTATTTCCACAAAGGGTCTGATTTTTGTACCCATTCATACATGCGACCTCATGCATTTTAAAACGAGTTGAACAAACAGCTGCTTTGTGCTCTTTATTAAGACCTAAAACCTGGATCAAATAAATCTTTTGGGGTTATTCAGTGTTGATGTTTCTGGCTACTATAATAACTCTTGGAAGTGATGAAGGTTATGTGTTTATTTAAAAAGTCTAGTGTTATTAATAACTAATCAAGAGTGAGATAATTACAATAATCATGAATTACTTCACAATGGGAAATAAAAAGTTTAGCCAGAATACAAGAGGAACCAAGAACAGCTTAGGGGAGTTTATAAATCCCTACTTGTATTAATTTTAAGCTTTTGAGCCCAAATTATATTTTTTAAAGGATTTTGTGCCAGTAGGTCATTAAAGAAGCAGAAAAACTTGGTTTTATATAAACAAGTACAAAATCTCCTCTTTAGTTTCACTAAAACACGCCATTATAACAACATAGAAACAGTCAGTTTTGTTGCTCATATTCTGATTTGCTTTGTTTAGTTATTTAGAGACATTATTGTAAATTTCTGTCTGTTTCATACCCAGTTCAAAACACCACATAGAACTTAAAGAGAAATGGGTAAAAAATGTAGGCATATTTACATCATTGGGACCCTATCCAGGCATCAGGTGGATTGTGGGTAACGTTCAGGTTCCTGAAAGCAGACAGGAGCCAGAAATGTTGGGGTGTGTCCTGCTCAGTCTGCAGAGGTTTCAGGTGAAGAGATGGGAAAATAAAGTGCTGTGCTTTGAATCCACTCTCCTGCCATTACAATGTGTTGGTATCAAGTAACACTTTGGGCTTTGCAGTAAAAAACAGGCCTGCCTACCTGCACATTGTTACAGGCCCTCTGTTAAACACTTGGTCGGGTGTATTTCCTTTTTCACAAGAACATGATAACAGGGTTTTTTTCACAGCTCAGCTCCTGGTATTTTAATGTATGAGGTCGAACACAAACCCAGTTGTTTTTTCCTGTCAATCAGATGGTGAAAACACGACAAAGTGGCATTGCAGCTGCAGGTTTTTGTGGCACAGATCTGTAGCAACCAACTCTGCCAGTGTAACGATGTTTTTACCCCCTTTAAAACTCGGAGTCACACTTGCTCTGCACTTTCTTGCTAACATGTTAAATGTCAAATTGTCGGGTTTGAAAAAATGTGTCTCCAAGGCTATAGCTTCACTTCTTCTGCGGTTTCTTCCTCTTTTCTGGTTTTGTATTGAATGTGGAAGGTCACTATAGTAAGGGTTTCCATGGTGATGAGTGTCAACACAAAGCCTGTCTGTGTTTCATGGGTTGAAGTTTTAGCTCACGAACCCTCTTCAGTGAAGCAGTTTTGACTTTCTCACATATCTGTTTTTATATGTAATGTTTGGGGCATTAAAAATTCAGCATAAATATCCTGACAGTAAATCTAAATGACTTGAAATGGTGCAAAAAAGATCTGCAGGTTTTTTCTAGTAAAGCCCGTTTAACTCCAAACTTGCAAAGACGGTCCAGATTTTAGTCTTTTCCCTTCAACTTTGCTTAATATTTAAACACAAGTAGTCCGACACACTGTCCAGCCAATGGGTCTGATTAAATATTTACCTCTTACTTAAAGGTCTGAGCAGGTTGTGTTGTGAACTAATCAATAAGTTGTAAAATAAATGATGACTCAGACTTCCTGGTCAAATTTGTGTGCCAAATGTATGAAGATGGGTTATGTTTATTGCTAACCGTGGATATATTGTTGTTGACTTTATACTATAGTGTTAATGGCAGTGGCTGCAGCATGTATTTCATTGCAGCCCAAGTGGAGGGACAGGAAAGGGCAGTGTTGTTGTTAGTCTGGGCGAGGTTTGCTTGTTGGGACACTCGGGGCTGTGATTGCCTTCTGAAGGGATCTTTTCACTCAGTTTATTGGGCCATTTAGCTGCTACGCCCACTCCTGTGTGTCGTATAGGACTGTAAGACGCAGGCTCGTAAAGCCCGTTTTTTAAAGTCTGATAAGCGCGCACACACACACATGCACACATAAGAGGGGCAGGGAGGGGTCATGTAGAGGCCCGACAACAATGGGAGGTGATAGCGGGATTCGGGACATTAGTTATAGTCTGTGTCGCCTCATGTATGAATGTTTAACATTGTCTCAACAGAGATTTGACTCAGATCTGTCCTCTTTAACCTTGTAGATCCACTGGAGTATGTCCTTTACAAGGTCTCAGTTTAAGGGAGAAAGGGGGGGATTTTGAAATTTGGGCAGGCTTCAAGTTTATGTTGAATGCCGTGCAGTGTGTCTTTAATGAGGGAGAGAGGAGATTAGGCTGTTTGCTGGAGCCTAAAAGATTAGACAGAACCAGGATGAGATAAGATATAGTGTGTCTGTGAGTGTGTGTGTCTCAGAGAGGCCCCAGAGTGAGGGATTATAGCATGATGTTTCAGTTTAGATTTTACCGGAGATAGTGTGGATGTGAGAGGTCATGGGTGGGATCCTGTCACATGTTGCGCAACCTTTTTCCTCGCCCGCGATCGAATACATACGAGAGTAACTTTTATTTACTTTAGGGTGCAGGTGTGTGAACTGTGCGCCCATGCTCTCAAACCCAGACAGTCACAGCTGTCACAAGCAGGATTTGGCGAAAGCTGCATTTCAGGACCTCATACCCGCAGCTTACACCGCTTCAGTCGGCATCACTCACCACCCAGAGTCCCCTGTCATACTGAACGATGAAGGTTTCAATTTTCAGAGGTTAAATCAGAAAACCAGAAAAGCTGACACAACCCATGATCCACACTCTGTGTTTGCCTTGAATAAATATACTGTGTTAACTGCTGAAGGGGAAGACTGAGCTGAAATAACAAACAACACAACCATTACTCTGTCAGCTGCATAATGTCTCTGAAAATTACATCAAATCAAGGTGCCAAATTTTCAAAATCCACAGTAGAGGGCAAAGTTGAGCTGACTCAAACATCATGACCTGTATCAGCTGATCAGTGCACTTATATGTGTCACATCCACAAATAGAGCCAAAACAAATGGGCACTACTTCAGTCAACATTTACCCTCTTAAAGCTCCTGTGAAGATTTTTTCGTCTGTGTCTCTGTTTACAGAGACAAAGCAGTCTTTGCTCCTTTTGTCCTCAACATGCTTAAGTATCTTCTAATAAAACAAGATCTTATCCTGCTGACTTTTGACAGTCAAAGAAACCATTTATTGTGAATATTTTATATGTAAAGTTTAAGAACAGAACTGTTTCTGCAGCTGCTTGGCTGACACCGATCCTCTTGCCCGGTTTCAGGCATTAAAATAACAGAAGACCTATAAAAATTGTCAGTTTTGCTGTTGATTATCTTTCTTGCTTTTGTTTGTCATAAAGAGGCATAAATATGAATTTTGGTCTGTTTCATAAACATAAAAGAACTTCTCACAGGAGCTCTAAATACATAACTACTCTGCAAAGTTGATCCTATCTACTACAGCTGATCAGAGTTGCTAAGCTGGCTGGAGCCTGCTGAGCTTTTGCATCATTGAATGACTCAAGTGCCACATGTTTTTTTATACTTTGCCCATCATATTGCAGTAATAATAAATGGAAGGATATTTCCTCCCTTGGTGCAGTAAAGATAATCTAGAGATGGCACGACATTCAGAATAAGACTTCACTTTCAGTCTGAGTCACAGCAGCTGATGGAGTCTCCGCACTGTACTGTGCACTGTATGGTGTATAAGTAAGTTCTTTTTAGAGACTTGAGGTAATGCAATCACTTATGAAATTGGACTCATGTGGCTCTGAGAGCAGCTAACGACACAGACATGTGAATACATGTGGCATTGATCAGCGGCCGCTGCCAGAGAGATCTCAGAGGGAACAGAGGGAGAGGGTCTGAGTCCGTCATCTCCACAATCTGAGCGCTCAGCTGCAGGCCTTTTCATTTTAATACCCCGGGCAGATTTTTTTCTTTAATGCAAAGTTAATAAGTGGGGAATATGTGCACATTTATAGTCTATTTGAAGTAAAAACAGGGGTTTTCAATCTTTTTTAATGCTGTTGAAAGTAAGCCCATTCAAGTTTAGAAGTGATTTTCTCTTTTATGCCAAACTGACTTATTGTATGCCCAGCCAGTGCTATTCTGGCTGTACTTTTAGAAGTAATTGTCTGACGTATGACATTTAAAAACAAACTTTAGTCTTAAACTTCATTAAAAAAACCATCTGCCTCCACATCTGCTCATTGCATGCAAGACACAGTCTGTGCAGTTGACATATCCCTAGTTTTATTGATCAAACTTAATGGATCAGCACCCCAAATAATCTGAGTTGTCCCAACGATAGGGACAAGTCCAGTTATCTGTATAACATGAATATACTATTTCATCTTTACAAATCATTTGACAGAAAGCTGAGATGTGATATTCACCTTCACCTTCCTGCCTCACACATTTATAACCCAGACTTGATGTTAAAAATGTATTTTCTTCAATTTCAACATGAGAAAACTCTGATAATATCATCATGACGTTACCAAGATTATTTCCATGACCTTAACAATTTCCCCCAAACAGAAAAGGACCAACTCTAAAGGGCAAACACTCTCTTTCTATGAACCTCTGCGTCATTTCCTATTTGTTAAAACTCTTAGCATTTGTCTCCCTCCCTTTTCCCTCATGGCACAGAGTTTGGTTGCCATGGTACGGAGCTGGGTGTTCATTCAGAGTATAACAATGAGTGTAAAGTCAGTGGCCTGGTCTAAGATTACACGAACACAGAGGTCTGTTTCCCCTTGAGAGAAAACGGTCACAACAGTGAGCCTCCTCAGCCGTCATGCCTGCTGATGTTAGACTCAATAAACACAAATCCTCTTTCTGTCGCCACTTTTCCCATAAATAAACTACTCTGGGTGATTTTCTTTCATTTTTTATAACTTTGAAATCTCACTCCGCTGTTAGACAATTTGAAGTAAATGTTTTTTGCAGGGGAGTGTCCAAACTTTTTTTGTCTAGGGTGGCCAATCCCAGGTACTGACCTAAGCAGGGGTGGCATGGAGTATTTGTTTGCATACATACACACGAATGTATATATTTAAAAAACCTTTAAAAAGTAATAAAACAGAGTAGTAACATTAAAATCATCCACCCTTCTGGACACACCCCTGGCTGTGTGGGCATGCATTTCTGCTAAAGTCCCTTTAAGAGTGTAAATCATGCTAGCAGGTGTCCAACAGGATATCCTGCTTAAAACCAGGACATGAGTAACACCTGATCCCCTAAAACTGCCTACCATCTTTTTAAGACAGTAGTGTTTTCATATCAGTTTGTGATAAAGACTTCAATTTTGTGCCAGCCTTTCCTCTGACCCCCCAGTATCCTCACTGGCCTTTCCCCCTGTTTACAGCAGTATTAAGTGGTTGCTACGTGGACGATGGGCCAGACATTCCTATAGGAAGTGAACAACAATGAGGAGCCAAGTCGGCAGCACTAATTCACTGCCCAGGGAGACTCCTATTGAGATATCCGCTCTAAGGTTTAGTCAGATTAATGTCTTCTGTCGGAGCCGAGGAATGGCAGATGGGTTTTCTTAACAATCCCCCGTGTGTCATGGGATCAGTTCTTGTCAGAAAGACCCCTCTCTGTGGGAATTATGAGCCCAAAAAGATCCCGCTGTGCTGATAGCTTTTTTTTTTTTTTCTAGTTTAGTTTGTTTCAAAGTGACTTTGCAAGAAATATTCCTGTTCTCTGTCACCTTTCTCTAAAACTCACAAAACTGGTGTGACTGATAAAGTCAAGCAAGAAAGTTGTTGCTATGATACAGCGAGTAGTTTTCTGCTCAGTCAGACTACTTTTTATCTGTTTGGGAAGAAAAAAAGAGTTTTGTTAAGTTTGGAGGATTTATGCCACTTTTCATGCAATTTGGACAGTTTGCAGCTCTGAAAAGTCAGAGTAAATTTACAAAACTTCCTCAGGCATAAAGTTGAATAAGATTCAGCTTGAAACACAAACTGTCTCACTAAAACATTTACACGTATACTAAAAGGTCTTCTTTTAACCTAATGACTACTTCCAAAACTATTTCTTTCCTGTTGCGGTTAATTGACCTCCTTTGTACAATTATTTGACCCATTTCTTGACCTCCAATTTTGCGACATTATGTGAAATTTGGCAACACACTTACCTGCTGAAAAAAAAAGATCTGTGGGTGTTTACACATTTCTTGTCAAACTAAAGTTATTATTTGTCGTGCCTGGGTGTATCAGGTGTGCGTGCAGTCATCCTTCCCTCTGCAGATATCTGATTTGTTGTTTATTTGACCTGCCCCAGACTTCAGTGGTTCAAGTGTGAGAGTCATAAATGTTAAGTTTACATTAAGTGTTAGCTTGGCAGTGTTTTTATTGAATGACCTGGGGCTGATGGGAGAATCGCTCATGGTGATATACAACATAGTTCAGGTCTGGACTGTAACATTTGTTCAAAACCTGCTTCTCAAGCTTGCACACAAGCTGTAAATCAGGCACCTGTGAGATATGCGGCTCTTCTGGGGTTAAATCACTGTCTTGTCTCTTACCTTTTTTTTTCTCCCTCACATTAATGACATGTAGCTGATTAACTAGAACTAATTTTCCAGCCCTGTAGTTAAGACTGTGTTCATGCCCTTGTGTTAAGTTTCGTATAAAGGGAGTCTATGTTAGCTCAGCTCAGTTGCTAATAATTCACCAGCAGTGAGATCTGGTTTGTCTTACAGCCTTTTCTGAGCTCACCTCTCATTATTATATATTCATTATGCTCTGTTTATACTGTATGTATATGTTCACGGAGGACTAGTCCCAAAAGGCAGATATTGGTGTCAGAAACTCAATATTTTAGTCAAAAATTCATTTCCAGAAGAAATAACTGCGTGGGCTAAGCAAACATCTCTCGTCTTCCTTTTAAATAATCATTCAGGGGGTCCCTAATGGAGTCATACAGTAAAAAATGAAACCATCCACATCCTTAGTGTAACCATAACAACATTAAAGTCATGCCTAATTCCAACCAATTATAATTCCACAGTATAATAAACTGTTGAACTCGACTCTGTACCTAATATAGAGATGTATGTGTGAGAGACATTTGATAGAGAGCAAGTGGATTTGGATCTGCAGGTCTACCTGCTTGTTTTACATTAACCCCCTAATTATCTGGATACTAAGTACAAAAATAAGGGAGTTGAAATCAATCAGCATTCAACACAGCTGTATGACTTAAAAGTGTCGGTTCTTGTGTTTTACGTAAACTCAACCTCCATTTATGCAAATCAGTAACAGCACTCCTGCTTATCGTATTGCTAATATTCAAAATTTGCATATTTGTAGTGGTCAGAATTAGAGGTCATGTTTACTTGTGTGTGTACTTACCTAGTATTAAGACACAACTGGTTTTATCTTGTTGCATTGCTGGTGTTTCTGTATCATTGCTTCTGCTCTCTCTATTGACTTAGTAGCAGAAATTCCTGTTTGCCACTGCATGTTGCTTCAATTATGCTTCTCCATATGTGAAACTGTGTTGATTGTTTTTGCTCTGAAATGTTTCTAAAATGTCTGGTAAGCTTTAAAGCAACTTGACTTCATGATTTAAAAGCTTGTGGCTTTTGTATAATAGAGTCCCGTGGTTTGTTTGTATGTTTAATAATATCTTTCAGAGATTACTGTTCCCAAGACTGTCTCTGTCTTTTTCTCTGGGTCCCTCTCACTTTCGGTAACATGTTTGTGTTAGGGAACCTCCTAGACATGTGGGGTTGTGTGATATGTGGGGCAGGATATCTGATCTTCCCAGCAGGCAGACCCGTGGTCATTTCTGTGGGAGTAATGGAATTTCGCGGTCTCTCCTGATACAGATGGAATTTTCAAAAGCAGTCAGGCATGGTTCATATAACTCACATAAATAGACCACCTCGGTCATGATTTAGAAGGTGGTTAGGAGAGGAATGTCAACTTCAGGACTTAAAGTTGTTTTCACTGGCAGCACACGGCAGAGAGAGACCTCTCTAATCCAGGTGTGTTTGTGTGTACTGCAGCGGACCCACCTGTTTCCACCCAATAATCTGTTCATGTTTGTGTGTTTCAGGTGATCTGTCACCAGTGCAGATGTCCGCTGTGCCGCAGTCCCAGTTCATTCCCTTGTCTGAGGTGTTGTGCTCTGTCATCTCGGACATGAACTCCTCTCAAATCATCGTCAACCAGGAAGCACTTGTGAACTACATGAGCAAAGCCCACCCAGGTGACTAGAAATGTTGACTCAACCGGTTTTTATTGCAGTTAATGTGAAAATTGATGCAATTGTCATGTCTGTATGGATGAAATAAGCTCTAGCCATAAACGTGTTCATTTTAACAAAAAAAAAAAAAGGGGGAAACATTAAAAACAGTTAGCCTAGCTCTTTCTAGTGGTCTCAAACTATGTCCTCCAGAAATCTTAAAGCTCTCAAACAGCTGTTGATTATTGTGTGTTTGAAATGGTAAGTGTTAAGGTCTCTAACACTCAACACCAACGGATATAAAAATGGTTTCAATCCTTGTATCGTCCTTTCTAAAAAAATTCCTGTTATGTTTTAAAAATGTTGACATTTTTGTTTATAAAGTTGCAAGGTTTGGTCTCTAATCCCTGACATAATTTAGGCTCCTTCTTGTATTTTCTGTGCCACAGGGATTACCATTCCCACTCAGGACATCCTCTACAATGCTCTTGGCACTCTGATAAAAGAGCGCAAAATCTACCACACAGGCGAGGGCTACTTCATTGTCACCCCTCAGACCTACTTCATTACCAACAACATGGTTCGAGAGAAGAACTTGTGGACCTCTGGTTCAGCAGATGACCCTCCCTCACCTCCTCCCATTACCTACTTATTGAGCAACGATGCTTGTGTTGAGAGTACTCAAACTCCACCTGTTGCACACTGCAAGTCCTGCAGCTGCTTCAGCCCTCTTCAAACGCCACCTAATGCCACCTCAAACACTGTGACAGCTACCAACCCTCCCTCTATAGTTCCAGACCAGAATTCTGTCTCTGTTTCTATTAGTGAATGTACAGGAAAGAGCTTAAAGTGGCCTCGGCCAGTAGATCACAAACCCACCGTGCAACATCAGTCCACTTCCACAGCTGCAGACTGCCAAGCAAGTGAGATCAGCAAAACGACGGCAACTACTAACGCCACTGGGCGCAAAGAAAAGGACAACAAACCAGGGAGGAAGTTTGGTCTCAGTTTGTTCAGGAGGAATGGAGGTAAAAAGGAAAAGCCAAAGAAGGAGTATGCATCATTTTCAGGTCAGTTTCCTCCAGAAGAGTGGCCTGTTAGAGACGAGGACGACCTCAACAACCTACCTCGTGATCTCGAGCATGCCATCATCAAACGCATCAACCCTGAACTGACTGTAGACAACCTGACACGCCACACGGTCTTAATGAAGAAGCTGGAGGAGCGTAAAGAGCGAGGTATAGACAGAGTGCTGGACAGAGGTCTAGAAAGGGACGATAAAGGAGTGGACAAGGGAATTTCCACTGAGATCCTGACCTTCTCTAAACCAAGGCATCATCACTCATCTAAGGCGGGAGCAGGGAAAAGATCTGCCCAGAAGGCCTCTCGTAGCAAGAGGAGGGCTCACTCCTCTAGAGAGAAACAACGAGAGAGGGAGAGGGTTAAGAGTAAGGCCCCTTTATGTGTGGATGATTATCCAGAGGGAGAGGATTTGACCCTGTCTCGGCTCAGGGTGGAAATCCCTGTTGACGAACCAGATCAAGCAGAAGATGGTGGAGCTGTTGAGGGAAAATCTCTTTATAAGAAACGTATTGAAAACCCTTTCCAGACGAGTCCAATCAGAGAAGCTGATCCTGTTACTCCTTCCAACATCAACAAAGAGCACAGAAGACGAGAAACGAAAGAGGCAAAGACTTCAGGGTCGGGAAGAAAAGAACGAGCAAGTCAGCGCTCTAAATCCTGGGATCCACATCGAGCAAAAGTAATCACAGCAGAAGGGGAGTATGCAGGGAAATCCCCAACATCTGACGACAGGTACAACTGTGTTCAAGAAAGGGATCTCACTGCTGATCATTTGCTCCAACCAGACTTAAAGCTCAACAGAGAGCTGCCACTCGACTACAGCTCAGCCTACCCTCAGAGCAGCACGCTCCGGATAGACGACAAGATCCGACATCAGAGGAAGGAGATCTGGGAGACAGAAAACAGATCTGGTCAGGAGGCAGACTTTGGCACTGTGTCAGACCAGAACCCAACTATAGATAATGGTCTTTCTGATGCCCAACAATACCCCAATATCAATACAATCCATCTTAGCCATCCCTATGAACCTGTCATAAACCACTCATATGACCCTATCTCGCCATGGCCAAGGCCCTCTTTGCAGCGAAAACACTCACTCAGACTCTCTAATCCACAAAGGGATGATGTTCAAAGACCAGATGAACTCCTCTCACGCCAGCAGACCTGTGAAACTGTACCCTCTCAGGAACACCAGGAGCCGAGACCTTTTGCTATACATAACAGAGAGGAAAGTGCCACAAACCAAGGAGAAAGGACGGATTTGGCGATTGATAGAGCTCCCCCTATGACGGACACTTATGGCCTCATCGAAGATGATTACAGACTCTATCAGAGGGTGGAGGAACAAGAGGATGAAGATGCCTGCAGCTCCTTGTGTCTGAATGAGGAGGAGGTAATTGATTCTGTGAACGTGTACCAAACAAGTTCAGGCGACTTCCATGACCACAAATTGGTTTACCGTAGCCATGAATCAGATTTACAACATCAGGGAACCAACAGTTACTATTACAACTCTGGACCACAAGTTGCTTCAATGCGAGACTCAAGGGAAGGTACTTACAAAGAAATCAAAAGGGATGCATCCCTTAGCCCCACCAGATCTGGAGAGATCAGCTGGAGACCCCACCAGAAAACTAGATCACCAGGGACCCAAAGTGAATCCAGCCCCAGACGAGGAAAGTCAGTCCAGGAGGACATGCTTCATGAGGTCAGCCATGATTTGGAAACATCAGAAGTTGCTGACAGCAGCATCTTCGATTACTGCCACACTAGTGAAGTGGAGTCAGACACCGAGACCGTCCGAAAGTCAGCTGATGAGGGTGACGGTGAATCTGCTCACTGGGCAGCCGAAGTGCGGGACAATGAGTATAACGAGACAGGGGATCCTCACACCCACAGAGTTGTTCTGAGCATGCCCAGTGGTGCCAGAGGGGCAGGCATTGGGGAGGCAGTGGAAATGTTGGAGAACCAGAGCATTACAGGAGACAGTGGTATAGATTCTCCTCGGTAAGTGCCTCTCCTTTATACCTTTCAACAGCAAGTGTTATGAGATACTGGGATATTGTGTTTCCATTTCGTAATAGGTCAACTCGAGACCAGCAGCATCTTTTAAAAGCCATTGAACTTATTGAAAGTGATATAATAGACACAGACTGAGTAAAAAATCTGTTTTCAGTGAGAAAAGAGTGATCCAAAGCCAACAAAGAAATGACTCTATTTCTTCAAATTGGTCATTGCAGCCAGGATTGTCTCTGGTTTTCACACCTCATGCTCAATTTTATCTTTACACTAGACTTTCCCTTTGCATTCTTGAGGGGACAGGCAAAATAAACACTACTTGAGTCAGTTAACCTCTAGGTTATGCGTGTGCAGTTGGCCTTCTTCCCAATTTGAGCTTTTTCCCTTCAAAGCAAGCTGAGCAAACACCTTGTGACCAATTACAGCATTGAGTATTTGGACAAAGGGACTCATTTCGATAATTATGTGTAATTGGTAGGGAGCACTTAAACTCTCATGTGGTAATCAAAAAGTCAGAAAAGACCCCTTTTACGACATTGAACTTGGATTGCACCCAAGTTTGTTGGAGGACAGATGGCTTTCACAAAGACGTCACCCCATGTAGAATAGATGGCATATTTATAGACCTAATCAACCTCATGCATATCCTTTTTCTGCTCCACAGGACTCGTGTCAGTCTGGCCTCCAGCAACACAGTCATTCTGGAGGGTCTCAAGAGGAGAGGCTTTCTACAAAACCTGGAGAAACTGCATGCAAAGAGCAGCACCATTCGGCCACAGAGCTCACTGCTTCAGTTAACTCCCGTCATGAACGTATAACAGATCTCTTTACAATGAACAAGCCAAAACAATGTGCTTGAACACTCAGCTCTATGCAACTCCTATCCAATAACGTGTATTTCCATGTTTATACTGATAACAGCTAGAGTATGTGTACAGGTGTAGAATATATATAAATATTTTCTTTCTGTAAATAACTTTAAAGGCGACATACTATGGTTTTCTATTCATTGAGTACCTTGTATATGATCTGTTACTTGCATGGCGTACGGTGGCATTTTTGTGATATAAATGTACAGTTATCCTTCTCATTATTATTCATTGGTTAGAATTAACATCTCATTCTCTTTACTCTCTTACCAGTTAATAAAATGTAACTATGTATTTCAACCGAGATGTGTTTTATTTTCCACGTTTTGCCCCATAAAAATGACATCTACCTGCGACATTAACGTGAGACCAACTGCTGCACCACCAAAGATAAACGTCTGAGAGAATTAAAATGACATTTGCTCATAGAAATAGTCTTAATTAACTCAAGTAGGAACATTTGCTGTTGGTGCTGCACAATTTAAGATTTTACCCAAGAGTGGACTTCACATTTATGTTATTTCAAGCTCCTGTGGGGAACTTTTCATCTTACTTGACTTCTTAGGGCAACATAACTGCTGGTTTGATCTCATATACCCAACGTGTACATATATTGTTCTTTTTATCGCAAGTATCCTGCTAGGTATGGTATAAAGAAGGAATATTCTGTGATTTCTATAAATCAGATTGTAGATTGAAATGTTCCCCTGCTCACCTGTCATTGATGGTGGCCTCTGAGGACAAGAGACTCATTTGATGCACGAGTATGATCCCCTTTGTGAAGTTTTTACCACCAGAACTTCTACTGAGACAAATTCTTTTAGAGCACACCACCAAACACTCTCTTCTCCATCATCCAACTGGTGTATATTGTGCAGATTTCCACTGAATACAAAAACGAGACTGCCTCAAGTTTGTCTGCTATGTACAAATAGTGCAAGATCCTCTGTATGAAGGAACCAGCTCTAAAATTTAAAACTTATTCTAAATAAATGAACTCAAATTTGCAAAATTCAGGTGACAATACAATGCATTCAGCTTGTCCAGCTTAAAGGATTCACTTATAAAGAATCTTTGTGGCAGGCTTGTTGATCACTTATTCTGATACCTTTCTAAGTGTTTATTTCATCAACAGCAACTCTTACAGGAGCATGCTGGACACTGCAGCTGACTTCAATAAAATCTTTTAGTTGTACCTAATTTTGTTTTGTTTGTTGCACAACTCACAAGTTTTCAAATGTGTTTCAGTGTTATCTGGTGTGACATAAATCGGATGTCACTCTAAACTTAAAGGGCAGATAAGCCTTGAGGTTACAGAGATGGTGCGTTACTGCAATCAGATTCTCACCCCCAGCTGTGGCAGACAGCACAGCAGTGTGTGACGATTGGAGGGTGGGTAGTTTCCTGTCATTGATCTTCTTCACACAGTTAAGACCATACCCTGGAGCTTTCCCCCACCTCATTTATCCCATTACAAAACTGACTCAGCCGGTTTGATGACTTCAGACTGGCTCAGTTTTGGGAAATTACAGTTCAAGACGTAAGTGCTCCCGCTGTAGAAGGGTAAGAGTCCAATAAAAGCGACGTGAAACACTGAGAGGTATTAGAGCCTGCCTCACACACCTGGAGCCATTTGACAGGAACAGTTGCCTCATGAAATTCCAAGATTGGGAAAGAGTGACACCATATGGACATAACAGGGAAGTGCAGTGGTTACAGACGTGCCTAATTCAAATAGTGAATTGGAGGGGCTCCATCTAATCTCCCACCTTTCATCACTCCTTTAAATTTTCAATATAAGAGACTTCTATCTAGCTCTAAAGTTGAAAATAGTCCCATAAAAAAATACTCCATCGTCTCAAAAGCCACATGAGAGTCAACAACCTTTATTTATCCATATATGTGCCACTCAGAAATAGGGAAGAGGTGTTACAGGATTTGCCCTCGAGAGAAGCCTATATGGATCATTTACAATTTCTTTCTACAATGAGGCCATTGACAAAAATGAAGGGGAAAGAAAAGAAAGACAATATGGTCGTAACAGTGTAAACACATGGTAATATACACAAAACCAAAAAAAAAAAAAAAAAGAAAAGAAATAGGTATCAGTGACATCAAATTAAAATGTAGGGTAAGTTAGTATGAATAAGAACAAAAGACTCCTGAAAAACCCTAGCTTTTTTTCTCAAACAGCTCGGCATACATTTCTACAAAGCATGCAATAAGGCACCTATCTAACACAAGGAAGAAAACTATGCTAGTTTGAAGCACAATTGTTATCCAAATAAAAGAAAAGAAAATATTGCTCACCATGTTCACTCCCATAAAAACTGTATATCTCTCATTCCCTTTCATATAACCCAAGCCATATCTAAAAAAATACATCAGTTTGTAAAAGATATTTTACACAGAACAGTAAATAAAGCGCAATCCACTGGAATTCAGAAAAATCTTTTAAGTCTTGTAAAAGTGAGATTATCTCGTGTAGTCTTCTAGTATACACATCATTCTTCTTTTAGATCAAATTGTGGTAGTTCACAGATCACTGTGGGTGAATTTTATCCAATACACATTAATGAATTAGTCTCCAAAGCAGTTTTAATCCGCATCTAATGTACATTTGGCGCGTGGGTACAAAAGAAACTGCACTGTAAAAGAAAATATAGGACACAGGTCATGTTGTAATATGCTACCCAGAAGGTTTTTATTTTCTAATATGCATTTTCTTATGGCTAATTGCATGTTATGATAGAATCAGGGTGTCGGCCAGTATTGCTCTCTGTACAGTCTCTGCAGCAGTGCTTACCCATTATAGACAGAGGAGAAAAGAACCTTATAAATATACAGGATGGTTCATGTCCGATAGAGCCCAGATTCAAGATCAAGCTACATGAGAACACCTGCAACGTGACTTTATCTCCAACACTTAAAACAAAGTAAAGTTGTAAAGGAAAAATAAGGTGGAGACAAAAGTGGATCTTACTATCAAAAATGTAGTCTTTTGGAACAGCACACTAGTCACCTATACATATATATATAAAAGAAAAAAATTATTAAGTATTTACAAGGGATTTTCTGGTGTTTGCTTCAAATGGGTTATGTGGGTGGAAAAGAAAATCATTTAAATTGAGACAACAGTTTTTGTTCACCATTTTGTATTGGTGGCATTGAATCAAGTTGCAGCTGAAAAGCGCATGTGCCCACCTGAAAATACATGAACTGAATTCTTCTATCAAAACCACAAACCAGAGGGCAAAGCAAATTTCCCTCAGGCAACATTTTTTATCATATCTATCTCCAAATAACATTTACTTGTTTTTTTTAAAAGTGTTCAAAAAGAGGTCCTGGAGCAGGTGAAGCACAATTACAAAGAAGAACAGAGGCTCCTTCACAATCTACCACCACCCTCTTTACACTGAACACTAAGTCCTGGGTTCAGCTCTGAATTATCACACAAGGTCACATAGTCCCCTCCTTATGAAGACTTGAGTGTTACTGTCCGTTTATTCTCAGCTGCTCCACTTTATCAAAGTAATGTATGGCCTGACCAGAACATTTTTTTTTGTCTGTAGAAGCTCGCCCGGTGTTTCTTGTGGTTAATATCAATGATGGGACAGTTGGTAGAACAGAAACAGAGTTCAAGCATGGATGTTCGCGCTTGCATGTAGGTGAGAAACGGGGCTCACTGAGCTACGTGGATTCTATGATGTCTGGAGAGCGAAGATGAATGGTTAAAGCCTTTTCCGCACTGGGAGCACCTGTACGGTTTATCATCAGACAGGATGCGCTGTTTTGGGAAGGCATTGTTGGGGAATCCCTTCCCTGTGGGAATGGGGGAGTACTGCTGCGGTTGTGGCAGCGGTGCTTGCATCTGCTGCTGTTGTGGTTTGATATCCGAATGAACTCTCTGATGCCGAGCCAGGGAGGAGGAGTGATTAAATCTTTTGCCACAGTGAGCACAGGTGTAGCTCTTTCCCTCCGAGTGGACTCTTTGGTGACGGGACAGGGAAGAGGAATGATTGAAGCCCTTTTCACAGTGGTGGCACATGTAGGGCTTGTCACCCTCCTGGAGCACTCTCTGCTTCGAGGGAGTGCCAAAGGTCAGGGTCTTTCCAGGCTGTGGTGGAGAAAAAACTGGATTCTGCAGGTGGGTCTTGTGGTGGCGAGAGAGAGAAGATGAGTGATTGAAGCCCTTGTTGCAGTGTCTGCAGGTGTAGGGCTTTCCTCCAGCGTGAACCTGCTGGTGCTTCTTCAGATGGCGTTTGCGAACAAAGCTCTTTCTACACATGTTGCATTTGTATGGCTTCTCACCCGAGTGGACCCTCTGATGCTCTCTCAGAGTGGAGACAGCTGCAAAACACTTTCCACATTGTGCGCATCGGTGGGGTTTTTCACTGCACACAACAACAGCAGTGTGTGTCTTCTGGTGCTGCTTGAGATTGGATGTCGTAGCGAAGCCTTTGCCACACTGGCCGCATGTATATGGCTTCTCACGGGCATGGACCTCTTGGTGCTTTTTCAGATGCCTTCTGCGGACAAAGCTCTTCCTACACTGGGTGCATTTGTATGGTTTATCCTCCGAATGCATCTTCATGTGTTCTCTCAGTGTGATGGCGGCAGCAAAGCTCTTGCCGCACTCTGAACATCTGTGGGGCTTGTCTGGTAAATGAATCATCTGATGAGACTTAAGGCTGAAGGCATCAATGATGTCTTTGCCCATCATCTCAACTCCAGGGGGAACGTAGGGCTTTTCTTTCATGTGAATCTTCATGTGTTGTTTAAGACTGGCCTCCACAGCAAAGCTCTCCCCACAGTGGACGCAGATGTATGGATTGAGGTCCTTGTGGATCTCAAAGTGCTGATGAAGATCAGCTATGCTGCCAAAAATCTCCCCACACTCGTTACACTGCAGGCCATGGGCTTCATGAATGATAACGCCATTCTCAGACTCCACTGTTAATTCTCCACCATGATCAGACTCCACTTTCACAACATGTTCGCTTTCTGTCTTGAGCAGCACTTCACCCAGCAGAGCCTCACTCCCTGATGTTTTGATCTCTGCTCCTGTGAAACAGTGCATCTCACCATGTTCCACCTTAATGTAATCATGGTCTGTCTCGGCTACAATTGCATCCACACAGGCAACAGCTCCAAGCCCTTCACCCAGTCCTTGGATCTTTAAGTCTGAGCCGTGGATCTCCAGCTCTAATCCACGCTTTTCTTCTGTCATGATCTCCGTTTCTGCTCCATAATGAAGGTCGACATGGCTATGGGCTATGACACACTCCGACCCAAGCGTGTCAAGGCCGGGTGTGTCACATTCAGTCTCTGACTCGGCCATGAGAACACACTCCAGCCCCACGACCTCCGTTTTCCTGCCGGACGATAACTCAAAAGAGAATCGGGGTTATAAAGGTTTGTTTGATCAGCGCAGCGCGGGTGCTGTTGTTTGAAAGCAAACCTGCAAAAGAAGCAAAAGAAAACACTTTAATTAGACTGGAAATTACCATTCAAAAATCAAAACAGAACTAGCCTAAGTTAAACTGGCTATTTATTGTCCCAAATAACGAACGGCATGTGATGTGGAGGCAAGTGAAGTTCTGGGTGGTAAATTATTATTCACATATCTAATAAGGAAGGTTTTTTTGATAGAGACGAGCTTCCATTGTGCCACACAAGACTCATATTTCAAGTTTTTCACGAGAAATAATTGTGAAATTAAATGTTGACAGATTGACTGTAATGTGATTTTATGAAGGGTATGATATATAAAAAAATATGTATTACAACAGAAATATATCAAAATCAACTGCAAATGTGTCAATCATATTTAAAGCCCATATGTTTAATCATCTGAGAAATAATGAACAAAATTATCATAAAAGTACTTGATAAAAATCAATTTACCCAATATTAGAACAATTATTATGCAATCACCATGACAGACACTGTCTCCATGACTTACCAGGGCAATCGAGTGCAACTTTTTCCTTGAGTAAAATTACACAAGATTATCATCTTTATAAAGCAACTGTGTGAAAGACAACTGTTGTTGGCAACACAAGTTAGCCAACCACTTCCCCTGGAGGACACCCTGCACCAAAACAAGATAGCAAACTGTTTGTGGCACAACAGTAAAGGCAAAGATAGATGATGCATCATATCACAGGCGTGACAATGTAAAGCCCTTTACACTAGCAGAGATCATCTTGTTTGCTCAGGGGCTGTCAGATTTATCACTTACTTAATTGGGCGTCCTTTGACACCTTAATAACATTACCATAGCTCAAACTAGCCCTCAGCTACCCTCAGAGTAATCTATATCAACTCAAGAGGTGAACGTTTTATTTAGATTACTCTTGTACACATTGCAAACACAAAATCATAAAGGACATTTAAGACAAAACTATAAAGCTTTGATATTTACTTATTACACTATGTAACTGTATAATATCAGCCAGGCCTGGTCTGCTATGGGGTATAGCCACTGGCCTGTGTTAATTTGATATCAGCTACAAAGCCTACTTTATCATGCTGAGGTCTAGGGCTGCATTCAGGTATAATAGCCCGTGGACTAAGAGGGCTCTTTTGTGAAAAACGTATCTTCTCATGAACACACGCCTCATCTTTTATCACCTGAACACCTGCCGGGGTACCTAGCGAGCTAAATTACCTATTTGTGAGCTAAGTTAGCACCCCAGAAGTGCTCAAACCCACTGGCTAGCATAACCGATCATATCAAAGTGGACCACAACATCATGATGCAGCCGCTGGTTCTGATTTAATCCGGACCGCAAAGCCAGACGGGCCTATAAATAACAGTTGCGCAGATCCCGAGTTTTAATCTTAGACAAAAAAAGGGAGGCATAATTGCGGTCAAATGGTAGTATTTTGTTATTAAACAGCGTACTGTGAGTTGCTAGCCCAATATTACAGCTACAAATAGCTTTCATAGCCGCTAGTTAGCTGGCTATGGTGGAAGGAGGACTGGTTAACGACATTACAGCATCGTGTTAGCTGCTAATATGTTCACCGTTTAGCCCGCTAACTAGCTACATAGCGAAGCGACGCGCGAGTAATATTGTCAAAGTCCGAAACGATAGCGATACACTTACACGGGAAGGTGTAGCTGAAATAAGTAATTCTGTGATACTTCTGACTCGACTACTGACGCGGAAATTCTCCTTGTGTGAGTATTAACAGGCCATCTTGTTGTGCCACACCAGCACTTCCAGCTAGCCAAGATTACATGCTCGCCTAAGATGGCTGCCGCGAGCTAACGGCAGCCAAGTGAGCTTCCGCCCCCCTAAACATACACAAAATACCACATTTAACATTAGGTAAATGGTGATAAGAATATTCTAATGTTATCAAGCTGAATTACTTACAGCCACCCGACACGGCGAAGCTAGAAGGAGTCGGGATAGCAAGCTAAGAGCCGCAGCGTAACTCTGGTCAGGAGGCGGCTAGCTGAAACAAAGATGGCTAACCGAGAGGGCGATGAATGCTGGGCGAAAAGCCCGGGAAATGACGACCCTTGCCTCGCCGTGAACAACGTTACATAAAACGCCCTACAATGACTAATATTCACACAAAATAACAAACTTAACCATATAGATAGATTCTTTAGTCGCTTCTGGGGAGGTAACGGTGATTCTTGGCTACAAACCCGCAACCCTCCTTTACTGCGGCAGCGACACACAACCACACATACAGCACTTCAATGGCGGCCTAGCAGCTACCCAACCAGACCTGCTACATAGCCACGATGCTAAGAAGGCTAATCCACATAGCTAGCACGGCTACAGCCACCTCTTTACACCAGATCAAGCCAAAGAGATTGTTAGAGACTGAGAGCCTGACTAAAACCGCCCATCCGACCATGATCCGTCTGCTTCCACACACAGGAGCAGACTGGGTGGTCTGGAGCACACGATAAGAAAGAAGAGGCTATCCCTTTTCGGTTAAATCTAAAAAAATGCTCTGAAATAGTTCCTCACGCCTGTAATGATGTGTGCTAGTCTACTTTTTCCAACAAGAACACAATGCTGTAACCAGTGCGAGTCTAGGCCTGTATTTTTCCATCACAAACTTCGTGCCATCAGCGGTGGAGAAGCCAAACAGAGCCTGACTCCAACTTAAAAACACCAACTCCAGATGACCAGACTCCAATCTGCCCATATGTCGCTCCTGCTTCTAATTAAAGTTAAATTTGAACGATGAGTACACGGATCACGCTGGTTGTAGATATAAAATAATCCTGCATGCACACACCCACCTTTGTATCCTTGGCTTTTGATTGCAGAAGAAAAAGAAAAGGAGAATCGTTTGAATATGCTTCAAACTCTGGGTTGAAAGGGGCTTTGCAAGCTGTAGTGAGCCTCAGCAAACCGCTGTGTATGTGTGTGTGTGCGTGTGTCTTCCTCTCTCTCTCTCTGGTGCCACAGCTCATCTGGCGCTAATAGTGGACTACAGACGCACTTTAGCGAAAGCAAGTATTGTCGTTTTAATACGGCACGGGTACCATCACTGCCCCCTAATGACTGGGAGCGGTAACGCAAGAGAAAATAAGTGATATGTACTACAAAAGTGTTGTGTTTCTATGCAGTTTCTGCCAAGTGTGAAGCATTTGTCAAAAGGTAAGCTGTTTATTTTCAGGAGTTACTATAGTGTGACTTCATATGTTTCCTATTCACAACAATACGGTGGGGAAATTTTGATTCTCAGGCACCAACTTTACCACACTTGTAGTTGCTTGCCAATTGAGAGGTACACGCAGTACATGAAAGGCATATCTGACAGCATTTTCATTATATTTATGATCATGTGTGAATAAAAAGAAGCTACATACTGCTCCTGTGAAACAAACAACTTCCCATAATGGATACATTTGTACTTTAATAATCTGCTGCAAGTTTGTTTATAAGAATAATCAATCGATCAATCAAATTTTATTAATATAGCACCCAAGACGCTTCTCAAAGGACAAGAGCAGGTCTAGACAACACTCATTGTTTGATGAATTATCAAGACCCAACCTAAAATGGGATTTGGCCCATCTCAACTAACCTGAATAACAGTGGCAAGAAAAACCTTTTACCAGGCAGAAACCTTGAACAGGACCAGTCTCATGCTAGACAGCCAACAAGCCGTTGCTGGGTTGGGGAGGAATACAGAGAGATAGGGGGAGAGTGAGAGACAATAAGAGGAGTAAGAGGAGGATTGTAATCTAATAATGAACCTCTGATTTCTAAATCTAACTCCAGATATGTTGTTACGCACCAAAGGCAAAAAGGAAACAGTGGTTTGTTGTAGTTGTTTACTGTAGTAATATCATATTCCCACAAGATGCTGCTGTTTACCTGTTGCCAGTGTGTGTGGGCATCATACCTATACCTATATGCAGCAATAGAAAAGGCTTTAACATCATCTTAAAACAAAGTGAGGGAATAAAAGTGTAGCTTAGAATGAAAAATTTTCAAAGTAGCAGCTGTAGTTGCTCTTTTACTTGTGATACCTCACAGCAATCCTGAATGCTCTGTAAAGTGTGTTTGTTGTGTTAAATAGAAGTGCTATTTCAATCCACATAAACTCAAACTACTTTATCTTTGTCAAACAGGGCTCCTTTTTTATTTCAGTAGTTTCACCTTTTCTCCCCTTTGACTCAACTCTCTTTGTTTCAGGCAGCGTATTTGTTGTAACACCCATTCCTCGACAATTAAGCTCTCAACCTGCAAAACTGGTTCTACAGTGAGAGTTGACCACATAGCTAACATTCTGTCACACACAGCGTCATTCAAAGAGTTTCACTGAAGCTGTTAACTTCGAGATCTTATTTTTCTGTGGATACTCAGTCCTTTACACTTTGAACGGTGTCCTCTCTTTGGCTGTACATTTTTTTCATAAGTCAACCCACTCCTGCTAAGCAAAACCCCTTTGTGGATTTTACTTTTGGATTACATCTTGAAGTAAATTTTTTTTCCAAACTTCTGTTCAAAATGTCCCACCACGGCACTCTGGATTTGGACAGATACAGCAACCCAGAGAGGTCTCGCCGCTCCGCCAGCCGTAACCAGCCCAGAAACCAGGCCAAGGTTGGGGATGTTTTGTGTGACTTCTGCACTACCAGGAAGCAGAAGGCTGAGAAATCCTGCTACGTGTGCTTGGCATCCTACTGTGAGACTCACCTTCAGTCTCACTATGAGTACCCTGCCCTGATGAAGCACAAGCTGGTCAAAGCTACAGGTCAGATGAGGGAGAAGGTCTGCGCACAGCATGACAAGCTGTTGGAGGCTTTTTGTCGCACCGATGAAACATCAGTGTGTGTTTTGTGCATGATGGATGAACACAAGCACCATGATATTGTACCAGCTGGAACTGAGAGGACTGAGAAACAAGTAAGTGCTGAAAACAATCTGTTAGTCTTATCTCTATACCACTTTATTCAGGCCATTCATGGCAGATGGTTGTCTCCTAATGAGTCTGGTTCTGCTTGAGGTTTCTGCCTGTTAGTGGGTTTTAGTCCTGCTGTTTCTGAGTGCTTGCTCTGTGTTTCTTTAAATAATATGACAAAAATAAACATAATAGTATAACAAAGTAGTGAAAACGTGTGTTAACTTCTACTTTTATGTCAAACCCTCTACAGAAACAACTTGGAGCCACACTCCACAAATCTCAACAGAGGATTGACCAGAGAATAAAAAAGTGGCAGGATCTCCGGCAAGCTGTTGAGGCAGTCAAAGTAGGTAAAAAGTTGTGTCAACATGTCAGTGGAAAAAAAAAGTGGCAATAACCCTTTTTAACAAACTCTGTCACTGTCTCTCGTGCTCACCATCAGCACTCTGCTCAGACGGTCCTGGAGGAAAACGAACGCATCTTCACAGAGCTTCTGCTTTCCATTGAGAGGAAGTACAATGAAGTTAAAGAGATGATACGCTCCCATGAAAGGACCACGGTGACACGTGGTGAGATACTGCTGGACCGCTTGGAGGAAGAGATCACCCTGCTGAGGAAGAGACACAATGACCTGGAGAAGCTCTCGCACACTGATGACCACATACACTTTCTGCAGGTGAGGTTTGTCTACATTGATGCAGACCCTAAACAAAAGACAGTGGTTTCCATTTTCATTTTCATAGATATAGTCCTCTGTTTTACCAGACTTCTACCCGTTACGATCTTGTTTTCCAGAGTTGGCAGTCCCTGTCAGGTCCCTCAGGATATGAAGACCTCAACAACATTGATGTTACCCCAAATTACTCCTTTGATGCCACCAAGAGAGCCATTGCTACTCTAAAACTACAAGTGGAAGAAGCCAGCAAGACAGAAATGATGAACATCTCAGGAGCAGGTGACAAATTTCTCTATCTTTATCTGATTTTGACAAATTGGTGTCTGTTGAGGGCCTTTTTTTCAAGTTTGCTGTTGCTTTTTTGTAACTGCTAATTTTGTTTTCTGTTTCTTCTCAGTGAGGGAAGTCCACATCACTCAAGACGCTGAGTCAAAAACGAGGAGGGAGTCGATCCTGAAAGAAGAGCTTAGGCCAAGAGAGGAATCAAGGCTGAGAGAAGAACCAAAGACAAGAGAAGATTTCCTACAATGTGAGTTGTAGTTTTTTTTATTCTTCATGTTTGTTCGTCTTTAATCTTGTTTTGTTCTGACATGCAACATTGTCTCTATTATCTGAATACCAGTACAGAATATTAAGTTAAATCGAATCACTGTGTTTCACAAAGAAGCATGGAAACACAACTTCACTGCCAACTCACAGCGAGTGAGGTGTATTTCATCATAGCCATTGTATCATAACAAGAGGAAAAACCACATCATGAAATGAAACAACTGAAACCAGAATTGTGCAAGTTATGCTGCCTGCAGAACAGGTTTGGTGAATATAATGAGACAAACGAACAGCTCGGTTTTATTTGACAAACACAGGTGTTCCTGCTTTAACTGCACCTGATTTAAATGGCTGATGTAAGGGAGCTCCCATATTTACTTAATAAGCTAAAGTTAAAGTGTGACACAAGAAACTCAAAGAAACTTTTACAACAAAAAGAGATAGATACCATAACAAATGGCCCATTGTAATTGAAAACAGGGACTACAAACACAAAATAAAAAGTGATTAATGAAATATTTTTTCTCTATTGTTCAGATGCCTGTCAGCTGATTCTGGATGTGAACAGCGTACACCCCAATCTCCACCTCTCTGAGGGAAATCGAACAGCTACTATGAAGAACGACCCCAAGAACTACGCTGACCATGCAGAGCGATTCGACCACTGGCAGCAGGTGAGAATTTAATCCCCAACAGGATGTTATCTAGTTTGTGCAAAAGAAAGAGGGATTGAGATGGTATACCATTGAAAAGAAAAAAAGAGGCATACAAACTGTCAAGATGAAAATTTCACAGTGAAAAAGTTGTATTGTGTTGTATTGTAACATATCATATTTCATTGTTTCATCAGGTATTATATGTTATCATATCATAAGTCATGAATCAGAAATAACTCTTTCAGTCATTTTAAATCACGTACTTCCTCATTTCTCTCTCAGGTCTTGAGCAGGGACAGTATAAATGGCTCACGCTGTTACTGGGAAGTTGACTGGAGGGGGACAGAGATAGACGTGGCCGTCACCTACAGGGGGATCCGTCGCAAAGGAAATGGCAATGAATGCAGCCTGGGCTGGAACGACAAGTCCTGGAGCTTGTATTGCTCTGACTCAAAATATTCATTCGTGCACAATAATAAGAGCAATGACATTGTGGCTCCAGTGTCTTCCCGTATTGGTGTCTATCTTGATCATGCTGCAGGAATACTTGCATTTTACAGTGTAGGTGATGGCATGCAGCTTCTGCAAAGAGTTCAGACTACATTTACTGAACCGCTCTACCCTGCATTCAGCGTGTGGGGCTTTGGTTCTACTATAAGGCTGTAGATTCTCCACTGGTGCAAGTTACTGAATACTCTCATTAATCCTATGAATTTTGAAACATGGATTGTGACATATTCCTGTCTGTTTCTCTGCTTTTCTAAAGTATTTTTCTACTTTGCATGAATTATTGTATAAATCCATTAAGGACCTCAAACTTAACAGTTTTGATCTTGTTTTTATGAGGTAACTAATTCTGAAGAGATAATAACAAAATGTATCAGAAATAAGTAAAGAATTGACATATCTTATGTTATATTGACATATCTTACATTGTCTTGATATCTTTATGTATTCTATGCTTCCTGTTATGTTTAAAAAAAAACATTTTAGTTCAGTCTCATCTTTGAAATTAAATCTCAATTTTGAAATAACCTGGACTACCTCTGTTTTATCCTGCAATATCAAACAGGCAATGGAGTAGCACAAGAAAGACTGACAAACAGTCGTACAGCACAGAACATCAGCACATGGAAATAAAAACAAAACAAAAGCTCAGTTAAAAACAAGGCCTTCGAATTGAAGGCCAATTTCATTCGTCATAAGAAACCCAGACAATACAAGAACCCTACGACATAAAATGAGACAAAACAAAATAAAAACATAAAATAGGTGAGAAAAGGAAATGTGATAAAAAAGGGTGTCGAAAGCAGTAAACAGGATAGTAAATATAAAAAGAGGATGATAATAAAATTATAATGTTGTACATAAAATCACAATATTATGTTGTTATTATCCATATTATCTGGCCTCTTTAAGATGTGGTATAAAAAACTAAGCAAGGCTTGCTTACTACTTGAAACATCACATCCAAACGTGCATCAGGACTGCACATATTCCCATAAAACCGCCTGTTTCCCCTCCTCCAATGAATGTTTTTATGGAGAGACATTGACGCGTTTATACTCCAGGTGGCAGCAAAAACACATTAAGTTGGACCGACAATAGTAAAACGAGGATATACAACCCGATATACTGCGCCGTGATAAAAAGGGAGGCGAAAAGTTCCTCAAAAAGCAGTGATTTGGATGAAATACACCCTGACTTTTCCCACGTTAACCAAAATGGAGAAGTGAGAATTGTGTTTCTTTTATTTGTGCTGCGTTGCTAGGAAACAGCAGGGTTCCGAGTTTAAACTCTATCAGTGTCCATACCGCGGGGCCTCAAGAATTTCAGTTATCAGTATCAAAAATAAAACTACGAAAATAATTTTTTAACAACGACTGACCTCCCCACTTCCATACAATCTGAAAAAATCGACTTAGAATTTTATTAAATTGTGTTTTTATTGAGTTTTCTGCATTCCGTCTCCGCCGTCCCGCCCTCACGGCGCACAGCTATATCCGAATGCAGCGCACCCTACTACTACAGGTTTTTAGAGGGGCGGAGTCAACAGCTGGATACTCTGGAGTGTGTCTCGTGGCGGCGATGCAAGGAGGCGGACTGCATGTGAGCACGAGCTTTCACCCTCTGCATATCAATGGGAAGACGGCAAACGGGACTCTGGTGTTTCAGGAGGAAATCGATCAAACAAAACAAGGTGACCACATCGTGTCAGAGAGGAACATCGTGGAGTAGTTTTATTGGGACGCGGAAAGTGTCGTGTAACGGTCGGCGTACTCCAAGTTCCCCAAAAAGCAAGGAAAAGTTTTAGGGAAGAGGCAGGAGGTGAGTAGTTTTTGATTTTCCTCTGATGTTCGTGTGTGTGAAGCACACACATTAAGGTAGGAGGCATGAAGAGGGATGAAGCTCTTTTAACACCGTTTTTTTCAATGGTAAACGCAAATTTACGTGCTGATGGTGCACTAAAATGTATCATCTCGGTAAACTATCGCTTTAAACGTATCCACACCAATGCATTTGATTCCAATGATATCACCTGTAATAACAAAGCAAGAAATCTAGACCATCAGGCATCATAATAAAAGCAGAAACCAATGTGTAAGAAAGATGGATTACATTACAGGTGATTTCATCTTTAATGAAACTATATTACATTTTTGATTTACAGAATTGCTTTAACTTAAAGCAGTCTATTGTTGGTTGGTTGCAAGTTTCAATGCAAATATATTCCTACATCCTCAGCTGTGAATTTGAATGTTTTTTTTTCAAGTGTGTAACATCTAAAGCAGCTCAATCCAGGGTGAATTTCCTCTAAACTCAGGGGTGTCAAACTCAACCACAGCAAAGGGCCATAATCTGGATTTAGGTCTAAACTGAGGGCCAAACAGGGTCAACATTTCACCAAAACTGTCAACCTCCTTTTCAAAAAATATGATTATAAATTATTTAGAGATTCAAAAAAGATAAGTTTAAATTTATTTTATTCTAACTTTTTATCCTATTTTTATTATTAGTTCAAAAGATCAGAGCATGATATTAAAAATTGTAAAAAATAATGCTTTTAAAGAGCAAATACATGAGGAGAACGTGGAAATCAGGTTCAAAAGGTCAAAATATGACTGAAAATTTAAAACTGGAATCTAAAGTGCAAAAATGACACAAGTCTGAATACTGAGTTGAACAAAATCAAAGCATGAAATGAAAAATCCAATCATGTTTGACTTGTAATCTTGAAATGCAAAATTGAAAACATGAAATAAAACACCAATTATTTTTTCCCCCAAATTCTTGACTATTTATCAAATCTTCCTTACACTTTAATTTCCCAGATTTTCGTGGTTTATTAAGGACATTTTAAATAATGGCGCTAAAGTTTACGTTATTATACTGGAGGAAATCTGCAAACATGATATGATCTTGTGGGCCAGATATAATTGTTCCACGGGTCAGATTTGGTCCCCGGGCCTTGAGTTTGACACCTGTGCTCTAAATTATGCACAAAATCTCGGTTATTGGGATTTAATTTCACCTATCAAGGCATGAGCAAGACTGTAATGATTATGACGGTAACTCACCTTCCTTCTCCTCTCTTTCACCAGCTCCAAGGGACACATCTGTCCTCCTCGTGTCCTACTGAGTACCATCCTCCTTCTTCTTCCAGAAAATGAATCAGCTGGTGACAGAGCAGATGTCCGTCACACTCAGTTAAATGTTACTGCTACTTGAGCAGACATTGCTCGGCTGGCCGAAGAGGAAAAAGAAGAAAGGGGCTGTTGAAGGTGCTGAAAGATGTCTATCTGGATGATACTGCCTGTCAGCCTCCCAGTGCTGACCATCACTGGGATATGGGTTGTGTAAGTGTTAAACTTCTTTGTTCAAAAAGCTATTGTAGCAAGTGTATACATCCATACAAGCCCACTCTGTTCCTTCTTAAAGCAGGAATGCAGAAGTGTTTTTTGCTGACTTAACAGTGATTTCCATGCTGAGAATGAAACTGGCATTTTTCCGCCTTTGAAACACTATGGCTACAAAAATACCATCAGTTTACAGTAAATACCACCAGGCTTTGGCCAATATGGATTTTTTCAGATTCTTACACCCATCAGTATATTAACATTGCATTAAAACAATTGATTTATTGTGTTAGTCCAACTTAAACTGCACTTTTAAGACACACCTAAACTTGTAAGTCTAGTTAAAATCAAGACAGTTTTCTTGAAGTCAGACTAACATACATATATAATGTGATTGGGGGTTGATTTCTCTTGCATTTCGAACCCAAACTGGCCCAGGTGTTCTATGCATACTCCACAATTTGCATGTCAGACTGAAACACAGACATCAAACGGCATTAATGTGTAGAAAGAAGCTGGGTAGAAAACAAAGTAGACCTTGACAGAAGAAGAATAAAGTGAACCAGGTGAAGTTATCATTTGTGTAAAATTACAAAGCAGTAAAGGTGTCCATGTTTTCACCTTTTAATATTCAGCCAGCATCGAACTTGTTTGTTGATTGTTTTGGTGTGTAACTTAACAGATCAACCATCTGACGGTCCAACAGTAACAGAAAAGGGCAGATTTCCACCCACTGTAACAAACGCAGAAGTACTTTTGTTAATAAATCTATTCTCACTCTGCGTTTCCATGCAGAGACAAAGACAGTAGTCCAACTAAATGGTCTAATCAAGCTAATGAAGTTGTAGAACTAAGATGTTACATCATGTGCATGAAAAGGTGTTGACTGTGAACACAATGAAAACTAAGCCTTTCATCTACATTAACATCTAAATCTACTGTTGGAGTTTGAAAAATCTCCTCAAATATAATTTTAATAAAAGTGTTTAGGTGGTCTAAAAACTCACTTATGTTGTTAAAGTTTGGGTGAAATATCATTTGATACCTCAGTCTGTCTTCTTGGAAGAGAAAGCGGTGTATTTACCCTGACATTCCTTGCAGCCATGGTGATCTAATGTGGCTTAACTCTGTCTGAGACGGACCTGGGATTATCAGACCTCTCTTAAAAGTGTGATGCACTGGTTCACAGTAAAGCTTCATTATGTGGATTACAGTATCTAAGCAGATGTGCAGAGGTGTGAGAGAACCTCCTGGTTATGTTTGGGCTGACAGCTTCCCTTACTGCTCTGTTATTACTTTGAATAGAGGAATGCAGACCCTGAGGGGGGAGAGACAGGTGGCCTGATTCCAAATTGCCTCTGTTTTTTTTCTAAATTTAGGCTAAGTGCTACATTTGTGATGACTTGTGTTGTGAGAAAGCAGTCAAATCAGATGCCAAAGCTGACAGCGTGTGCTGTCATAACTGACTGCAGACGTGGCTGCCTCACAGTTCAGCGAGGGGTGTGTATTCAGGTGTTCAGAGCTCTGCAAAAAGAGGAATGTCTGAGCAAAGAAGGTGCTTTAGCCCTGCAGTACACTGAGCTGGAGAACATACAGGCACAAGTTAGAGTTCATATCACAGTTTTCTTTCTTGAGGGTAGAAAGTTGATCCAAGTTGAGGTGCCTAATGTTGCTTACTGTCGGTCCCTGAAAGCATTACTCTTTCCTGTTACCTTGACAAGGGCGCCTTGTTTCTAAGAGTAGTCAGAGGGTCTTTTTTACAGACTCGTGGAATGTCAAAGGATGTGACGTGTTGCGTAATTCCCGCTCTTACTGTGAGGGAATGGGGGGGTGCAAGGTAAATACAAGAGGGGAGAAAAAGAGAGCGTAAGCAGAACTTTCACTCGGCGTCTGGTGGCCATGCCCAGTGTACAGAAGGTCTGTGAGGCCAAAAAAGCTTAGACTCGTGCCAACCACAGAGTCTCAGAGTAGAAACTTTGCAGACCGCACATTCATGAGGCAATGCTCCACAGTTTGGCTCCACTTTACCTTTGAAAGCTACTTTTAGTGCTGAAAGACTTTTGAAATACTCTTCTTGCGAGTCTTTCCTGCTAAAATTCACTCGTAGCTCATGCATCATCACACCCTTTCCTGTGGTTTTTGACCTGTGAAATCTTCTCAGAATTTTCACCAGATCTTTCCATGACAGTCGCTCTTAAAGTTCTTAGTTCATTCCTGAATAAATACAACATGGTCTGTACCACCTAAATATTGCTCACAGGCATGCACTTACTGGTTACAACTGCTGAGCTCTAAAAGAGGTCTAATTAAGTCAACAAACCTATTATTACTTGGCCGCCCTGGACCACAGACTGCACAAGTAAAATCTCACTAACTGCTCAACAGGACCTCTACATTGAGAACGTTTTTAGAGCTAGTTTTAACTTTGAGCTGAAAATGTGCCTCAGAAGTTGTGGAAAATCCAACAACTGTATTTGGCTCTTTTTTTCCCCTCCTAATTTTCCCCCAAATGAAGTCCTAAAGTGAGCCTCTACATCAGTGTGAGCTTCTTCTGCTGCTCTGAGCTGGAGCTCTGGCAGCCCTCCGTACCTGACGAACATGTTCCACTCGCACTCGCGGGTCTTCTCTCTGCATTATGTAACAGAGCATTTACTCCTCCTAGCAGACAACATGCCTGCCATCTGGTTTGATACGACTTCCACATGCTGGTTTGCATAACATAATGCCAACCAAATGTTGCCATCCTTGAAGGCAGTTGCTATCAGACGTATAAATAACGTGTGGAGTCTGAAAACTACGATCATGTCAGTACAGATTGAGACTTAAGATATGTGCGACCTGGCAGCGCACCAGTTTGGAAAATTCTGTCGTTCCAGGATCTTTGTGAGAATCAAAAATTAGTGTTGCTGTAGAAAGTGTCATGAAGACCATTCGTTTGCAATAGCATGTTTCTTTTTACTCGTAAGTGGGGAGCAGGTGTGTGTGTCTGCATGATTTATATATATCTATCTCCTCAAAGGCTACTTTGTGTGAAGGATACTGTCTGCCATGGAAACAAACTAAATTGGTACTTAACCTCCTACTGAACTACAACTGCATTCACAAATCAGGACAAATAGTCTCTGTATCTCAGTCGATGTTTCGGACTCTTAAACGTGTATCTTCGCTGACATGAACATCATTTTGTCAGATATTTTACTGTTTACTGTTCACACCTCCCTGAAAAACATTCACCCAGAATTTGACCATTACATTACAGTTTCTTCAGTTTAAAAGCGAAGTCCAGCATTGATTTAAAAATGAATAATTATATTCATATTTCATACGTGTCTGTCATTTTCATATTCATACAATCAGTGTGATACAAGTTAGGCATGTATAGACAGAGCAGACAGGCTGAGATTTACTTCTAGGGGGGAAATAATCAAAGTCCTTAAACCTAAAGGCAGCAATACCTCATAGTGAAGCATTCAGTGTTATTATTATTATTTTTTTAATCAGCCCTGAGGCTCATTCTCTGGTAGAAACACAATAAATAATTTCCAGAAATAAAATATTGAGTTTGCACAGAAAGTGTAGATGTATTTCTTTATTTAGCTGCTGATTTAGCACAAGGACCCGCTGAGATCAAGCTCACGTTTCCAGGATTGCTCTGCAACAATATAAAGATAATCAAAGATCTCTTGATATTTTATAAGCAACGGTTTTCTCAGTAATAGAAACGATCTTTAATTCTGAGGGGTGGGCTTACTCTCTTGAATCTGGGTCTTTATCTGGCAAAATCCAGTTTTTATCTCTTGATCCTCCGGTCTTTGACTCCTCTGAGGATGTAGTGGGTCAGTGACCGGATCAAATAAACCCTCCTGGTAGAGTTCAGTATTCCTCACACTGGCCTTGCTGACACAAACCAGTTTTTTTTCCTTTTTGACCTCCCAGTTCCAGGCAGGGTGATAAGAAATGGTCAAATATCAGGTCGCCCAGTCCTGCAGGTTGAACAAACACACTCAGCTCAGTGTTAGGTTAAACTGGCTGGATTTTACTGTCTTGAGTTCACTTTCAATTTTCAATATTAGACAGACTGTAGTGACTTTAAGTAACACAACAGATTTCATTTAAGAGTTTAAGAGGCCAGCTCAGATTATTTTACCTAGGGGGTTCAGTGCTCATTGCAAAATGTAGTTCCATTCACTACATCACCCATGACTCTGATTGATGCCTGCAGGCGGAAATTTAGAAATCATAGTAAATTATTGGTATTTTATTCATTCAATTCATTTACTTCCATTATGAAAATATGAAATTTTCATTAGATATTTATATTTCAGTCACTGTCTAAGTTGCTGTAATGATAAAATCATCATTGGATGCACCAAAAGTGTATTTTTATTTGACTAATCACACTCTCTCTCTCTCTCTCTTGAAGGTATGCCATGGCCTTGTACAACCAGCACGTGTGCCCAGTGGATAATTGGTACGCTGCTTTATTCGTCCTTTATTTCTGCTTCATCAAACCTCTATTGATCCCCGCTCACTTTATAAAATCAAACCTCGCAGTGTGGCGATGTGTCACTGTCAGTTTTTATTCCCTGTTTTTTTTTTTCTCTGCATGATGGAGTCAGTCCTGTTTGTTGCATGTTACACACTGAGGCAATTGCTTTACAGGATAAATAAAAGAGAATAAGACAAGCAGAAATATGATCTAAAAGAGGAGGGGTGATAATATTTAGATTCATTTAAATAATTAAGAAGAAGTGTGATCAGCAGAGGGTTCTTGTAGGTCTGAAGTGTGATTGTATTTAGTTCATGCTCTGTCAGTGGGTGACTGAACACTCCCCTGGATGTGAGGTTTGTCTGGACAGGCTGATTTAATCTCTACCGGCGGAGCAACTTTTTGATGACGGGTGATTTTCTGCCGCTCTGTTGTCAACCTCTAAAACAAAATGCTGCCTGGATGTTACCCCACAACATGGTGCTCAGACAAAAAGTTGAACAGTTCAATTGGACTGTTGTATAAAAACTACAACTTATTAAACATCAAAATTAACTTTTTATTCAAGAAACTCAAAAAATATACAGAAATATATTCATACCTGTTTTTCAGGGGTTGTATGTTTGGAGTTGTGCTGATATTTCTACAGTTCAAAACTCCTCTATATGTGCGTCTCTAATGTGTGTGCATGCGTGTGTTTGATGTCCTAGGTTGTACAACCAGTCATGTGAAGAGGAGCTGTATTTGCAGAGTGGACCGACCTTGTGCTGCACATTAGACAATGTACCTCTCATCAGGTTGGTGAAAGCCCACCCTCACTTCTCCCCCCGTCTGTCTCTGCTCTTGTCTTTTCTCTGTCTTTTGTTTCTAGCTTCTGTCTGGCGCTTTAAAAAACAGGAACAGTGTCCCATTGTTTGACGTGACCCCTGTCGGCACATTGTTGATAAAAAGCGAGCAAACTTAAAGGAGACAGTCCTCCTGAGTGCGGGTGTGTACATTCTGAAAATAACTTGGGGCTGAAATATCCTGCTGCCTGCCACCGTGGCACTTCTGGGGAAAAGCATGGGTCTGTACTTTACCATGAAAACACACACACACACAGAGGAGTCGGCTTACATTTGGAGGGAATCAAGACACTCCCACTCTTATGTTTAGCTTTTGTGCCTTTGAGCTTTAAACATCAAAGACTAGAGTGTAAGTATTGTGGTATGTACGAAACAACTGGAGGAAATTATTCCAAAAAGAAGTGAATCATTTCTCTAACCGCGTAACACGTTGATGAGTAACAGGGGTGAGAAAATATTCAAACTAGATGTTGAAAATGTCTCAAGGTTGGAAGAGTAATTTTTAACCAATGCAGTGCACATATAGAAGCCTAAATGTAAAGTTTTAAGAGAACTTGTCAGGCTGTTGAACTGTTCATCCATCCGCTAAACACATCAAAGTCTCCTTCACAAACCATCAGCGTGAGTCTGTTTGAATTTTACGTTTTACTGAGGAATGTGTGTGTGTGTGACTGCAGTCAGCTGAGAAAGCTTTGGCTTTGTTGGCAGCTGCAGCTCGGGCACAGACAGCCTGTGTTGACTGTCTCCTGCCTTCCCCTCCTACAAACATTTCCCATTCCTAGAGGAGAGGCAGTAAGCAGTAGGTGAAAAGTCAAAAGCTTCTAGATGGGAAACGAGGAAACGTGATTTCCCCCCTCCTTCCTTTCCTCCTTATTGCATGAGCAGAAATGCATCTCTGTAAACATGCTATGTGCCGTTATAAATGCCCAATGATGGCGGGGGATAAGTGGTGCTGTTTCTATGTTTACAGCATTTCACTGGTTTATGCCGTGTACTCTCTTTTGCAGTAAATGTGGGACTCTTCCCCCTGAGAGCTGCTTCTTCAGCCTTATCTGCAGCACAGGATCATTCATGGGTAAGTCATCGTGTGCACACGTGAACATTACATGCATGTGAACAAGTCCCAAGCATCGATACCAGCTTCAGTTTCAGCTGTGAGTCACCTGATGAGAAGCAGCTTTATCAAAGATCCCACTATCATATCATTTACTCTGTTTATTTGTCGGCTGGCAGAAGCGAACATAACATCTTTATATTTGTTGCTTATTTGTTAGTAACGATAAAAGCAAATTCTCACTGTTCAATCTTGGAACCAGTTGCTGAATGACATTTTTTCCACTTAAAGATGATTAAACTGATTGTGGTTTCAACTATTAAAGCAGCTCCTGACTAATTTTATGTCCCTCAGCCTCTAGTTTGAGTAGTTTGAGTAATTCACAAATGGAAAAGAGCTGATCACAAAAATAAGTCGTACCCTGCCAGCGGGGGGTTCGATTACAAAACACAATAAATGGCCCTCCCTGAGTCATGTTATGTCATATCATCATTGTGTTATCACTTTTGTTTATATTCTAATCAAGCTTTGTTCCCCTGTGTTCACAAATGACTTTCATTCGCTTGACTTATTGTCCATCAGCTCTGTATTGTCTCCTCACACACATACAGTCGTGGCACCGACAGCTTTCCTCTCCTACAGCGCAGCAGCAGCAGCAGCAGCAGGTCCCACCCCACCTCCTACTGTTTCTGCTTTTTTTCAATGCGTCTGATCTTTTCACAATCATTGGCAGCATGTTTTATAAAGACGCCCAAACACCACAACATTCGCTTTGAAATCTTTGATCCCACATGATCGCTTTCTCGCTCCTAGTTGTAAGACATTGGGGTGAGAGAGGGGTGAGAGATAATCTCCTTCATGGATAAATAAAGAAACACAGACACTTGGGCGGACTGTACAGATATCAACTGTTTAGGGGTTAAAAGAGCTGTCATTATTAAGTGATAATGCTGTCGTACCCGATCAGATGGCTGTGAAGTGATTTACTATAGAGCCCCGGGGCATATGCGATCCCATGCACACAGATATCAAATCCTTACTCATGGTATATAACCTGTACCCATGAATTTACTAACAGTGAGTATTGATTCATCATTCTTACTCACGGATCTGCAATCTGTGCACACAGATTACAAATTTGTACTTACATAATGATGTCCTTTTCTATTTTACAATGACTGGATCATTAACACGGCAAACACATCCGGCAAGAACATCATACTTTTATGTATTTACTGGTAGGCCTAGATATGATGCTGTTGGGGGAGTATCATCCTCATATACCTTTTACTACCTGGCTGTATCATCTGTTAAGATGCAGTAGCCTGGGATTTGCATATGCGACTTAATTTTTTCCTACCTGGCAACTAGAGGGGGTCCATAATTTACAGCATGCAGACCACAATATCCTTCATTTGCATTTACGCAGCTGACATTTCACAGCAGTACATTAGCAATTTAAAAGGGAGCTGGAGAAGATTTTCCACTCAATGATGGCAACCAAAAGTGACAAAGTTAAACCATCTCATAACTTATTAAAGAGGAATGCATTAAAACAGGATTGGTTGATAATTATGATCTGAATCCATACTAAAAACAGCATTCCTGAAACTACATTAGCATTAGAAAATTAGCTGTGCATCAGATGGTGAAAAATTAAACAGAGTTGTTTTGATCTGTTAAGACCTCAGAATAACGTTAGTTCAAGATAACCACTGAAAATGCAAAAACTACAACCACACTGACCGAGCGCTCGAGAAAACCCTGCATGTGGTCCGTCCAAATCAAAGAGAGGGAAGAAATAACAACAAATTAAGCCTCAGAATAGTTTGATGCAGTGGGTATTTTGGTAGGCATGAGGAAACATGCATAATCAGAAAAGGGGAATGAGGTCCCATGTGCTGGCCTGTATGTTTTTTGTGAGTCTACACGTGCTGTTCCCTGCACCAACTGGTGGGTCTGATCTGGTTAATGTTTCCCAGCTGTGGTAGAGACATGTTCCCTGTATACGTGCGTGTGCGTGTGTAAGTGAGTGTGTGTATGCGAGCGTGCACGTATATAAAGCGGGGGAGAGTTTTCTCTGCCTTGTTTGTCTTTTCATAAGAAGTCTCCATGACTAGAGCAGCTATTTAAGGCCTGTCTGTTCGCCTGTGTGATTGGCTGACTGTTGGTAGTCCCATCTGAAGGGAAGGCAGAGACATGACAACATAATGATGATTGTTGCTTCAGAAATAGCTACGATAATGTAGGCTGTATCCTGCGTGTTGCTCAGATTCAGATTACAGCTCTATTTATTCTGAAAACAGAGAAACCTGTTTGTGTGAGTTTGACCAACAATGTCAGCCAACCTTGACCCCAAAAGCTCAGTTTGTCAATCTGTCATCTTTGTGTACATACACTTACTTATATGTGTGGAAGAAAGTGAGAAAGGATGTACGTATTTTTCTTTGACTGAGCTGTAAGCTACACAAAGGTAGACAAACAACAATGGAGCAGACAAACAATGCAGCATCACAAGGTTAACAGCCAAACAAAATGAACAGAGAGTCTCTGAAACTTTTCAGTACAAGTAGAAGAAATAACAGGATACGTTGTTTAAAAACTGTCTGTTATATCATCCTCTCTATTGGTCTTTCCTTGTGCGTATCTACTATTAATCACAGTAATAAGCAAACTGAACTGCACTGAATGTTGTGCTTCACTCCCAGTGTCACAAAGACCCTCAAGATTTCAATGGAGACTCTTGGAACTAAGTGTTTATAGCTTAAAATAAAACCAGCCTACTTAATACTACAATAAAAGCTTTATTTTTATAGCACTTTTATAAACAGAAGTTTGCAAAGTACTTTGACAAACAGCCATAAAGCACAGAACATCAGCACATAAAAATAAAAACAAATAAAAAACAAAAGCTCAGTTAAAACAAGGCCTCCGAATTGAAAGCCGATTTCATTTGTCATAAGGAACCCAGACAATACAGGAACCCTACAACATAAAATGAGACCATGAGGACCAAAATAAAAATAAAAAATAGGTAAGAAAAAGAAATGTGATAATAAAAAAAGGTAGAAATCAGGAAACCGGATAGAAAATTTAAAAAGACGATATTAATGATGATAATAAAATCAAACCAAAATAATAATGATGGTAATAGTAATGATAAAATAGAATGAACAGGAAAAAAATCAATAAAAGTATAACAAAGGCTAAAAAGACAGTAAGTCGAAATAGGAGAAAGGTAAAAGAGATAAAAGAAAAACGAGAAAATATTAAATATTAATATTAAAATCAAATCTCTTTAACAACAGTTTTAATACAGAGCAGCCTGGTTTTTCTTTTTTTAATCAAAACTAAAATATAATCAACTGTAAAAAAAACTGTATATAGTTATTGTTTCACAACCACTTACACTGGTATATCTGCATTTAAGCAATGTAAGCGTGCATCTTGGTATGTAGGTACTTCCAGGTACCTCTGCTAGACGGGGAGCTGTGTTATCAGCGAATATAACACAAACACCCACATAGGGATTAATTGCATTAGATGACTGCGTCGTCTATAATGCTGAAGTGAAGCTACAGTTACACCCAGCTGTTTGGCTCTGCAGGTGATTTCAGTCCACAAACCATCAGGTCATGTTGGGTTGCATTCACAGCCGCCCTGCCTGCATGGTTTCCTCCTCAATCTAATTAGTTCATTGCAGGGCATGCTAATACTTATTGTAAAGCAAGTTAATATGGCTCCACAAAACTAGGTTAAGCTAATGTGGCATGTAGTTGTACAACAGGCTATTGCAAATAGTCCGAGCTTAGCCTTTTAGCCTATTGATTTGTGTCTCACTTGACAGATTTAGCTGGCTGCAGTGGGCTCAGGGCTTTACTCTTTTCATGGACTCGATGAACTGTACGTTGCCTCATAATTATTATTCTTTCTTTTAACGTGGCTCCCACCTCTCTGCCAGAGTACACGCACACAATGTTTCAAAGACAGTGCATGTACTCCCTCGCAGCATACCTCCTGTGAGAGAGAATGCGGCCTGGTGTTTGGGTTGAAACGCATCTCCTTGAGGGGACTGTGGAGTTTATTTAACTGTGAGGTGTGGTGTGGCCAATGTGAGGTTGATGGGAAATGGACTTGTGAGTGAGAGAGAGAGAGAGAGAGAGAGCACTTCACAGGTTTTAGTGTTAAACCACGTCTGCGCAAAGGCAAGTCTGTGCCTGCGATAACGGGCTGACATATACACGTTTTTGCAAAGGTAACATAAGTGTATGTGAGTGCGTCAGTGTTCCAGCCAAGACTCTGCTTCCTCCCTCAGGCTTCCTGAGTCCAGAGTTAAGGACGGAGAAAGCACCCAGATGAAGCACGGTGACAGAGGCGGGGTCAGTGTGAGGGAAACAAGTTGGCGGGGCGTGTTTATGAAAACGTATTCCTGTTATTGAGCTTTTATTAGACAACAGTTAATCCTGACTATTAGAGGCCAGGTGGAAGGCATCCATGCTGCTTACTCATCAGACACGTAATGTCCTTGTGCTGGAGACGCCTGTGACCCCTCAACGTGACATGCATCCTTGAAGGAACCAGCCGGCGAATGAGGAAAACAGCTGTGCCTTTTCGGGCTGTGTGATAAATTACTATTTCTTCATAATCACAGTTTAAGCTTCCACTGCGATGAATAACCAAACTGATTCTGTGTAAACAAGTGCTTCCTCACTTAGCAGTTGAACAATTTTGGCTGTTGGGTCTTGATAACAGAAATGAGCTTTTCGATCTTTTAATATTAGCTGTGAGTTATGACTGATATAACATGTTTTGTATATCAAGATTCAACTGTCTAGACTTAACCTATATCATGTCAGCCTATAGCGTGTTAGAGTGAGTTTCGTAAAAGTCAAATACAGATAAGCAGAGTAATGGGAGAAATGTTCATCCTTCTTTAACCTTCGGGCCGAGCTGACATCATCCTCTGATCGCTTTTAAATGCCAGCAAGCTCAAACGTGCTCGTTTGTAATGATGAAAAAGTCATTTTGTTGAAAGAGAGGGAAAAACCACAGCCAGCCAGTCTGCAGCCAAGAGGCTGAGATGCCGTAATGAAGGAAACTGCAGCTGACTTTTTGTCCCTGTAGCTATAGAATATGAGCTCCATTTGACAGAAGAAGAAGAGGAAAAAAAAGAAAGGAGTTGGCAAAGACAAAGACATGATTGTTTCTAAGCCTGGAGACACTGCTGTTTGTTTTTCCAAGAATGTTGCTGAAATCACTTTACAGAGATGATTTTAGTGCAGCAGGAACAAAAACACACTCAGGAGACTGGACTTCAGGACATGGACAAATAAACAAATGTTATATACATTTGAATCTACATTATCAGAACATTATATAACATGTATATATTAACTAGACATCCTGTGCATGTAACATGTGTTTCCCTGGAAGTTCGTCTGCGACTGTATTTATCTTTATCGACCTGGACATGTTCAGTTATGTAATGAAACATGCTCCATGTTAAAGCTACTGTAAGGGACTTTTGGCTTTTATTGATTTTAGACCTGTTTAACAGAGTGTCTCCTTGCTGAAAAAACAACCTGTTGTTGCAAAAGAGACATTACAACAACCATCTTTGTGGTTTGTTTGCTTTATTAGATCATGAATTTTAGCAAATCAGTTAAAAACTCCTCATGGTGTCAGTATTTACAGCAACATTGTCATATATTTGCATGCTGTTGTGTCTCAAAAACCATCAATCTTGCAAAGGGTGAGGCTCTTACTTGCTTTTTGCGGGATTAAAATTCAACCCTGTCAAATTTAATTTGTTCTTAGAGCGGTTAGAGAGCAAGAGCTGCTGCAGTAAAATGACAATAGTCTTAAATGCTTTTTAAATGTTACTCGAAACTATTTGTCTTTGTTGAGACCGTGAAGACAAATATTTGTGTTCTCAAGAGTTGTGTTTTTCTGTTTTTCTTTTGGATGTCCTCGCAGATTTTTGCTTGTGGCCAGAATTTCCCCCTTTCTTCATCAATAAGATCGCTCACAACAAAATTAAGATGAATGGCTGCCACTTTTTTTTCTATAAGTCATCAGAAGTTGAAATAAAAAAACTAATTTACCAATTGGAGAACTTTCCTGACATCCATCATGGTTACTGGTTCAGGTTGAGGTTGTGGTCAGCTTATGAAATGCAACCTGTCATTGAGGGGCCGGTCCAGACTAAACCCTGACTAGTGGAGACAAAGCTTTACATTGTTAAATCCTGCACTGGAGTTTTCTTTCCTCTCTCTCTCTGACCGCACTTTCCACTTATTTTCTTTTTTTGGCAGCATGGACCGCCTTAGAGCCTGTAACTTTGACTAAGATAGTGACAGCAGTGAGTAAAGACAGCAGTTCAAGCCCTGGGACTAATGTACTGGCTTCAGGTCACAACACAAGGGGCTCCATGTCCCCCTTATTTCTTTAAACTCTCCTTTTTTTCCCTCTCACCCCATTTTCACCAAACCCAGTCAGCCTTCGTCAGGCAATAGGCGTCAGGAGCTAACAAAGAGAAAGCAAGCGGGGGTCGACCTCCAACAATACCCCCAGTCACAGACTATTAGCACATCAGCAGTGGTCTGTCTCATGTACTGTACTCAGTTCCCCTCCACCTTTTGATCTTACGTAAGACTCGGACCAGCCCTCACACAGGCATCAGCCCCACTTTCCCGCCAATTCATGCTTCTCATTTTTCCATTCTGAGCTTGTGTAACTAAATCAGCTTTCTGGAAATCCATGTGTTTTTTGGCTAAATGAGGTCTGTGTGTGTGTGTGTGTGTGTTTGCATTAATTGAACCCAGGCCTTGAGAAATAATAATACCCCCAAACCTGCTGTGTGTGTGGTGCTTTTCCAGAACAAACAGACCTCCCCTCCTTTCCTGACAGCCTTCCACAGTTCTGGTCCAGATTTATTTATTTATCAACTGAAGTACTGACTCATCTTCTTCTTGTCTCTTTGTCTGTTTTCTTTCTTTTGTTCTATAGTTATGGTGATTGTGCTGCTCCGCTATGCCCACGTCATTGAGAAGCACCAAAACTGTGTTCTTAACACAGCGAGTCTCTCCACAGGCTGGATCTGTGCCGCTGGACTCATCATGGTGGGCAACTTCCAGGTACGCTGACCCTGTTTACTCACCTAGTAAAGCAAACATGGCTGAATGGGATAACAAACAATATACAAGATAAAAAACAGATGATAGCTAATGATATTCAATGAGGAAAACAAACATTATGGTGATAAAGAAAATAATTTATAATGCGCCTTTCAAGATCAGAGCTGCGAGGTGTTCTTCACTGGCAGACATTAACATGCAAGGAGTAAAACAACAAAGTTAAATAACCAAAATATAAAAACACACAATGTTTGCAGGACTTTTACAACTAGGATAAAGTGTCATACTCCAGGACCCGAGCTAAACAGTTTAGCAGGTCCTGTTTGATAAGAAACACTTCTGTTACAGACACTTGACTTACTTTGTTAAAGCGGTTTACCTGTCCAGCAGAAAGGTTACAGGGTCCGCAAGATCCCGAAGCATCCCCCATCATTGTTGACCGGCTTCTTAACTCTTGTCTGGTCTACCGCCTTTTTAAGCGCCCGCTATTCCGCCAGAGTCTCCAGTATTTACTTTTTTTTCTTGCTTGTGTTAGCAGTCGTGGCTAAAGGAGGATTCAGACAATTTCCCGTACTTTCTGGTTGGTTTCTACTGTCCAATATTGTAGCACGCTAACTTTGTTTGGGCTCCTGAATGACTCGACGACAGCGTCCGCCTCACGACCAATCAGGATGGGGGAGGCGGGGAATGCCTTTGTTTACAGTCAGAAAGAGCGGAGTGCTCTGAAATTTTAAAATGTTGACTACACAGATATAACAAAACACAGCGATATCGTTATTTTACCAAATGTCATCAATAACTAATAGCTATTGACTGATGCTTCTTTAACAGATTCCTGCCTACCCCACCTTTAACTTGATAACAAGCTGAGAGGTTTAGAAACTTTCTGCTAGAAGACCTTTTACAGCAATCAGGTGCTCAAGGACATCTGTCTTCTAGTGACAGTTTGACTATTGCCCAAACAAAGTCCTTCACAATAAAAATATCTAATATAATTGAAGCTCCTGAGAGGAACTTCTGGATTCGGTGCCCTCCTTTGATAAAGCAGCGTGGTTTATCTCTCTATTTATCTTGTCCTGTGCATGTTTTTAACACGAAACAGATACTTTTACTTACAGGTAGTCAAATCCCTCACCACAAAGTAAACCTTTCCCTTTGAAAGTGTAAACAAAGCATGTTTTGACAGAGAGCTGTAAATCTTCTGTGTACCTCACACCCCTGGCAGTGATTACCTGTGGCAGAGATAATTACTTTGAAATAATAAATCATGTTGCTGATGATCTCTGTTGCTGCTTTATAAGGTCATTTAACACCACCAGTATTGATTTCAGTCTGTTTTATTACTCATCGCACAAGCTTTCATTAATCCTACGAGTGATTTTCAGGCTAAATATCAAGAGTATCTGGTTGTTGATTCTTCAGTCAAGTAGTGTAATTGCAGGCCTGCAGCCTCTTCTTTTTTCAGTCTCTGTCGTGCACACATCTTGATTTTCACAGTAAAAACAAACTCAGGTGTGCTAAAAGCTGAGGTGAAACTCTGCTCATTTTTCCAGGTTGTCAAGTGTTAAAACTTTTGGCTCTGGGAGAGGAACCTGAATTCCTTCCCTGTAGATGTTTGTTCTTTGGAGAAGAGTTTGTTCAAGTTTAAATATTTGGAGCTCTGGCTGGAGCTCTGCCCTGAATGTGTTTGTGTGTCTTTTTGAGAACGCCGTAGTTACATGTAGCTTTTAGAAGACATTTGTGGTATTTTTATTGAAGTAACGAGCTGTGAATGAATTTAGCGATAAAATAAACACAGTTTGGTTTCTCATGAGAGCCTGGAAACTCCTGTGACATTTAGTTACTTCATATTTTGTCCTTTAACTTTTAACATTTAAACAATACTCGACTGTTTATGGGAAATAATCGTGAATGCCTGAGGAGGTAGAAGACATTGGCCCAGCTTTCTGCCAAAACATGCCCTCAGTTTTTGATACTAACTTTTAAAAGCTGCAGTGGCAAGAGACAAAACTTTTTATTTACTTGTTCACGATTAATGTTTTCATTGTCACTGTGAAATCATTTCCAGAAAACAGTCCACATGCTACTGTTTCACACAGCGTCCTCTTCCCTGAGACAGACTATAAATCATAGTATGTTCATGATTCATTATTCTGAGGGTGTTTGCTCATGTAGGAGTAGTGACCACATTGATTTTCACTTCCACATCTGTTTTTCTTACAACATCATAATTTATTAGCCATGTTTCCACCGTTAATGGGGAGGGTGATTAGATACTCAGAGCTGCATTTTTTCCTTTCTTCGTGTTTAATTTAGAGGAGAAAGATTAGCAAATAAATCTGAGATATGGAAAAGTACAACTACCTGTGTCTGAAGTTCTCTGTGCGCTGAAAAAGACTAGGAAAAGTACTTTTACGGGAGTGTGTTGAACAGATGTGCAGTGGCAGTTTGTCTTAGAGCACAGAAAGGTCGTCTGCACCACCTCTGCTCTGCTCTGCAGAACTGGGAGGAATTTAACGGGAAGAGCCAGGGGGAAGTGAGTCATCAAGTCTGGCCATGCATGGAGGGGAGCTGGGCAGACAGGGTGTGTGTAGCCGGGGCCTCGCCTATAACCAATCACAGGCCAGATCTTAGCCACTCACCCGCTCGCAGACTTGCATCTCTTACAGTCAGGGACATTCCAGCGGGATGGAAATAGATATGTCATCGATGGAAAATAAACATTTAACGACATAATGGAGCAGAGATTCTGCTGCAAAATGAAGCTCAGACCCAAACTCACACACTGCAAACAAACACACGGACTCATCATCCTGAGGCAAACACCACAAACACGCAGGGATCAGTGGGAGAGGACAGCAGCCAACATTTGATGAAACTGACAGATCAAAGAAAAACAACACATGGAAACTTCCTCAGCGGTGGCAACCACGGTTTGTAGTTTTGTGTTATGTAAGACTTTGGCAGCGCAGCTGTGGTGTGGCCACTGGGGCTTTTCCTGTCAGGCGGTCTGCCGGTTTTGGGCTGAGAAACGCACGTTTAGATGATGGAGAAGAACATCGCTGCCACGCCAAGGCTCGTGCAAGATGGCTAGGGTTAATGCTGCTTGTAGGATGAGAAAAACAAACATACATTCAGGGTATTTTTCATTACAGTGTAGTGTGTAAGCAAAATTAGATTCTCATCTTGAGATCCATACCACTCTCTTGTCGGTACTGTAACTACGGTGGTAAAAGCAGCAGCTGGTTTGTTTATCTAAGCCTGGAAACAGATAACAGAAACATCCTCCCACTTCAAGGTCTTTTCGAGATGGAGCAAGAGAGGAAAATTAAATCGACCTGTATGACTGAAAAATGTAATCAAGTCTGGGTTCATGGTTCTCGTGCATCAGTTAGTGTCAAAAGTTGGCTTCAGTCTGGAAGGAAAAATGTGATGATCATAATATTTAGGCTTCGTCAGGTGAAAACATTTCCCCTCGATCAAGACTGTTGTGTCAGAACACTGTGATTATTTACTTTCTGGGGAATTGACTAAGTGTGTGGGCTCGTCTTCTTCCTCTTCTTGCTGCCTGTCCTGCACCTACGTGATGTCCGTACAGCAGCGCTTGTGTAATAATGCGTCTGACTAACTAAAACAAAAGCTTCAGGACTTCTGTGAGAATTCTTTACACCCCATTGAATTTTGTAACACCGGGAACATTTGGTACAAAAACAATATGTTGCTCAGAAGTCCGTGGATTTTGCTTTATTTATGGGGCTGTTTCAGTGTTTCTAAGGGCTTCAGTGACTTTTATGCAGGGGGGTGATGATAATACTATGTGTCCCAGGTTTAAGAGGGTTTGGTGTCATGGTTGTTCTATAAAGACTGAAGGTCAAGACTATTTTATTTGGTCCTTTTTTTATTATTCTTGAATCTCACTACACCCTCTATAAACCCTGGAAATACACAATAAATTGTATATGGCACACTTTTTTGGTGTTATATAGAGTTAGAGTAATTCACATGTCTTCTCCCTGCACACACATGGTGACAGCTCCCCCCCCTTAAGGGACCGTGAGCTCTGCTGATTCCAACATTGCTCTGTGTGAACGTCATTACTATTCATATATGCAGGGGAGCTGCTGGTCACTGTCAGGCTGCAGGAACTGATTTATCAGCCTGAACTTGCTTAGTCATCAAGTTGCATCTTACATTAGATTGAGTGTTGCAGAGGTTCAGGTCTAAGACCTTTACAATGGCATTTCACACAAAGGTGCAGACACTTAAGTGTATAAGGAAGCCGCCACAATAGTCTGGAGGCCTTAGTGCATCATTTTTTGTTGATGGATAAGTATTGACTTAACCCGTCTCTTGATTGAAGAAACAAAGGCTTGACCCGTACCTTTCTGTATTGTCTATTTTTCTTTAAATGGAACCATGATTCACATAATGGATGTAAACAATGCATGAATAATGAAAAAGAAAGTCAAGGCCAATAACTCAATAAGGGAATCATTACGGTGGGTTGAAAGAGGAGAGGTTATCTGTATATTGTGAATTCGCAGCAGTGTCTATGATACTGGTGTGGTTTCTCTCAGTGCATTTACATTCACATTCAAGCACATGCACACCCTCAAAGCTTTGTTCCATGCTGCCTGTGCCGCTGGTTCACAGTCATCCCAGCTCACCCCCCTCTGTTCCTACCTCTGATGCTGGTGCATTGGGGGTGGGGTGGGGGGTGACTTGGTCCTACCATTATCCCTTTGAGACACGAAGGCGAGATGTCACAGGACGGTCACTATTGTGCTTTTCACCAGCAATATGAAAAAAGGTTTTGAGTATTTACAATTTAACTTACTGTTTCAAACTGTGGAGTCTCCTCCTGGTGGTCAGTAGGAAGAATGCAGGTTTAAGGCACGCACACACATACTCTCTAAGGCTGCATTTACTTGTTAAATATATGATATACTGTCTATGGTGGCTATTTTTGGCTGCTGCAGGAAATATGAGATGTGGCAGACAAAGGCAGATAAACACAAAGATGTAATTTCTGATATAAAAACATATAGAAATCTTTAAGTGGCCAAGCCCAGCCCTCACCTCATCTTGTTATCCCCTATATGCCTCTCTGCCCACATGTTTCATTGTTGTTTATCATTGCTTGTGCCATTGCTTTTCAGAGCCTTTTATTACCCTCTATCACATATCAGTTATTCATAGTCTTAAATGTGTCACCCCCGGGCCCACCTGTTGTCCTCTTCCTTAACTCATGGCCCATGCATGCTGTGTCAAATGTGAAAACATACATTAAGTTGTACAGGAACAGTGTACCCGCGGGGTTAATGTGTCACTAATGCAGCAGGTAATGACTTTAATTCGTGATATATCTAGGGCACCAGACACACACAAACACCTACCTACTCCCACACACACTCTAGTGGTATAGACAACAGAAGAGTGTATCTATATATATTCTATAAGCATTTTTATTTAATTCAGTCACTCTTCACTTCACTTCACTTTAACTTTATTGTGTCCCAAAATGGGCAAATCGGGTTGCAGCAGGCACAGGCATTTAAAACACAGCCATACATCATAAAATAGAATAAAATAAAATAAACACATTTACATAAAAAACAGTTCAGGAGGTAAAAAGCTTTAAAGATGATTAAGAAGGTAAAAAAAAACAAAAACAAATGTCAGTCGTACCAGTATTTTTGTGCATAAAATGCAGAAACAAAGTAAAATATGCTCTTAATTACTTGGATTAATTTCTTTTCCATGACATTAAATTGAATTTCTTTGAGTTGATTTTAGCCATTATCCCATTTTTAGCTTAATTCATTCCATTAAATCCAATCTAATTTCAGTTACATACAATTCAGTCACATTCTATTCACTTACAGTTAACTGGCTTAATAAGTTTTAATTGAAAAGTATTTGGTGTGTGAAGTAAATACAGATATGAATTACAAAGAAGAGGTAAAAGCATAAAAAAAAACTTTCTCATTCTGTCCTTGTGCCACAAAAGCAACAATTTGACATATAATCAATCATGAGGCCAAAACTGTAAAATGTGTGTTATATGTAAAGATAGTATGATGTAGGTACAGGAGATGGAGAGGAGTAACAGTTGAAATAAAAAACCCTCTTTTTCCCTGGAACAAAATACACTCAGAAAACTTAAAAAAAACGGATTGTTATTTCAGTCTCATCTTCATCTTGGCTCCTGAGAAATCACTGGCATTTGCTGTGTGTGTTTCTCACAAGGGAGCTTTCTAGAAATCTTGCGCTGCTTTGCTTACAGGATTAACCTACTGCACAGGAATGTTGAGTACGTACGAGTCGGGTCATTGAACTTACAGGGCCAAACCTCAATAACTTCTGGAGTGTGGCTGTAATGATCCCTGAGAATCCTGTGGAGCTGAGGGACGCTGTCATTTCAAACATCAGTTCATATCAGTGCATCTAAACCCTGTGTGACTTGGTTTGTGTGGATCCTGGAGTGGGAGCTGTAGTCACATGGTCCATTGCGGCTCTTTTGTGCATTGTTTCATATTGTTCTTGTGACCAGCAGGGAAAAGGAGGGTTTCTGAGCTTTTCTGCGCCCTTGGTTTACCCTCTATTATTCTTTTTTTGACTATATCACAGCACATAGAAGTCAGATCCAGATGCTGACTGATGTTGCCCGACTCTCAGTGAACAGCTGATTATGTGTCTTCTCTCTCTGTCTCTCATTGGCAGGTGGATAATGCCAAAGTCCTCCACTATGTCGGAGCAGGCATCGCCTTTCCTACCAGTATGCTGTTTGTGTGCCTGCAGTCGGCGCTGACTTACCGACTGGCCAAGACCCAAGGGGAGTACAACGTGGCCCACCTCCGGCTCTGCATGACCCTGCTGGCCTTCGTGGCCTTGGTGCTCAGTATCCTCTGCAGCTGTGAACAGATGGCAGCCTTCAGACTGTGAAGGGTTTGAATATAGGGAATAGAGTAGCGCTGCCAGCATGGTTAGGATGTGAGCATCTCCAGATATCAAGTCCTGTCTTTTCGTTTCTGAGTCTGTTGGTTAGTAAAGAACAGGAATTGTCTCGTCACATGACTTTGCTGTTGCTACCCTTAACTTTGTTTCCAGGCGGGGTGTTTTTCTGCCAGGAGAGCTTCGTCCTGCAGCACGCCTCGGCCATCTTTGAATGGGTGTTCTGCGTCATCGTCATGCTGTTTTACGGGACGTTTGTCTTCGAGTTTGCCGGCATGTCGGGGGATACCATGGCAGTGCTGGCTAGAGGAGGAGCCCTGGGACCCGCTGGGAGAGAACACAAGGTGGACGCGCTGGGACCACTAGGAGGGCCCGGTCCGCTCTCGCAGCCTCATCCACACCAACCTGAAAACATGTCCATCCTGTAGCCTGCTGGCTCATCTCGATGCCGCACAGACATTCCTTTCAAACTGCGGTTGATGAATGAGTTTGATTATTCATTTCCAGGCCAGTGCAGCCACTGTTCACGGCAGAGTGGATTCTCCCGTCTCATCCACAGGGGTGTCCGTGCGCTGCCACATGGAGAGCTCAGATTGTACTGTGCTCACACCAGAGCGAGGTTTCTCCTGAAGACTTGTTTGCATTTTGCACATTGCACAAGTGTGAAACCAAAATCTGTCCAAACCCAGTCCTGTTTGTATTTCTCTATCAGTCCAAGAAAAATGTCTTGAGATCCTGTAACCTGTTCAATAAGTGGCCTTGAACCATTGTTTCTCCCTTTGACTGTACGTGAAGGAGGCTGCTGGACGGCCGAGCCGACAGTATTAGAGCTGAGAGACAGAGCGAATCACAGAGACAGAGAAAGAGGTCGGTGTATGAATGATACAGCAAGAGCAAGGTCAGTTTTCCTGCAAGAATATTGAATGCAATAAATCCAGAGAGACAGTCTGTCACGTAGAAGACTTAACGAATGTCGAAGTCAATCCCAGAGACAGAACAGGACAGCCGTTTGCATTTCGCAATCATTTCGACCCACTTTAAGCAATATAGTTTGTATTGATTAAAATAACAGTGTTGTTACAGGTTCATTCATTGTATCAGACTGAAAATGTTACAGATTCTTTAGCTGCTTTTAGCTCGCTGTTTTTAGTTACTCCGCTTGGATACTCCGTCAAGCAAACTGTATTCTGCCTTTAATCCAAAGTTCATAAGTAAGCGATGAAGATTGAGCATTTTGGGGAGAATAAACAGAGAAGGTAATGAATGTTGGTCCAGTCATTGTCAGGTTACATCAAGGGGTCGAAAAGGTGAAATCATGCACCATTCGCAGCTTTATATCTGGTTGATTTGCAAACCCATGCCTTACATTATCCTCAAGTATCCACGGTGCCTCATTGATTTGAACCTTTACTGCCTGGTCTGAGCAGGACATTGTCCCTCCCCCTTCTTGTTTACTTTATTGACCTTAAACTTCAAATACTGTTTGATTCAGCTTCCTTCCTGTATGATCCTGCCAAAGGAAGAGAAATGATCCTGTGTCCAGCAGCCAAATGTGGACCAGCTAATTCAATCCAGAGCTCTGGGTTTATTGAGTTTAGTGACAAGGCATCAGGCGTGTTTTCAGATTCTGTGGGCGGATGTCTGCATCTCATTACCCTCGAACAGGGAGGGGCACCACATGCTCTTATGGGTTTACTTGGTACCTGATTATGAAATTTTAACATCCTCAGTTATATTTTGTAAATCAGGGGGTGTGACAAAGCGAAAGGGAAGGTTTTGTAACATACGTGAGAAGGACTGTGATGCTTTAACGTGGAAGTGCAGCGAAAAACGCCAAAAACCTGTTTGCCTGTGGCATTGGTGCTAAAACTTCTAAGGCCTCATCCGACCTTTGTTCCCTGAGTTTACCTGTGATGGTGTGTGTTAAAGCAATAAGATGGAGCGAATGAGCAGGGGCACGCACCTCTGTGAATACCAAAGCAGATATTAGCCACTACCATCTCATTTATCAATCCTCCCTGCCTGTATCTGCACTGTCTGATGTGTCATTGTGGTTAACCACCATGGTCTGTCTTTCAGCTTGATTGTGCTCTGCCTTTGTTTGACATTCAGTGCTGTTATATAATACAGAGAGTTTACATTCTGGGTAAATTATCCTCATCTGGGTGTAATATAAACTCTTGGCTCGCTGGTTATAGACAGATCACGCAGAGGGTTTATGACAGTAAAAGTCTTGTTAGTGTACCTTCTCCTCATGGTAAAAATATCACCCTCTAAATGCCACATTTGCTCAAGAATTTGTTGGTGTCAGTATTTTCTGTGCAAGTTGCTTAAAATTATAATTCAAACACTATAGAGGTGAAGTTCAGACGTTCACTTTCAAGCTGTATGGATGTATGCGTACTCTTTTTACCACACTGATATGGAAGCGCGTGCACATACAGTTTGGAATGAGCAGGAAGGTGGAAACAATCAGAAACTCTGCTGATCACTTGCTGCCCCCTGCTGGTCAAACTGCACATCACAGACCAACTTGTGCTGGAAGCAGAGAACTTATGGTGTCGGATGTAAACCAAAAAAATTACATCAAAAGGAAAAGTTGTTTCAGTTTTAATTAAGACCAAAACTTTTTAAATGATGGCTCGAATTTGGCTTTAATTCTTCATCGATCTTCAGATTGTTCTTCATCTCTTACCTTTGAGTAAAACCTCATGAAACCGTTTAAGCTGAATGCATTTTAACTATCAAGTTAAAAGCTGCTCATGCTGCTCTTGTAAGAAACATTTTGTCGTTATATAGTTACTGAGAGTGTTTAAACTGTTCATTTCCAGTCAAACACTACAGAATGATTAAAAGTACGTCACTTCAGAGAGGTTTTCTCAGTCCAGTTTGCTCAGCCCTCCACTCATCGTCCTTACTTTTCTGGTTACTGATCAGTCTGAACTTTGCTCTCAGGAAAATGTTACACCAGCTGTGTTTGTGTTTGAGCCGCAGCAGAATGATTCTGCTTGTGTCGCCTTTTGTTTTATCCGTTTTAACGTTATATGTTCACGAGGATCTGTCATGTTTTTGTGTTTTATGTAGCTTAGGTGCGATTACTTTTCTCACAACTGTGGGATTGATGTTTAAGCATTATAGATTATTTTTATTAATCAAGTCTCTGTAAAGCTGAAAATAATAAACATTCCTGTGTATTTAGCTTGTGAGAATGCGTATGCTGCTCAGACAAACACAGTTGAATATCTCTAAGAAAAAAACTTGCAATCAGTAGATTAATGCTGAGAGCTCTATGACAAACTGACCGGCTTCTGGAAACCTCACAGAAATCTGTTCACCGAATGCAAAATGCTCCTATGTGCCTTATGTATTATTTTGATAATGAAAACCAAAGAGGTCTAGGTTGTAAATTCTATTTTGATGAAGTCATGATTGTATATATCTGCCTTAATGTTCAGCAAATAAATGTTGTTAAAAAACAGTCATTTACACATATTTTGTCTCGTGTTTCATTAAAGATCCTGCGGCTTTAGAAGGAGCTGGAAGACAACAGATTATTTCTTGGATTTTCTTTATTGTTGAATTATTTACATTGTCCAGTTTCTGCCAGCAAATTTGACAGAAGGTGACACAGATCATCACATTGAACAGAGGAAAACCTCTCCTATAAAAATAAGGCGGGCAGTAGATAAAAGCAGGGCTGTTGCGCTCACCACAAAGTCTTAAACATCAACAGACAGGAAGTTGGACGACTGTTCACACCTCTTAAATATGCTGGAGGAGGAAATAATTTAACGCTCAAGCTGGCTTGAGGATGTCTTAATGCCCTTTTAAAAATACTTGTATGAATTCTCCCTTTTAACCTGAAATCCCGAGATAAAGATTTCTGCCTGTAAAACCTGATAATAATCTGCTTATACAGAAATAAAGAATAAATTTGCTCAAATCTAAAATATATCGAAGGATCAGATAGTATAAAACATAACAATCATTTTAGCATTGAAATTGCATCACTGCACTGTTATAATGCAACAACTGTAAGACATCAGAGTGGTCCACTAAATTCTTTAGTCCTGAAAGCTTGCATAGAGAGAAGACACTGATTTTCAATGAAATCAGAATTAAGACGTCTAGTTTATTTTTCAGATAACTCAGTCGCATTTACAGACTGAGTCACAGCAGCAGGACTGCAGATCATAGACTGAATATATGCTGCAGGGTAAGACTAAGGAAATTCCAAGGCTGTCAAGATAATGATGAGAGAGAAGAAGAGAAGTATGACAGCAGAAGACGGATGAACTGACTTGAGGTGAGTTGTAACATAAACCTACAACAGTTATAATGACCTGACTGTAACAGTGCAAACAGCTGCACACATTACAAATGAAGACTTATTTCAGAGTTGTGACAAAAAAGAGGATGTTTTCTTGTAAAGGTGAGGCTTTGGCTACAAACGGATAACCTTCTGACATTCATGATAGACGGTAATCATAGCTGTGTTCCCAGGGTCATATTTTCCCATCACAATCACATATTTATCAGACACACTGGGGAAAGTCATTCTTTTGTAGTTTGTATTTTTAATATCTCTTACTAATCTCTTAAAATGATAGCACATGAGGACATTGGGAGTAGAGGTATGACCCCCTAAATAGCAGTACCTGCTGAAGCACTTCCTAAAAAAATAAAGCACCAGGGTTGTTTCTGTACATCATCAGAGAGGAACTGTCACAGCTTTGAGGTAAACATTCTGCTTCCAGTGGGATATGAGACTTTTTTGCTGTTGTGTTCCCTTACTTTACCTGAAAATATCTTTTACTGGTGATTGTTTGAATATTCTTACAGCACCGAAAGTCACAGTCAATTGAAGATTGGGGGAATTGGGAGATGAGATGTCCTCTGCATTGTCCCTTTACATGTACATCAGCTACAACCATGTCTGCGAATAACTACCTCCTCACCTCTTTAAAGCTGATAAAACCCTACTGTTGGCTCAAGTTCTTCCTATTAAAAAAATGCCCTTTCTGTTGACGGAGCAGGCCAGTCACAGCCCATGTGGAGGCATCTTGTTCGGCCTCCAGGTGAGTTGATCAGGACGAGCAGGTGGAGTATTTAGAAGACAAGCTTTTTGGGCTGCTCCCAAGTAAACTCTGACCGGCCAAAGTGGCCATAAGAAGCTGTGTTTTGATAGATCGGCCTCTTCAGATTCAGTTCCCTGAGGGAGACACAAAAGAAACGCAACATGAGAGGCGATTAGAAGACATCTCAGGGTTAAACCTCTGTTATTTCCTTGATAACTCAAAATGTGTAAGAACAAGGAACATTTCAACAAGCTTTCAAAAAAGGATCAATAAGTGACATGTTCACTGTGCTAGTGTTGATGTTTTTTGCTGTGTTGTACCAATTTATTTTTGAGTTTTGTGTACTATAAAAAATAAACAATCTCAGTGCAATAGAAGAACAAATGAACCTATGATTGCTGTTGTATTTGGCCCTGAAATATGAACATAAAATGTGCAAAGAGAGTCAGGTTTTTAGGATTTCGTGTTTAATTCTCCCTTCTATCTTTTGTCACACACAGCTTTCACTGCAAAATAGAAGAAGAAGGTGCCACTAGAGACATAAACAGCCTGCTTGCAGCTGCTGTAGTCATGAATCCATCACCGGACGTTGGGAGAAGAAGCCTTTTGAGAAAACTCAATGCTGTAGTCAAGGTCTGAGGCCAGTAGCTGGCAGTATAACTCTGTACTGAAACACCACTGAAGAACATCATGTACCTGTGCACAGAGGCGCTCTTCAGCAGAGCAGCGAGTATGAACAACCAGCAGGGTGATGGTCAACATATGCACACTAACGGTGCAGTAAATCTACACTTTTCCAGAGAGAGGTTCAAAAACTTAGTGGATCCAAGGCTTGATGCAAAGAGGCAACTGGACTTGGTTAAAATTCTTGAAGATGTTTTTTCACCTCTCCCCTAATGGGTGACTCAGCAGAGTCACTAACACAAACACAGCTCAGTAGTCGATCATTGTTATTGCTCTCCTATCAGGGCTGCCTCACGCACGGCTTTTTTTACTGGTAACATAAAACACATATGTGAATGGGGCTGTAAGGTTTTATCAAGATGTGTCTTTTCCAGATTTCCATAATATAGTTCAGAAGGGGTATCCATCAGGAAGTCCAACTCTGAGACACGGTTTCAGAAAACTGCATTTCAGCTACCTAAAACACCATTTTCATGTCGAGGGCCAAAATCCACCACAAGTGAAAGATTGTCTTCTGAATATGTTTCAGTGTGAAGAGCCTCTTAACTAAGAAATTGGGCTCCTATCACTGAACATTTCTAATTGGTTAGCTTTGGGATCATTCAGATATTTGCAGCTACTCCAAACATCTCTAACCTGACCCAGTGTTAAGTTATTTTTCTTGGTTGCTCTTCCATAAATCAACAGAAGTACAGGAGAGATTTCTCGACTGATAGTCCAACATTCAAGACCAGACTCTGCTGAGCAGAGGAACAGGACGACCCACCTTGACACCACTATTCATATGGCATCCAGGGCTGTTTATTTGTGTAAATACAACTTTGTACTACATGAAAATGTTGAGCTTTGGTGTTCCCTTGAAAGCACACTAGCACCGCTAACCTAAAGCATATGCGATCACTCTACTCTACGGTAAAATCACTTGACATCTCAACAATGAGTGGTCTTACATGAAGCAGTCCAAAGTGTATTATAGGTAAGGGTCACATGTCATATATGCAGGATTACCTGACAATGACTCCTGGCCTCAGATCAAAGTTCTTGTTGACGATCTGGAGCAGCTCTGACTCTGTTTTTTCAGAGGAACCGTAGGTGAACAAGGAGATGGAGAGAGGATGGGCCACTCCGATGGCATAGGACACCTGTAACACACGTAAAATGTTTCAGTTAGCGCATGTTTATTCACTTAATGCTTGACATGGCCTAAATGTAGTTTTAGTCTGTGTTCACTCACCTGAACCAGAACCCTCCTGCACAGTTTGGCTTTGACCAGAGACTTAGCCACCCAACGAGCAGCATAGGCAGCAGAGCGATCCACCTTTGAGAAGTCTTTGCCAGAGAAGGCTCCACCCCCGTGGGCGCCCCATCCTCCGTATGTGTCTACAATGATCTTCCTGCCTGTCACACCAGCATCACCCTGTTAAGATCAAACCAGTGGACAGTGAGTACAAAAATCAGCAGTGGCTTTTCTTCTACTTTAAAATATGAAACAAGCAGTGGTCACCTGAGGTCCTCCAATGACGAAGCGACCACTCGGCTGGAGATGGTAGATGGTCTTGTCATCCAGGTATTTAGCAGGAACCACAGCGTTGATGACCTGATCACCACAAAATACAGATCTTTGGTCTCTTGAATAAAACACGGAGCAGAGTTGGGTGTGTTCATGAGGCTCTACCTTCTCCTTAAGGATCCTCTTCTGGTCCTCCAGGGTGATATAGTCATCGTGCTGCACAGAGATCACGATTGTGTGAACTCTCTTGGGAATCACAGCTCCATCCTTCTGTTCATAATGTACTGTCACCTGAGGGAAGAACAAGAAGGTTATCAATGCTTCTCTTCCTATCTTTCTTTTTCACTCACACTAATCTCAGACCAGCTGCTGCTTCTGCTGCTACTACTCAAATTTACCCATGGAAGAGTTAAAGTTTTATTATGAATACATATAAAACTGATCCTGAGCTACAGCACAGCTTAAGTTTCATGTTCCAGTATTGATTTATTCCAACAATCTGCAGGCTGTAGCCACTTAAAAAGAAACAAAGATGAAGAAATTGTCTATCACTTCTTCCCAAAGGGCTTGTAAAACTTGAAGAATCAACTGATCCAGGATTTTTGTTTAATTGAGCAATAAGATCAATCTCTTAGGAAACATCCAGAGTAAAAACAACGAACTGAAAGTAAGAAAGGCTGATAAGGTTTGGCGTTTGAATTGGGATTAGGATTGCAAATCCTCACCTGTGTTTTGGAGTCGGGACGCAGCCAGGGGACGGTGCCGTTGCGTCTGAGTTCGGCCATCTTTGAGTTGAGTTTGTGGGCTAAAACAATGGTGAGAGGCATACACTCCTCTGTCTCATCGGTGGCGTAGCCGAACATCAGACCCTGCAGAGAGAGGGAAAAGAGCACGACAGACGGTCAGAGCAAAAAACAGGAATAGAAATATACGAGCTGTTCGGTAATGTCACCGATCATTCACAGAAATCAATAAAAAAAGCAACAATGACAGAAAAACGATTACAGTGTGACCTCTGAGGAGCGAAATATCAGTACTTTCACATCAGACAAGATATTATATATTAATCTTTCAATAAGTCGACAATATCTGTTTTTGTTTTCAGAAGTTTTTAGTATTTTTAATTAAGGCACATCTTAAAGTTGAGCACTTCCCTCACAGCCCTGTTTGCTCAGATTGAAGGGTCCTGACCTTTGTCAGAAACCACTACCAGACTGTTAATAAAGAAGTTTAAACCAGCTCTGTGTCGGTGACAATTATGTCAGCAACAAAGCTGATTATCTGCATGACTTTAGTTTAACGAACAAAAAATGAAAATATTTATCAAACTCAATTTTTACAGTCTCACCTGGTCTCCTGCTCCGATGTCCTCCTCATGTCTGTCAATGTGGACTCCCTGAGCAATGTCTGGACTCTGCTGCTCCAGAGCCACCAGCACGTTACACGTCTTATAGTCAAAACCTGCAGAGAGAAAATGAAGTTGAACTCTGACAACACTCAGCACGTCAAATCTATTTCTGCTGGTTTTCATTATTTTCTTCACCTTTGTCGGAGCTGTCATAGCCGATGTGTTTGATTGCGTCCCTCACCACCTTCTGGTAGTCCACAACGGCACGAGATGTGATCTCCCCACAGAGCAGCACCATGCCGGTCTTACACACCGTCTCTATTGGTCAAAACAAAATTTTTTACTTTGGAGACCAACAGGAGCTTCAGTTTACTTTTGAACATTGATTTCTTGGAAATTAGCAAGAAAACAACAAAGAAGGGTCACAGGGTTTTTCCTGGCAAGTGTTCACCCTGTAACTCTCAGGGATCAATACTGAAATACAATAAATTATCTCAAAAATGTCTTTGACTTTTAGGGAGAAAAATCAGGCCAGTGGGTCAGTTATGTCACAAGTTATTACTTTTGTCTGATTTAAAAAACATGTTCAGTGTTTTTTCTTGGGTTAATAAAACTCTCTATTTCTCACCGCAGGCCACTTTGGCATCTGGGTCCTGCTTCAGGTGGGCATCCAGGACAGCATCACTGATCTGGTCACAGATTTTGTCTGCAGGAAGGCAACAAGCAAAATGTTTGGATTCAGAACAGCTTTGTTTTTACCGACCTGGTTATTTGAAACTTGAGGGGTGGTAACTGCAACTCTCAAAGGATAAAAAAGGCTACCTCTCAAAGCTCAACCATCATTGGTTTTTCATTAAAGTGATATTAAACTGCTTATGCTGAAAGAACACATTTTAAGATGGTGCTGCTTACTGAATTCCTCTTCCACATATCTCTGCGTGTGAATTTAATAGTGTCAGCTGGACGCGATGCAGCTGCAGAACAATACCTCACAACCTGCTCTGTTCTCTTTGTCATCCCGCTGGAGCAATGCAACACGCAGATTACATCAGAAACAACATCAACATCTAATCCTATTGGTTTACCACAATCCTGCAAGCCCCAAAATGTAGTTTGATCACAGTCAGATCCCATAAAAGCCATATCAAATATTGCAGTGCTCTTCTGCAAACCTATGTCACTCTGATCTACAGAAACAGTCGCTATCAGTGGGAAAAGCCCAGATTGTGAGCTGTGTTATCAAAGCAGAGGGTGTGCATGACAGCATTCTGCCAAGGCCACACACCTCAGAGAAGGTGCAGGTTTAATTCTGCAAATGGATGGAAATATTAGTTAATTTAAATTAAATCTAAACAGGGAAACTGTGTGAAGAAAAAGAAAAAAAAACAATAATAAATAGCTGAGGTTGTTTTATCAGAGCTGATAGTCTTGGCCCCTGCTGGTAAAATAAATCACATGACTGAGTGAATAAAAAGAGCGAAATGTTCTGGGAAATGAAGCCACCTGCTTTTCTTCACAGCTCTACGATTATGATAGACCGCATTCCTTCTTCGAATAATGTTTCGATTTTGTTCCGCTGTACCTGATTTTAGTGCAACTACCAGCCTGAGTGTTTCTTACTCTTACAGAATGCTATTCTTCTTCCTTTAAAACAGCTGAAGAAAGAAGGGAAACGTAGGGAGAAGACATGCAGCTAATGGTCAAACCAGCAACCGCTGCAATGAGGGTATCAGCCTCTGTAAATGGAGTGCAAGCTTAAACCACTGGGTTAGAGGCGGCTCCAAAACATCTAGAAAACCTTACTTTGACAACATCCTAAAGCGTTTGCATTGCAGCACTTTAGGTCGACCCATTATTGCAAATTTGCTCCTCTTTTACATCGTGTCATTATCTATAAAGCTGCACGACTGGACTGGTTCTCTTTGCAGAGTTTACTGATTATTGATCCAGCAGAGGGGACTTTGTAAGGTTATATATTTGTGAAAGGATTGCAACATACTGACAAAGGGGTAGAGGGGAGGAGGGGTCCAAATGCAGCAGCGGAGAGGACAAAGTACATCATGTTAACTGTTATCATTAGGTTTGAAGTAAAAAGGTCTGCATAGAGCACCTGGGCTTCGTTTGAGTCTCCTTCTGCAGAACTTTAAAGCCCCACATCAAGATTCAGTAATTGGTTTATGTGGGGTTGTATTTCTAAGTGATAAAAAACTTGCTTATTATAAAATGTGTAGCAACTCTCTCATTATACACCAGCTTTCCTTCATGGTGTTGGTTCAGTAAGGTGAAGTATATCCTTTGCTATCAAAATATCTCTTATCAACACCTCTGATAGGTGACTCAAATTATTACAAAACTGTAAGATAAGGTTCTTTTTGGCACCAGTTTGCATGAGTTGTACCTTGAGCAGCTGCATTTGTATATATGTATTTAACAAACCCCATTTTGCACAAGCGTGGAGCCCGCATGCCCCTCTGCTCTCCGTTTTGTCGATCACTTTTTCCTCAGCGTGCAACCTTACACCGGTCACACAAGCTCACACCACTCTCTTTCACTCACTCACTCACACTCACATTCTGCTTCCCATAAGTGAGAGTGAGATTGAGGGGCAGTAAACACATGTTGCAATGAATGGAATACCATCCACACTGGTAGAGTAAATATGCCGCACCATGGAGTTATTCTGGACACAAAGTTCAACTTGCAAAATGTTAACTAAAGCACGTGTTTATGTTTTCTGCAAGGCACACTCTAGTTAAAGCAGCAGTTTTGAATTTTATTTGTCTGTGAATGAACAAAAAAGTACTTAAATTTATGGAAGGAGTTTTTTGTGAGTTGTGAAATATCTCACAAGAAAGACTTTGACACACTTTTTATTCAGTGTGACAAAAAGTCCTAGTTTCACACACAGCTGTCTAAAGTTGGTTCGAGACTCACCAGGGTGTCCCTCTCCTACAGACTCCGATGTGAACATGAAAGAGCCATCGTCCAGCAGATCACTCATGTTTTCTACAAGGCCAGGTATTCAGTACTCTCAGGAAGAAAAGGTCCCTCAATTCCCACAAACAAGCAGTCCAGAGAGATCTGAAGGCTGCTTTATATTCCTACTGGTTCTCTTTGAGAGGTAAATGAAGAAAGAGAGGCCTACAGCTCTGCAGCCAATACAAAGTCTACCCTACTAAACTCCACGTCTGAGTCCATGTGGGCCAATATATATGGCCAGGAGAACACACACGCACACACACACACACACACACACACACACACACACACACACACACACACACACACACACACACACACACACACACACACACGCATGTCATGTGAATCCATGGGACAGTCCATTCCAGGGGGGAGTGGATGATGGGAGGGTATTTCAGCTTGTGGAAACTGCTTGTTAACCCTGTGTGTGCTGCATGATGCTTGAGTGTGTTCACAGCCATCACCTCTGTGTTGTCAGATGCTTTACAGGCGTGAGCAACAAGATCTTAGACGGGGGTTTACCTCCCCCCTGTCATAGCGGTGGGACAGCACTGTCTGCTATGACACAGTCATGTTGGGAGAATCTGTGGACAGAGAGACAGGAAGAGATGTTTGTTTTCAGCTGTGATAATGACGCCTTTACTGTGGTTTATGCTAGATTCTGTTTAAACTTGTTTAACAAAAGTCAAAGTAAGAAAGTCACAGCTAATTAAGTAATAGACTTTCAACAAAACAATCAGCAAATAGAAATATTTAAAGCGAGAAAATTTAATCAACTATAGATCATAAATGGATTGTTATTGTAAGTGAGTGACTCGAGTGAAACTTATAAACACTTGACGTTTCCATGATTTCAATCTGAAGTAAGAGAGCATAATCTTTTTATTCAGTCCTTTCTACATAAAATGATAACAGTTATTGACAACGACTTTACACTAAACATTGCAAAGTATAATCTGAACTTTTAAGGCTAAAGCTTCTCTTAATAAATGCATCAGTCATAATCATAACAGAGACAGTAACGATGCTTGGATATACTAAAGGTGCCATAAAACCACACTTTGCAGTATTCAGGAAACACTCTACAGTCTTTCACTTGGGTTTTGTACATAAAACTATCCACAACTTGAAAATAAAAGCAGAGTGAATTAGTTGATATGAGGTACTTTCCATCACTGCCAATGATTGAGTTAGCAGCAGACGGTCACCTGTTCTTCCATTGACTTTAAGCCCGAGGCTACGTCTCTGTACGCAACAAGGTAGAGAAAATCGAGCCATTTCCTGAGAGAAGATCGAATAATAAAGATGTGTCTCTCAGATATTTCAAAGCCTTTCAGACGTCTCGCCGTATCTGTGTTTTTTTATGCAGAAATGAGGGACAGTATGTGACTCCTCTCTGCACAGCGAATGCACAAAAAAACCTGCTGTTATGTGCAGCCATAAACATACACCTGGAGAAACAATGGGACTGTCACCAGCACACAGACACTGACCCTGTAGCTTTTCATATGGTGCACAAGCTCTGCAGACAGTGAGACATGAGCATTATTGTGGCGTAAACACAGAGAGGCAAAAGCTGTTTCACTCAGCCTTGCTCTCATCTGGCTCTAATTTCAGTTGGTGTTGAGCTAACCTCATGAAATGAGCATAGAATTTTAACAAGGTCTCAACAGTGAATAAAATGCAGAGCTCTCCTTTTGCCTCAAGCCAATTAGAAGCAGATTTTACCAGAGAAGAAAAAAAACACAATATTTCAGATTGAAAGCCCATCGAAAAAAGAAAGTAATGACTTTATGACCCCGTCCTCATAAATTTTTACAGCCAGCAAAGTCTTTAAACAGTTATGCAGGATCAAATCAAAACAGTCATATAAAAGTATCCTTATTATTAGGAACCAACATACAAAACATTTAATCTCAAACACTGTTCAAGCTAAAACTGTTTCAAGATAAATCCTTCCCATAAGAAACTGTTATTAGAAGAAAGCGTATTAGCAGTATGAATATGTTCAAAGTAGCTTAAATAACCAAAATATTAAACAAAAGATTAAACTTTGAGAACCTCAAAGTGCTTTATATCATTCATTCGCTCACACAGTCACACCTTGGTGGTGGTAAACTACCTTAGTACAGCTTTTAAATAAGACAGTTACCAAAAATAAAATACAAGATAGATAGAGATTAAATGACTTGATAACACCACAGCTAAATGAAAATATCTTCAATAATCTGCTGGTTTATGAACCAAAAGTTATTTGTAATCGACTGGAAAAAGCTAAAAGTGATGGAATAATGGTTAAAATGATTTTTAAATGTAACACAAACAACTGCATGAAAAATAAGTTGTAAAAAGTGTTACTAACAAAAATGTATGGACAGAGAAATATAAAAGAGTAAGTTTTAAATGTCTGTCTAAGTATGAAAAGTAAGAGTTGAAATGTCTAAAATGACTGGATAAATGCGAGCAACAGATAGAGGAAAAGTATGAAGAGTTAAACAGATAGCTGGATTAACAGTAGAAACAGTCGTTAAAGCTCCTGTGGGCAGTTTTTTGATGGTTATGAAATGAGCTGAAATTCATATTGAAGCCTTTTTTAGCCTTTTTATGATATCCAAAAGTAAACAAGAGCATCAGCAATGAGACTGATGATTTTTACAGCTAACAAAATATCACTGGTAAACAACTAAGGTAAAAAGCCAAGAGAGGCATTAAATTAGTTAATTTTAACATGCAGATTAATGGTCAGTACAGGTTGTTTAGAGTAACAGGTAAACAGTTACCTAAACCATCAATAGACAGTTTTGTCAGCTGAAATGAAAGCACAGAAAACAGAAATTGTTCAAATGAACCAACAAATCAACAGCTCAAACAGCATGATTAAAATAAAAATTAGAAGTTTAAGTAACTTCCTCAATAAGGCGGATGGCATTTCAAATAGACGGTTTAATGTTTTATTCGGTGACAGGACGGAGTTATTATACAGTCGTCAAATAAAGGGGAACGCCCAAAGTTAAAGCTCCACCCCAAATCTAATAAGCCAGCGCTTCGTCTCACATCAAAGTGCTTTCTTAGCTGTTTTACAACCTTCCAGGTTTTGCTACTGTGAGAACACCTGCCAATTTTTGTGGGCTGTGCTGTCGCTACCTTATTTTTGACTTCACTCGATACAGCTCTACAGGGGAAGGTCAGACACATTAAAATGAGGCAGATGTGAACTAGATTATACAAGAGGAGACAGTGATATTATGCCCAACGCCAAAGACAGTAGTCTGGTAGCACGATGTGCCACTTCTGAATGATACACCTCTGTTTGTTTTGGCCTGGCAGTGTGAGCCAGGATGAAAACAGCCGAGACACCACACTTGTTACGTGTGCAAATGTGAACTCTATCTGAGATGTGTGTGTTGTGCCTCTAAACATCTGTTAATGACTGACCAGTCGGAGGGATTTTTTTGAAGCCGACAAGATCATTCTGGTTACGTTAAAAGATAACGGCTATCAGAACACTGACAGCGTGTCAGAATGAGGGGATGAAAGTGGGACGGTTTCTTTGTCCGAAACAGACGCTGAAATATAAAAAAATGATATTTTACATTTAACCTCACAGTGAAACTTTCAGACTTTTATAAATGAAAAACTGACTGCCAGGGTGATCTATATATGTGCATTTTACACCATCAACATAGAGGGCAAACTTTCAGAGAAAAACAATCTAATCACTGTGGTCAAGGTCAGGATATATCTTTAAGAACTAATGGTGTCATGATGAAATCATTCTATGATTTTAAGTCAAACTCCCACTTTTCAAAGGTTATATGCAGGTAAATGTTTTTCCAATGCAGTTTTTTAAACCACCAAGTTTGTTTGCTCAAATTAGTTTTCACCCGTGCAAAATCATTCGTTGTTGCTGCTGCAAAACCAGGGAGCTATATGAGATCCTGAACGAACATGTTTAATCTGTTTACAAGATGCAAGGCTTTGTGTGTAAAAATAAGGTGCGTTCTCACCTGAGACAAACTCTAATGGTGCAAAGCTTACTATGCAGAAGGTTGGCATGAATGAGATTAATCTTTATTGTGTAAAAGTACCAATTGATATGAGGATGTCAGCGTTACAACCAATAAATCCGTAAGTATATGTAAGCATTGATATCATCCATATAATGTACTTCCTTTATCTCTCTGTGCAAATGTTGTGTTTGTTTTGCAAAAGAAAATAGAGTCAGACAGTCAAATGCTTAGCATGAACGTTCAGCACATGTACACATGAATGTTTTTTAGTGATTCTGTTGCAGGTAATGTTTCGCATTGCTTCTTCTGCAGCTCAAGTAAATTCATTTGAATAGAAAATCTGTCTGAATTTTAGGTTAATGAGTATTTTTGAAGTCCTGTAGGTGTAAAGTTTGGTTTACCAGCTCCTTACACTTACACGATTCTGCAGAATAAACATTAAATAAGCACAGAGAGAGAGTGAATTTCCTCTTTTTCTCTTTGTCTTGACTAACTCTAAAGCAAAGATGTTCCTACTTATTATAAGAAAACATTTATATAATTTTGTTATGAGGGAATGAAGGTTATTCCTGCCACTCAACAGGCCAAGAGGTCAGTGTGCAGAGGTGGGTTTATGAAACCTTCTGAGGACACACTCTAGATAAAGTTTAAACCCTGCTGAACCTTCATCCTCAGAGCTGCTTGGCCTCTTAGAAGATGAAGAGTAAAACGATAAAAGCTTGGTGACCTTTGTGTTTCTACAAAGACAGATTTTGAGCTTATTTCTCATCTTTCTCATCTTTCTCATCGTTTATCGAGTAGAGTGCACTCAGACAAGTCCGAGGGCATGGACACCCCCTTTTTTTTTAAATCATTTAACATGCAAAGACTTCAAGTCAGCTTCTATTCTGACACATTATACAAGCCCCAGTTCAACAATAAAACGTTTCCACCTTCTGTGTGATTGGCTACATGAAATGTGTGTCATAATGACCCTCTGTGCTGAGTGGTTACGATAAAAACCTGGGGTCAGGACTTTGTGGTCAATTCTAGGTTTGTGGGGGAGTCCAAACTTGACTGAACAGGATGAGATAAATGAACCCTGGCCGCCTTGGGGGCTGTCAACACCTGTTTGTCTTTCCCCAGGTTCAAGGACGCACGGTTTACCTCTGCGGCTCTACTCTCTGTGCTCCGAGCTCAACTGGTCACCAACCAGTTTCATCTGGATGGTGGCTGGAGCAGGGAAAATATGTTGGATTTTGCCTGTCATGAACTTTTATGGCATGTTTGAGATTGTAGAATGACAAGTGTGGATGATTTGTTATATAAGGAATAACACGGCAATAAACATTAGATAATCCCATTAACAGTTAGTCATTAATGGTGACTTATCTAATGTTTATTGTTCTTTCTATGGCTGGTTTTGTTCTGTATCTTTACAATGTTTTACAGCCTTAACTGGATGTATATTGTGGATGTTATTTTCTATATTGTTACTTTTATGACCTCTAGTTATCATGTTTTTGATTTGCATTTGAACTTTTACTCTGAGGATATTTCTTATGCATCATTTTGGTTTTAATAGAAATAAAAATACTTCTAATTTTCTTCTCATTTAATGTAAACTTTCATGCGCTACAAACCGATAGAGTCAGGGGGTAAAAAAGGACCTAGAAGCAGATCTTGAAAATGAACTCTTGACTGTGATTACTAATATGCTCTCTGTTCTTCTCTCACTACCACCCACCCACTTCTGATTGGCTGCACTGGCACTGTGAAAACGTAACATTTCGACCAATACCTGCGAGCAAAACACCACACAGGAGGTGGGGTGCAAAGGAGCAGCTCTGATTGGCTGTTGGCGAGGCACACGCCCAACAGGAGCAGCATTGGTCCAAGAAGAGACTATTCTCTGTTTGTATATGTATGTGTGTATAGAAGTGTGTGTGTGTGTGTGTGTGTGTGTGTGTGTGTGTGTGTGTGTGTGTGTGTGTGTGTGTGTGTGTTTGTGTATGCATGCATGTGTGGGGGGTTGTTACAAGATTATCAGCAGCAAAACAGTCTGATAAAACCCAGGACCTCATTTGAACCTGATAGATTAGATTTTTCTGCTTATAGAAAATGAAATAATTTCAGCTTTTTGTCATGAATTACAGGTTATTTGATGTGTGCAGAAGAAATGTTGAAGACAGGCTGTCCTTAAATTGTTAATCTTTACACACAAGCGTAAAGGCAGACTCTGAATCCTCACACAGCCCTGCATTAGGCCGATCAGAACAGCCAGAAAGAGTGCAGCAGCTGGTGGAGGAGTGTCATCCTATCCCACCTCTCTTCTAACCCATTTTGGTCCCTCAGCACATTCCTGTATGAAGCTGCCACCAAAGAGTGAAATACATCCAAACAAAAAAGTATTCACTTCAGCTGTCTGTCAATAATACGTTCCTGGAAATTTAAAGCAATTAAAACCTGCAGCAAAAAACACGCAGAGAGAAGTGGAGAGGTGGTGTGTACACACTCCTTTTACACACTCACATTCCACACACATAGTCAGCCCCCTTTACTACACCACACTGAGCTGGACTCTGTTTTTATCAATGGCTCCCCCCTTATAAAGCTGCTATTTTCACAAGAGGTGGTTGTAAAAGGGTCGTAAAAATAGAGCACAAGGTTTGGACGTAATCTATATAAAGCTGCATGGCTCTGAAAGTCACTTGTGGTGCCATAATCTCTCTCCTTATTGACCCTTTAGAAAGACAAAACCGCTTCCATATATATCATTACAAATCAAGTCTGATGTTTGTCTGATCATACATAGATTTTAGAACTGACATAATTGAGTGAGCAAGAGCTGATGCATAATGATAAAGAATGGTTGCAGAAAATTTCATAAGCTACCATCCTGCTTTAAAAAAATATATTTTTTAGCATTTTTAGGAGGAAAAAAATGCAAAAAAGTGTCTAATGCTAATATAGAGTGTGTTGTGTACGTCATCAAAGTAGTATGGATCTTCTGAAAACATTATTTTTCACCCTGACAAGTGTTGTTTTTATTGTTTTTAAATTTTATTCTAGTGTTTTGTTTTCTTATGTTTGTCTTTAATCTCTGGAGATAGTGTGAAGAGCTAATAATTGATCAACAGAGCTAAGAAGTATATTGTCCTCTCTGTAATGATACTCACGTCCTGCAGAGGGCATTCTTGCTCTATGTCATGACAGCTGAAATGTGATCTTAGGGCCTCTGCAGCCATGGACCTAAAAAGGACCAATAAAAGCCAAATCTTACAAAGAGATTCTTTGTCTGTACTGACACACACGAGTTACAGCATCTTACATAATTAAAACTGTGTTCATTATCTTTATAGAAAGACTCAGGATACTAAATTGTTTCCTGTGTTTTTGTTGTTCAAAACTACTCATTCAAAGATGCTTATGTCTATATTTAAGGTAACATACCATAATATTTAAATAAGCTGTGGTAGCGCTGATTTCTTATGAGTTCTCCACTCTGCACCATGCTGAACCTGGTACAAGAATTCAGCTTAACATGAGCCTGGTTTCACAGCAGTCTTTGAGGAATTCCTCTTGTGTTACGTTCTCATAAGCAAAGCTTTCACTGTGATTGGACTGATCACCCACTCAGAGGGCTTAAAGGGCTGCTGGGAAACACTAGATTCTTACACACAAGCAGAGCAACACAGCCCGGTGAGTATCAACTTTGTCTCACTTTTGATCGATGACTTCAGTATTATCAGATACTGTTTTTTATTATAAGTAACCTGACTGCTCATCGCATCGAAATTCGATCAAGTTGTTAATCCAATCAACTTGTGAAAGAATGCAGAGTGGTCACATGGAATAGCACATTCCAGTTTTGTAATCAACAACATAACAGTGCAAGAAAGTTACGTCTGAGTCATTCTTAAGAAATCTAGGGCAAACACATGGATCACCAGGCGCCAAAGTAATTTGTACGTTTGCAGAAGTGCACCATCTCCTTAATGTTTCCAGTTATGCAAACACTTACAGACTGAAGTAGTAAATCTTTTCATGTTTTTGTAAGTACCTGAAGCAAGAGCATTTTGAAAGACATCCCTCTGACATGTTTTCTCAGCAGTTGCGTCTGTGGGGTGAATTTGGGTTATGGCGACTGTGACCACGGTCCTAAAGGCGGTGGGCCTGTTTGTTGCAGACTTTTTCAACTCCATCACTGACTGGTTTCAAACCAAACCAGCATGGGCAAATGTGGAAGTGCTGGAGGAGACAGAGCTAAGGACCACGGGGGGAGGTGAGTCAGCAATCAGAAACAATAAACATGCAGAAATGTCCCTTTTTTGTGGTATGAAATCCCTGTGTTTACTGATAATGATGAACATAATACAGTTTTTGGCATCTGTGTGACTGTAAATGAATAAATTCACAGCTCTTGGCCGGCTTAAATAGTTATTGCATCTTTATCTAGTGGATTTGACAGAAAAATATGAGTCATTCGTTGTGGTTTTGCTAATCCTCAATGTTCTGTCTTTCTCTTGTTCAGTCCATGAACGACACAAGGCCAAAGCTCTGTGGGAGAAGACTGGCGCTGTGGTCATGGTTGTGCGGCGGCCTGGATGATTATTGTGCAGAGAGGTACAAAACAGCACTTCTGTATGCACATTACTTTACTTTTATTGATGTTTTTTGATTCTCCCTGCTCCATCTTTAGGAGGCCGCTGAGCTGTCCTCTCTGAAGTCCCAGCTGTACGACCTTGAAGTCCCTCTGTTTGCTGTGGTGAAAGAAAACATCGGCAAGGAGCTGGACTGCTTCAAGAAGTACTTCTCTGGGAGGGTTTATGTGGATCAGAAGGTCTGCGCCTCTACAACTGACTCAAGTGCTTGACAGAAACATGACCGTTTACATAATATTAGCTCTTATGTATCGCCCTCATAGAGAAATTTCTACGGCCCTACACTGAGGTGGATGTGTTTCTCCATGTTCCTGCGTATTGGGGTGTGGAGGAACATCTGGCGGGCTTACAGGAGGGGCTTCAGGGGAAACATTAAAGGTGAAGGACTCATCCTAGGTGGAGTCTTTGTCATTGGGCCAGGAGATCAGGTAGGCCGCAGCTTGCACAATAGGTATTTTCTGACTGTGTTAGGAAGTTTTAAGAGTAATAATTGTTTTTTCTCCCCTAAGGGTATTCTACTGGAGCACCGCGAGAAGGAGTTTGGAGATAAAGTTAATATGTTGGCGGTCCTCAGAACAGCCCGCAAAATGAAGGAAAACCTGGCAAGATAGAGCTTATAGGAATGAATGGACTGTTTGTTAATGTTGTGTTATGTAACAGTGGCTGCAGCATGTCTCCATTTCCATGTCTGGATGTAATCACTTCTTTTTACATATTTTCATATGTCTCTCTGCCAGCCTTTCTGGCTGCAAAACCTCTTTCAAGGGGTGGAAAGTAGCTGATTTACTTACTCATGTTACTGTAATTGATTGCCTTTTTTATGTAGTTGTACTTTTCAGAGTGGTTTTTAAAAGCAGTATTTTTACTATATCATAATTGTTGGAAGATTTGTACTGCACTATATTATACAAAGTAATAGTCAGTGGGCTAAAATGAAGAAAATCTAAAAATATGAAAGCTTTAAATTTACTGTATGACATACAGCTGGTTGGATATCTACACTGCAAAAAAACTGAACTCTCACCAAGTGAATTCATCTAATTTTTTTGTCAAAATCTCTTAATTCTAGTAATTAAAGCTCATAGTCATGACAGCCTAAATACAAATCTTATTTTAAAATATTAAACACCAAATTTTGCTTTATAAATTCCTCGAAACAAGTATGGCATCTCTTGCTGCATTTACAGACATTTCTTTCAATAGTCTTTATTTTAAATGTGGAATAACACCAGTGTGATTGGTGTGGAGTTAATTAATGCTGTTGGTTATATTACAACAATTAGTTTAGTAAAATGTGCTTTTTGCATAATTATAATGAGAATTATTGTAGTTTTAATTTTTATTTAGGCAAATTGTACAGACTTTAGTGTAATATATCAGTATCATTCCACCTCTGCCTTCTTCTGATATAACTGTGGTAAAAATGTGCCTTTAACTGTTCATCTTTCTGCTGTCTCCATCTCTGGTCTTGGTTTTGTTGTTGTTTTTTTGTGTGTGTTAATGACGACTTGTTTCTAAACTCTGCTGAGAGGACATGTCTGATACTTTTCACACAAACCCAACACTTCTGACCAGACAGACATGACCTGACACGAGGAAAAATAAACTGTTAAAGTCTCTAAAACAATAAAGTTGTTATATCGCGCTGATTTACCTCACAATGTTGTCTTTCTTCTCGTGTTCACTTCTTTTTATCCTGTCATCCTGATCGGCTAGTTTCCCCTGCTCTGTTGATTGATTAGTACGCCTGCGCAGCTATGTGTTTACAAAACGCTTGTCCGCGGACACTTTACTGCTGGTCGCCCCATTGATACTGGTAAGTGTCCTATTTACACGAGAGGCTAACTTTATATCGCTGTAAGATCATACACACAATTGCACCTGCTACTGTTACGCCTATAATCTCCAGGGGCAGACATAATAATCTAATATTAGACCGTTAGTCGAGGAGTTTACGGCTAAATTATCGATTTTTGCACTAATCTGATCGTCTGCAGCAACTCTGCAGGACTGCGCGTATGTATTTGTTATATAATCATTATATTATTGACGCATACGTGCTAAAATGCCTTATCATACTTAGTTACAGTGTTAAATGTATCTTGCAGAGACTCTTGCATTTACTGTACATTGCCAGTTACAAGCAAGGTCATTATCTGCATGAGTTAGTGTCTTTGTCTCGGCTGACAGGGCAATGACCCATTTCAATGTTATTGCGTCCATTGTCATATAAAGGCTACGTGCCAGTATTAAAAGAAGTATTCAGGTCGTTATTTACTTTGCAAAGCAGCAGTGTGTTGTGCAAAAAAAAAAAAAAAAACTCCTGCATGGATTTGAATGCAGTGATTCATTTTGTGAAGCCTATTAATTGATTTTACTAACCAGAATATTAGGCATGGGCGAAAACTACATTACACTCTTACTAGATTATTTATTAAAAGTAGGACATGAAATGCAGGTAAAAAATAAGAGAAGGGAGATTTATCTTTGTAGTACAACTACACAAGCAGCAGGATTATTCAGACAGGTGCTTTAAACAAGACAGAAAAGTATTTACAAAAGTAATTACAAATGCATTTAAAACTAAAACTACAACAAGAGAGGATAAAATTCACACAGTTAAAGCAAGCTGGAGTTTAAAAGATAACACACTGAGCATTTTTTAGACGTCTAAATTAAGACCAAGTCTAAATCTGGGCTATATCTATACTACACTGTATATTGCTCAATGGCTATCATAGTTATCTTTGGTTAAGTACTTGGAGATCAGTTATGCAACTCACAGTTGCTTTTTGAAATAAGTAGTTATCGAATAATGGGTTAAAGTGCAACGTCCAAATTCTGTCAGTCTAGACGGTTGAAATTAGGTTAAAAAAAACTAGACGTCTAAGAGCCGTCTATTGCTCAGTGGGAGTATGCTGTATTTTTTATGCATGCATTAAAGTCAGTGTATTCATAGTTTAATTTAATAAAAGGCAGATACAAACAGCTGAGTCCTCAGTCTTGGTTCAAAAAAACAGAATTTTAGCAGACCTGTAATTTTATGAAAGTTTGTTGATGGTAAATCGAACTTTAAGACAGACTTCTGCCTCACCTTGTTTGTTTCTGACCCTGGGGACAGTAAGCAAATCTTTCCCACACAACCTGATTGACCTCAATTTTCTGTAATGTATACAAAGATTACTAATTATATTTATTTGGCCTCAAACCATTTAGTGCTTTATAATCTGACAGCAATATTAATACTAAGCTGTTGATTTATACAAGGCCCTGATCTTTTCAGGAAATACAAGCTGTACGAATGCCTATTTTTAAACTAGTGGGTTACACCTTTCAAAAGCAGAACAGCTCTATCAGCTGTACAATCAAAAGTAAAGGTCATTATTCAGACAACCTTTCTTTCAATGGTGCTATTTTAATACCTTTTATTTGACAATGTTCAGGGTGGAATTAGATTATTTGCATTGTGTTGGTAAATCACCTCCTTAAATATGACTATGATCATCATGTGTTTTATAAGCAAACATACAAGCTATTAACCACAGCTGTCAATTTAATGTAGTCGAGTATACGTAGAACGAAATGGGTGTATTTCAAGTCTCAAAATTGTCTCAAAACAGCTCCTGAAAGCCGATGAACAAGTGATAAGAAACTTTGCATGTATGAAACTAGAACCACAGTGCACAGTAAATAATCTGTTACATGGTAAATAACTGCATTTAAAGTTTTTCTGAAGCCTTGTACCAGATTCCCTAAAGGAAATATACTTTTAAGCAACCAAAAGTAAATGTATTCAGTGTACAGTGTATTATTGTACGATTGAGTCTTTGTGTTTGCTGCATTCACATGTAGGAAGCACTTGAAAGTTACGCAGCTCTGTGGTTGATTGTCTCACTTAGGTATCCAAGGTAACATCAACCCAACAGTATTTATAATAAATGAAAGGAAACTACTTTTTTGATACCAGCTGCATTTAAAGTGTGAAAGTATTCACATTAGCTGGTTTCTGCAGCTTATTATTGAGTAAAAGCTTTGGGTTACTTTGAACCAGCAGCTCAAGTTCATGAATATTTCTCCAGGGAATCTCATTAACCCAACACAATCCTTATTTTTTAGATAATATCATTGCTTACAGACTATCAGGAAGCTCTACAAGCTGTCTGGCAGAACCTCTGCTGATAGCTGCTTATTTTTCTCTGCAGACACCGTCAAGGAAGCTAAACTCTTCCTTGTGTGTCGTCTGTGGGCGTCTGTCTCTATTGGCTGATGCTGTTATCAGTTTTTCTGCCCTTTGTCCTCCCAGTTTTAAAGTCTCACAACACTGTAAGCATTTGTGTGATTCACTGCCGGAGACTAGATGAGCTAAATCCAGGAGCAAAAGTATTTCTTCACAATTTCAGAACGGGGAGACAAGTTAGTATAAAACCTTCTTTTTACTCAGTAGGTTACAGACTTTGTGTGAATTTATTAAATCCTTTTCAAGCAGTTTTGTTTTCATGTAATATCTGCAAAAATTGTGCTGTGATTTGCTCAGATTACCAATTTTTTTAGAGTTATTTCTCTCTTTTTTTTTGATCTTGAGGTTTGTGTCTTTTGTTTGATTTATGCAAAGTTGTGTTTACTGTACACAGAATAGCTTAGGCTGCAAAAAGAGGAAGTTTGTTTGCAGATGAAGAGCTGCTACACCCCAGTGAGGGTCTTAATATAAAAACCAAGTATTTTATCTTTCATGCTTTTTGATGTCTTTTGTTTTGGGTATTGTTCTGAGTTTGATAGAATATGACCAGCTGGTTTAATGGTTTTCAGACGATCTTAAAAAAGAAGAAACATATCTAAGTATCTACTTTACCCCCTAGCTTTTGCATACAGATGTCAGCTGTGCATCAGAGGTAAATGGTATGATTCATATTGGGTTCTTCAGCATGGCAGAACTGGTTTAACCTCACATAGAAGAGACGTTTCTTCATTTTCTGTCTTTCAGCCAAGTCTTGAGGGGTGTATAGTCAGATGGTCAGGCTTTATCAATGCTCGTCCAGATGCTAGCTCTGTCCAGGAGTTCAACAGCTTCGAGGTGGAGACTATGCCTGCGCTGCTCTGCCCTCTCTGTGGGGAACACAGAGCCCTCCACCACAGCCAGACCCCTGTTTCTAAGAACCCAGACTGCTGCGTTTCACCAAAGCCAAGCCAAAGCCAGTCTTGACCCAAACAAGCCCGCCTCAGGCAAGGACATGTTTGACTGCTGATACAGTTAGCTGTTCTCTGCTGTAACCCAAACTAAGTGTGTGATGTAGAAACATAGATGATAGTGCTTCACCCTTGACTTGTGCGCAGCGTTCCCCAGACAAGATAAAGTTGACATTTAGTGATAGGACTTTATCTCTGAAGCACTTTGAATGAATTCAGGCCCAAAAAATACCCGCCTTTTTATTTCTCACTCATTATTTGCTGGTTTCAGCTACAAATAAAAGTCTGAATCTTTGAATTGAGAAGTTATCTAAAAAGAAACTCTGCTTTGGGTTTGTGCTTATTTCCCCTTTTTCTTTTAACATGTTTGAGACCTAACAGTCTTTCAAGACTTGAGGACAGAATAATAGAATAACAAGCAGTTAATTTTCATATTTTTATTTAGCTTCAAGTTCAAGTAAAAGCAAAATCAAACAACCATACAGAGAAAGTTTACACACACTTGTGGTTATCTTGTTTTTTTGGCAGCATCCCATTTCCTAAATATGCAAACTATTTAATCTGAGTGGATTAAGTTTAGACTAGAGCGAGGGGAGAAGAGGGTTTGCTGGCACAATAAAATTCAAGCTGGGTCATGTCTGTCTCCCTAGCTCAGGGAGGATTTAGGGTCTCTCTGTGATAATAATCTTATTTTTTCCTCTGCAAATTGGGGCCCTCCAGCTACAGTTTCAGAAAACCCTGCTGTGACAGTAGAGACAAATTATTATTTTTATGATCACGGCAGAAGTGTTTCTCTCCTTATGTTGTTGCCTCTCTGTGCTGCAGTGTTGTCCTCAGGGTCTGGGCTGGAGTGGGAGCTGTTTGGGATGGGGATGTGGTCATTGGGTCTTGGTGCTGTTGGAGCTGCATTAGCCGGGATCTTTCTGGCCAACACCGATCTGTGTCTGTCGAAGGCCGCCAACGCAACGCTGGAGTTCCTTGAAGATGCTGACCTGCGCTCCACTGTGGAGGGTACGTCGGCTTTCTGATTGGTGGTTTAAGAATGTCACTCACCAATGAGCCTGCTTATTTTAACTCCTGCTGTTACTAAACCCTTTTAACTGGAGTAATCATTACATCAACAATCTGCAGTTTTCTGCTCTATTTATGGTTTCATGTCTGTGTGCATTGTTCACACGGTGAAAGAGGTGTTGTGTGACCTTTAAGGCAAAGCTGCTTTCTCAAATCTGCTGGTATTACAGATTAGATCACTGCGAAGGTCTTTACCAATGAGTGAAGGCCGAGTTACTGTGATGCTCTTATTCATGTTCAACTTAAAGATATTCTGTGTGAAGCATGAATGTTTTCTCCCTTTCAAGGCTGCATATTTTGAATTCTTGCAGCAGTGCAATCACTCTGATCTGAACGTTGAAGGTTTAAGACTCAAACTCAGACTCTTCTTGGTTTGTCTGCAGACGGCACGGTCATCAAAGCAAAGAGCCTGTGGGAGAAGAACGGGGCGGTGGTCATGGCCGTAAGGCGGCCCGGATGATTTTTGTGCAGAGAGGTGATGCAGAGTTACTGATGACACAGGAAGTGAAACACAAATGTGTATGTGGGTTGTATTTTCTCTGATCGTAGAAATCTCTCTCTCTCTCTGTAGGAGGCCTCTGAGCTGTCCTCTCTGAAACCTCAGCTGGAAGAGCTCGGGGTCCCTCTGGTCGCAGTGGTGAAGGAGAACGTCGGCACAGAGATCCAGGACTTCAGACCGCACTTCGCTGGGGACGTATACATAGACGAGGAGGTGAGCGGTGGTGGGAAAGCTTTAAATCACCCTTAAAGAAAAAGTCATTTACCAAATCCACAGACCTGAAGCTTTAATACTGTTTCTTAAGACTTTTATAAGCGGACAAAACAGACATCATTACCCCATCAAGTAATAGTCTCAGTTTAAGTGAAGTCTATAGTTGTGGGACTGGTGATCTTCTTTTATTATGAATATATATAAATACATGACCACTACGGTGATTAACTGAATTTCCACTTTCTATTACGGTCCTTTTGTGGGTAAGCCTAAAAACCAGTGAGTCACTCGTTAATCCTCCTGCATTATTTTACTCTAAACGCAGAGTGGGAGTGGAGGAGGTGTTAAAGCTCCAATAATAAAATGTTGCAGAGACAGATTAAAGGGAAAAGTACAATAAGTTAATCCTTCCCGGCATGTTGCACAGATTAAAATCCAACCTGTGTGTTTGTAGAAACGCTTCTACGGCCCTGTGCAGAGGAGGATGGGAGGGCTGGGGTTCATCCGCCTCGGAGTGTGGCAGAACTTCATCAGAGCGTGGAGGTCTGGCTACCAGGGCAACATGAACGGAGAGGGTTTCGTCCTGGGGGGAGTGTTTGTCGTTGGAGCTGGAGAGCAGGTACTGGAGCTCAAACCTGGATTTAACAGAAGCTTCCTCTTTTAGCTTCATCTAACTTTGTGTTTTCGTTTGTAGGGGATTCTTCTCGAACACCGTGAGAAGGAGTTTGGGGACAAGGTGAAGAACGCGGCTGTTTTAGAGGCTGTTCAGAAAATTGTGCCGGTGAAATAAATTTAAATGAAGTTAGAAAAAGAGCAGGTACACTGATTAAGGATAAAAAGTAGAGTTTGGGCGTGATTTAGCATTTTAACTTGACACTTTGAGTGGCAGTAGAAGTCTGTCCATCACTGAAATAACGTTTAACTGACACTGAAGTTTAACATCACAGTATCGTCCATGTTTAACACCTTCACTTACAGGTGAAGCCTAGCTGTGAGTTAAAGGACAGACTATTTCACCATGTTTTTTGGTTGCTTTACTTCTACTGAATTCTAGGAGCCAGTGTCTTTGTGGTGTTATTAAAACAGGTAGTAAGGGAATTAAAAGCAGCTTTCTCATTCAGGTACATCCTTTAATTTAAGCTCACTTGAAACCTTTAGAGAACCACAGGTCAACCTAAAGGCTGGATCATTACACGATAAGTTAATTATTCTATTAATCCTGACAGTAATATATTTTCAATAAAGCTTCTTTTGTGTTATTTCCGTTCGCTTCTCCTGGTCAGGCGCCTCAGTGAGCTCCAAACATGGTGGACAGGTGTGTGTGGTCTGTGTGTGTGATAATGACAACTTGGCTCTAAACTCGACAGCGAGAGGAGCAGGTTTGATGCTCTGACACACTCAGGCCTCAGATGCTGTCACCATGTCAGGGAGTGTTTGCGGTGCCTGGAGCAGGCGCGGTGTTTGCGTGTGTGAGACATCAAGACTGAATTAAAACATTAGAAATAAACCTCATCACTTCATCCTCAGTGTGCTCCTGTGTGTTTCTTTCGGAGAATCAGCTGCTTCCAAACATTTCATAGAGTTAATTATCACTTTATTCTCAGATGATTATAACTCCTAAAGTTGCAAAAGCACCAAACAAACAGAAATAGGGTGCTGTAAAAAAAAGGAAGCAAACTGTGTTTTATTTACTGACATAACGGATGAAATAACTCATATGGTAAATCCTGAAATACTTGCATGAGTGAAAGTGCTGCTGTGTGATACTGGTGATACAGGCCAAAACAAACAGAGATTGCGTAAAAGAGCAGAGGGCCCAGTCTAGACTGTTCACAAAGGCCACACCCAGCAGGGCAGGTACAGCAGACTCTCGCTCCCAGCTCCACCCCACATGCCATTTGTCGGCACCTGCAAGCAGCAGGAGAAAGACAGGCCTGAAAGTCTGAAACATGAGGCTTACTTTACTTTTCTCATGAGAGAGAGAAAGAAAAAAATGAATGAACTCGTCAGGGGAAAACTTGACAAATTAAAATCTCTGGATACATGTTCGCTAAATGTTTACACAATCTTTAAAATATAATAAATCAGACAAACTCCATTTTGTAAAAGTATTCTACATCTTTAGTTTGTTTCATGTCTCAAACACTTGTGGATTTTTCTTTAAAATTCATCAAAATCTAAAATATTTGATTCAACCATTCATGTGCACCCCACAGTGAAACTTTAAAGAGGGAAAAATTGTGTAAACTTCATAATTTTGACTTTTCTCCAGGTGTGAATTTTTACAGCTACATACACAAAACATGCGTGTGCTAAAGCGAAGATACTCACAGGCCAGTCTGTGAAAAGGTCAAAACATGTTTGTGCAGATTCCCATTCTATCATGTAGAAATCACTCACCCTGTAAGTGACTTAATCCTCAGACTGAGAAATCCACTTTACTTGAACCTCCTCTAGACTCACAGTTTGACATGTTGGTATTTTCAGGCTGTTTGTATTCTTCGCTTGCGTTGCCAAAACATGCTGTGCCACGTTACGATCAGATGACACTCTTAGTTTGATCTTAACTTTGAGGCTCTCATACTTCCCGTGTCTTTATCACTTCTGGGTTTTCACTTCTATATATGTGCATGTTTAACTCACATTTTTGGCCTTTCCTCTACAGTTTGAGGTGACACACTTCAGTAAATACAATTTTTTATAGACATCATTAAATAAAGCAGACTCATTTGGACTTTTACTGTTACATATTTTATTCTATTGCTCTGAGTAAAATACATTTCACGTCAAGGAAATATATTTCAACACAATACAAAATGAAGGGAGGACATACTGTGCACCAATACTGACTGAATGTTGTCATGTAACCGAAACATTCAAGGAGTGTAACAAAAACAAAGATTGTCTTTACATTTGTGCCTTCAGTCTGCAAAGATTTTACACAACCAACCGAAGTTGGGGACAAGTCAGTTTTCAAATCCTGCACCAAAATTCACTGTAAAGGTCAAGTTGAATAGAAGATTGTACTACACACTCCATTAAATCAACAAAAATATGACCTGTAGTGTGATGCTTCTGGAACATTTGGTGTGGTGTTGAGTGTTGAACTTGCAAAGGTCAAGGACCACTTCAGTTAAACAAAACATATTTATGTTTTTGCATGAAAAAAAGTTTGACAAAAAGGTCCATTTGATAAAGCTGAAACAAAAAGCTAGACACTTCATCTCCTCAGTCCTGTACAAATCTTACCCGTCTCTTCTTTGGCTAGATCTATGGGTGTGACGTGTTACGCTGGTAGAGTCACAAGCTGAGATACACGTTTGAAAATGTTACCCCATGCCGACTAAAACCCTCTAGTTTTGTTCTTGACACTTTAGCGTGTTAACTCCAAGAGCAGAAAAACATAACAGGAAAAACTCATGAGCAAAGAAAGCCGCCAGATAAAGAATGAAGGACATATTAGTCATAACAATATAATGGATCATACAATATTATCCACACATACAATCTTTAATACACATTTTAAAAGCTCCTTTTAAAAAGCAACCCAAATCTAAGTCCTACAGCAGCACAGCAAAGGTTTAATAGTGCAGTTTCAGCATCAGCAGGAAAACACCCACAACACAATAAGCAAAAACACAGAAGGGAAAAGGAGGCTGAGGAGTTGGTTAAAGGTGGATATGAAAACATGGATGATGAAGAGTATGAAGAGTTAAAGAGCAGCTTCATGAAGAGTTTCATTCCAAAATGAGACATCCATCGTTTCAAAGTAAGACTTCCCCATCCTCAAAAGGAGTCGCTGCCTCATGTTAGAGAGACTCCAGTACAGGTACATTTTAGGGATTACATTTTTAAAGAGGATCTGGAGAGCACTTTGGAATCAAACCTTTCATTTTTAAAGGTTGCATATAAACACAATCGTTGTACATTTCTCTCTGTGCAGACGTAGATTCATAAAAATAGTTGTGCAGTTGCTACAGTCCCTTAAAAGACTCCTATCAGTAAACTTTCAATGGATGTTTAAACATGAATTTGAAAACATAAAGTGAAATGACTTCAGGTGCTTGAAGGGGATTAATTTTACAATCTAACTGCTTTATTTTCACCAACGTACACTTCACTTTTCACAAACATTGAGTCATACTTTATAATCTGTGTCTCAGTGGAGAAAACACTCCCCCCCTCAAGTAGGAGCTTCTCTCACTTCTATCTGTTGCATATAAGGGGCCGTCTGATTGGTGTGTAAACAGAGGAACACCCTGAAAGTAAAATCTCTAAAATGTCTAATGCATGTGCTCAAATATCTTTCATTATACGTATATATTTATAAATATATTCATGGAAATATACTATACTTATTTTTACACCACATAGACATAAGACACTGGCATAAAGTCAGCTGATTTTTCCCTCACGTTCACCATCAACACCATCAAACCAGACTCGTGCTTCAACAGCCTGATGATGAGTTTGATCAGAGAAGCTAAAACTCAGACAAACCATCCGATGTAAAGAAGCAACAATAAAAACACAGAAACCAACCAGCCGGATCTACAATAAAGCATCAAAAACTTTGACTGGGACTGCTACTTTCATTTGGTACGACATGAAACCAGTGACTGCAGTGCATACAGAGATGTGGCAGAAGTCTAGCTGGTTATTCGACACAAAAACACCCTGTTTTAGCCGATTCTCACTTATTTAAAGCTCCTGTGAGGATCTTTTTAGCTTGTGTGCAGCCACTGTGGACAAAGCGGTGCTTCTCACCTCTTTGCTAATTTTGTACCGTACATTTTAAGTAGTGCAAGTTAGTCCCGTACAGCTTTCTTCAACAGTAAAATTAGTCATTCATCAAGACTGCTCACCATGGATCGTTTCAGATGTGTCAGACACCTTCTCTGTAGCTTCAGTTACAGGCATTAAAAACAAAGCTACAAAGAAATACTCTCATCGCCAATGGTCCCTTTTGCAGATCATGAAGACGCATCAATATCAATTTCAACACTTTATATAATGAATCATCAGCACATTTGTGATGCCTCTTTAAGGCTTTATAACACCCCTTATGAGTGATTTAATCATTCATAACAGCCTATAGCAATGTTTAGGAAGTGTTATAAGCACTTTATAACGCGTTATAAATGTGCTTATGGTGCACTATAGGAGGTGGTTCATACAAAGGGTTAAAAAATCTTTCTCCTGACCAGCTAAAAAAATCCTCACAGGAGCTTTAAATCTGCTCATTTTATCATCCGTTTAAGTCTCATGTGGCCACAGTGATAATCTGATTTCTGCACATCACTGTATTTAAAACACAGTTAAACCAAAGCGAAGGACTTCCAGATCACATCACAGCCCGTCTCTTAGCAACAACATCTAGACACAATAGAATAATCTTCCACTACCACCAAACAACCACTACCACCTACAACAACCAAAAGAGTTCGATTAATACGCCACTAAAGCGACCTCACTACTTCATAAAGTGACCTCAAGTGATGAAAGGCCATGACAGTACATACTTGAATATAAAACTCACACTCATTAGTGTTCACTGGTGAACTATTTAAATGGCTGTGCTTGATGAGTGTTCGCAGTCAGTGCTGCATAATGTGTTTTTTACCTAGCACCTCTTTACTCGGTTTTTAAATACGAAGGGGCATAAGTACACTTAAAGGAGAGATAATGAGAACACGAAGCTGCACCGGTCAACACAGAAATGACACAAGAGGAAGTTATTCATCACGGTTTGGACTACTTAGAGGTGGCTAAAATGCTGGTTTTTCCAGAAGAACTACAAGATGGAAATTAATTAGACGTAACGTACGTAACAGCTTAAAATATCAGTCTCCAAACACAAGAATGTGACAATAACTGAAGAAAAAGTAAACAGAAAAAAAGCTAGATGAGGGAGGAACGAAGGCAAAAACATAACATACATTCAGAAACAATAACACGACTTACGCTCAAGCACAAGCCTTCATTTAAACTGGAGTCACAAAAGAGTCACCGGAGGACTTCAAACTTGCATGAACCTGAATGCAGCATGAAATGAGGGTAAGTGAGACACATATCAGTTACATTATTGGCTGCCGTCCTGTTGGCAGGTTTGACCAGAGGAAGACGAAAAACACGCCACAACACAAAAATAATAAAAAAGAGAAGAGGAGTGACTTCTATGTACAGTGAGAGCTGTCAGTGTTTCCTTCTCCCTCCAATAAACCCCAAATTGTCAATCAATCAACATTAACACCCTCCACTCTTGACACCTGGAGCAGCTCTGGAGCATTAGAGAAAAAAAAAATTGCAGCGGTACATGTAACAACAAAAAAAAAAAAATATGCATAAATAATTTTTGCGATGCTCTCCAGCAAGCCAACAGACGTGTGTGTGTATACATGAATATGAGTGTCTGTTCCTCTTGTGTGTGTGCATGGAGATGTGTTTTCTGGTCCTACAGGCCTTTGTTGAAGTAGACCGTGGTGGTGCCGGGACTGGCCTGTCGTATACTCTCCTGCAGGTCTGCCTCCAACCCGCTCACGCTCATAGAGCTGCAGAAACAGAAAGACTGTTTGGTTAAAATGCTCAAAAATTACCTTTACAAGTATGAGAGAGAGGGTTGTGGGTGCCGGTACCTTTTCTGAGGGAAGAGGGCGCAGCATAGAGGAGTGGCAAACACCAGGCTGAAAAGAAAAGGGAGGGGAAGATCTTAGATATCGTCACTTTTCTTTTTCATGCCCAATTATCGATCAGTTATTGGCTTACCAAAGACCGACAAGTCCCACTTGCACTGGAGCATTCAGAACAGGAAACCGCTATAAAATCAGAAAAGGAAAAAAATTAACTCATCAATTTGTCTGCCTGATTTAAGAATCCAATGTATGCACAACATGCAGTAAACGGCTCTATTTCCAGCCTCACAACATACCAGCAGACCCAGTAAATCCACTGACAAGATAAACAACAGAGCAACAGGCATGCATGCAATCTGCTTACCTTCATGAAAGCTCTTTTCTCCAGAGCATTCATGATCACAGGGGGGATAGCTGCAACAAAGAAAAAACAGCCAGATGTGATTGTTATGCATGAATACCTTCAGTAACGCATTTGAAATTCTTTTATGTCTTTAGCCGCTGAATTTCAAATGTTAACAGGATGACGAGGGGTTGTCAGCTTCAAACAAGGTGTTTGTGGCTCATCACAGTGAAGGTAAGTACAGCTAAGGCTACAACAGGCTCATGTTTACCACCAATATTATTCATTATTAAATCAAATTCAGTCTGGATTGTAGTTTTGAATCCACTGGTAAAGTTTAACTGGACTAATTGTGTTTTTGGGAGCAATGAAACAGAGTTAGGAACTTTTCCACCTCATGTATTATCAGCGTTAAAGTTAAACAAACATGAACAAGAAGATGATTCACACATCCAGCAGGTACACAGCAACGTAAACCAACACTTTTCACCCTTTGGCTTTATTTTTCAGCCTCTAACGACACTTCAGTTAAATATCTTCATATATCTGTCAACTGTTTAGCTAATAGAAGCTCCACTTCATACGTTTTTTTCAAGTGTTCTCTGAAAACAGCGACTACTCTAGCCAAAAATGACTATATGATAGCACTAAAGAAAGGTTGTGACAAAATCAGCTTCAGAATGAACTAAAAACCCTCTCTAAACAGATCTGTTAATTCAAAGGGAGCTGCAGAGTCAAGCAATTACCCTCCACAGGTCAGTCACTTTCAGTATTTCTCTTAATGTCGTTTAATCCACTGTTATGCTAACACTTTTCATAATTGCCACTTTAAAACACAGATATAGTGTCAGAGTTACCCATGGCTGGCACCGCCATTCCGATCCTTGACACCACCACCTGTGCGATGGCCTGCTTGGCAGCATTAGGAGACTCTCCTAACCGGTTTCCATTTTCATCCGTCACAGGGATCCCGAACTTCAACTCCCTGCACGGAGAGGAGGGTAAAAAAAATAATGTGGTGAAATTGTTGCAGCTGTCAGTTTTAACAAGCTCGTGAGTGAACTAAGAGTTGATTGGTTTTGACCTGTAATCTCACCTCTGTCTCATGAAGGGAATGTTGATACAGTTAGCGGCAGCAACAGCAGCAAAGGGGACAAAGCGGCTGACGATTGGAGGAAGGCGCTGTAGAGATCAGACAGAGTCAGACACACATTCACAGCACAGCAGAGTTTCTGTATCAGACTTATTTGGATTTACTTTATCAGGTTATAACACAACCAGGAGACTTTACCGAGGCTAGAGACTTCAGTCCAAGAGCTGTGACTACAGCTCCAGTAGTAGCACTCACGTAGGCTGCACCAAGCTGACTGCAAAGACACAGATGTTTGAGACATTTTCACACATTCTTTACCCACTTCCTTTTTTTTCACATTTCACACACATCAGAAAAAGCTCTTATTTTTACAGAGCACACAAACTGTGACTGAGAATGTGTCAGAACACAAAAGTGAGACATTTTTTCAAAGAAGAGCTGCCTCAGTTAGAGCACAAATGCATGCTGTGTGCAAGAGGCCAAGGACAGGAACATCCTGACAAATGATGGAACAGCAATGGAGGACGCTTTAACACCAATCTGTGTGACATGCTCATCTTCAATATGCATTAACATATTTTATATTTAAGCCACTCTGTTACAAATACTTCACATGCAATTCTGCAGCAACAGATGATTTTTGTGGTTCAATGGAAACAGAATGGTGCTGTGTGTTGGCCTGAAGTCAACTGGGAGCTTGTAACCTATGTCAGCATGAGTGCACGGTGACTTTGGCCTGAGCATGCTTAACAGTGGAACGAAATACCGCCGTGAAGGAAGGGGAGAGAGGACAGCAGCTCCCACAGCCTCCTTACAGACACTAGTTTAGAGGGAGGACAGGAATGATCTAGAGTGGGGGTGGAAGTGAGAAGTCCTCCCTACTTCAGGGTGATGGGGGCATCTCCGCTGCGGTTGGTGTAGTTGACGACAGCGTTGAAGGACTGGTTAACCCACTGCCAGAACACCACAGCTGGTGTAGTCCTGCAGACACGAGGGAACAACGACAGCATATTTGAGGAAGTGAGTTCTCACAGGGTAAACAGAATTGCTGACACTTCAGCAGTATGGTTTTGGTGACGATGCAAGTACTTCATATTTATATTTACAGCTTTAGATGTTCTAGTCCTCACAGTAGAAAAAGTTTATTTCTTATAATATCATTTTGAGCAAACTTCATGTCCCCTAAATCTGATTTATCAGTGTTATATAAATCAGTCAACTCGACTTTTTTCGATGTAGCTGATACAATCGATGAAACACCAAGACATCTGGTAGTGCGGTAGAGTCTTGAAAACCACAAAAACACATGTGGCTCAAAGTCATGTCTTTTTTTCTATCTAAGTGTGAAATGTTTATCATCCTGTCAGGAAGGTCTCACTGATAACACACAAGTTTATCTATAACTAAAGTATGTTGTTGTTAACCATGCGAAAAAAACATTTGATTTATACTCTGTCTCTTTAAAACTTAACAGGGGTTTGGCATGTCTTGTCTAATCACAAGACAAAGTATGAAAAAAGTAGAAATCCTAATAATATAAAAGTTGAGTTTAAGGGGAAGGAAATAACTGCATTATCATGTGACATCTCTGTGGTCTCAGCTGCCAAATGATTATCAGTATATAGTCGTGAGAGTTATTTTTTCATGCTTTAGAGGATTTTCACTTTGCACAGGGATTAAACTCTAATTTTATGCAGTGAAATGACACAGAAACCACCCCATGTCTACGCAGCATGACAGTAATATTTATTTCTGTTCTTTCATACCATCTTTTTGTGTAACTATGATGAACTTATGCATACATCCACCCAGAATGAAGCTGTACCTGTAGAAGGTGAGCATGCAGCCAGTGATGGTCATGTTCATTGGCACTTGGGCGGACATCCGGCCAATCACAAACATCTTTTCTCCAGTATCGGGGTGGAAAGCGGAGTCATAGATGTACTTGGCTCTCCAGAGCTCGTCCTCAGTCAGGCCGGGCCTCACAATTCCAGCTCTGAAAAGTCAAAACAGAGGGATGACGTGGCATTTTACACACAGATTGAAACACAACAGCAGGAGAAAGAAAGTTTGCTCTTGGATTAGTACAGATTTGCTGAACAAGCAAGCAAAGAGGGATTACCTACAAACAGCTCTGATATGTGGTCTCACAAAGGTAAATAAATTTTTAGGACCGATGTTTCATGACTTAAAGACTACATCCTCATACATTTTTATTTTATACATTATTCAATACATATTGATATCTCCATACTTCATCTTTAGACCATCTACCTGTAGTTCTCCACGATAACTCGAGCCTCATCCAGCGTTTCAGAGGACAGCAGGACTGTCCTCGGGTCTGTGACCATGAAGAAGTGCTGGGCACGCCCCATAAACGTGCCCTGGTCCCATCTTGGCTCCTTGATGTTTATGTTCAGGGCCACCTCTCCAGACATTGTTGCTTTCTCTAAATAATAGAGAAGATATTTATCAGTTTTTTTTAACACTTTGTTTTTTATCTATCCTGGATTCATTAATAAATACGTATACTGTACTGGCTTTTTTAAGTCACTGTTGAAAATTACTGACTGATATGAATCGTTATCAGATCCTAAAATAGAAAAACTCACGCTACACCTTTGATGAGGTTGTTTGCAATATCATGAGTATTCTTAGGTTATCAGATAAGGATTACTAGAACTAAACCATAACATTTTCATGATTAAAAAATTTGCAGTTAAGCCTCCATCTCTGCTCTATGAATAGCTTTGCTGCAAGACAGAGCTGTATAAAGGTGGAGCCCCTTCCCCCATCTACAAACAGTAAACATCCGAGTTCAACACAGAGAAATAACCCAGACTAGTTTATGACAGTATCATGTTTCATTTTTAAATAACGTCTGGTGTATTAAACTTATTGCCTAGGGATAAGAGGCCTCAGTTCATTGTTCTCATGGTGTTGTGGGAAGGAGCGGCAAGTGATTCACGCAACAGGATGGCCCAGCCAGGCTATCAAATTCAAGGTTTTGCATAGATTCTTTTAAAGTGTGTACCAGGGTGAGACTGAAACCAAAAGGCAGGTCTGAGTCGGTGCTGTGTGTGCAAGATAAAGGAATAAACTAAAAACCAAACTGGCTTTGAAAATGAGGTCAGCCATTAAACAGTAGACCTCAGATGAGAGTAACAATAGACAATGATAGTAATGTATTAAGAAGTGACTTTGTTTACAAAATGTCCATAAATAAGGTTCACTACAGCTGCAATGACAGTTAGTCACCAACTTTGTCTGTATTTACTTAATTATTTCAGATATTTACCGAGCAAATGTGTCAACATTTGCCTCTTCTGGCTTTTTTAAGGTAAATAGAGACTCACTCTTGAGTCGTCACTCCTTGAACTACTGCCTGACAAAAGAATCAGTTTGAATGTGTCATTTAAAAACCTAGGAGGTCATCATGACTCAAGCATTTTTCACGATTAAACACTATAACAAAACAAAAATTGTAAACTGCAGGTCCTCGACATCAGAATTTTTTTAAGAACATGGGAATTGCTTTTGTATTAACAGCTAGGATCCACTGGTACTCAATTTAAAGTCACTTTATACAGTGTGAGGCCTGGATATAGATAATAACAGGTTAACTCAGATAAGTATTAACATATTTACACAAATTAAAAATAATTGACCATGGGTGTGATGTTGTAATAATAGATTTTACACTGGCAACATCAGCTCATATCAGCTGGAAGATATCTGTAAGAATTCAGTATGGACACAGGTGAAACTTCTGTAGCTGAGTACAAAAACTTCAGCATGACATGAATGTGTGCTGACTTGGAGAGTATTTTTGAGCAACTATGCACAGTGCCCAGGTCCTAACCTGTCATAACCACCTCCAGAAACATCTGACGACTGCATACTCAAAAAGAAAAGCCCCTCCACGACAAACAAGGACAAAGTAACAGCTAATTTGGGAACGGGGGGGGGCTATAACACAAACCTTTTACTTTACACACGCAAGCCTTGGCATTGTTTCACCCCTTGCCCCTTACCATAAGCCTGCCAACTACAATGTTTGACCACAGACCCGTTCACACTGATTCACTTTGGAAGTAGCTGATCAGAAAAATAGCGTGACACAAACAGTGACAGATGGGACCTGGGGAAGTCACGACATGTTGCCGGCTCCTGTCAGCAAACCGCAGGTGTTGTATCCAAAGACGCTTCCTATCGAGAGGTTTACTCGGTGACTCTGCGCATGCGTGTAATCAATTCAGGTAGTTGGCAGCAGAATTTGAAAGAGGCTGTTTGACCATCGGGTTGCTCTAAAGTCTTAATACAGATTTTTATAATCCATTGACCTCGCGTGACCTAGCGCAAATGCAGTAAGTATAAGTGAGGTGTAAAATCATTCCACTCCGGTAACGTTGATTTTCAATAATCTCAATATATTGAACTATGCTTCTCTAGAAGTCCCAGGTAATGGTTTTAAAATACTAAATCAAAGCTCGCCTTACTTTTACTTCTACGGTGATATAAAACGCGTAAATTTCTTAAGCTGACAGCCCGTGCTGCTGTTTCGTGCTACACGGCGCGTTTTTCGACACGGCAGCAAATTTCGACAGAACACCGGCTAACGAGCGCAGCTACTAAGTTAGCAAGGTAAATGATGACACTACAGGAGCTCAAACGCCATACAACGTAGGTACGCAAGCAGGACATTTAATGCTAAGCACATAACAGCTACAAAAACAGTAACTATGATAGGGAAGAAAACAATGTTCTCGAATTATCTAACAAACTACTTTTTTTGCTCTCTGATATCAAGCTAGCCAGGCAGTTCACGAGATAGCCTGACTAATGCTAGCATTCAGGTAGCCTTGCAAGGACACATAACGACACATAGCAGGCGTTTACTTGAATCTGATTTTGCTCATGTTTAATGTTATGTAACTAGTCCGATAACACCACACTTACCTGTTGTGTTGTCTTTGATTTTTTGAAAATGTATGACCTCTCAATATCACAGCACCACCGGGTGGACTTTTGCTGCTTCCTGGTACTATTACGAGTATCGTAAATTACAAACTTCAGACATACCAAACACACGTTAATAAGCAAAAACTCGAAAAAATTGTGTAAGTCTCTTAAAATATAATATTTTACGTTATTAATTAACAAAATAAAACCCAAACGTACTTTTTTAAAGTTAACTTTAGTTTTGAATTGAGGATAATGCTGTCATAAAAGTTGTAGTTACAATATCCGAGCTTTGTGGAGGACAGTGAAAGCAGCACTACCATGTGATACACCGTGGGCGGTGTTTGTCATGGAAGACCTGAGTAGCTGGAAACTCTTGGGCGTGGGAGGTAGAGAAAACATGATTGGTTTAAAATAGGGATAGGGATAGTTGCATTAAGGCAACTTTACATGTCATAGAAATGCTATTGTAGTTTACTATTAACCAGGCTTCTACAAATGTGAATGGCAGTTTTATCTGTTGTGCACACAAGGAAGGCTACATCATATTTAAGCACAAGACCTGTTTCCCTACTGTCTCAATTCTCTAAAATATTTGAAAAACTATTCTATACACGGCTAGATGATTTTAACACAAAGCTTAATGTATTGTGTGAACAATCTTTAGTTGTTTTTCTGCCAAAGCACATTGTATATTGTACTTATTTTGTTATTCTTTTAACCTGTTTTAAACTAAACAAGGTAAAGATGTTTATCTAACATGTTCCTAAACAATTAGAATTTGCTCGCAACATAAAATAAACGTTTTGCAGCGAGATAGTGTTGATCCAACGTATTCCAGACAGTGTAATAGTTATCTCGTGCCACAAGGTGAAACATCTGTAAAATAGTAAAGGTATAAAAACAATCACATGATCACTATCAGTCACGTTTGGCCCATACACTGGTCTCAAATGTAATGTAATTTGAAATAATAACAGTGTGTGTGTTGTTTGTGAAGTTTTTTTCTGTTTTCTGTCAAAAAACAAATAAATAAAACGAATACACTAAACAAATATATTAAAGGTCAGGGCTTTTAAGTAGCATATTAAATCCTAACTGTGCCCTGGAGATACATTCCTAGGATAAGGATCTGCATTGATTTTCCAGGACTGTCCACTGAGTGGCGTTGTTTACCTTTTCTATAGCCATCTTGAAGGCAGGGGGAATAGATGAATAGATTGTTTTTCAGATAGCACCTGTTTGCAGTTTTGCTTGAATTACTGGTTTAATTACCCTTTTCACCTGAGGATAACGTGACACAGACTTGAGTCAGGGTTACTATGGTGTTATACTTAATCATCACTTGGCCATCGCTAATACCCACACAGAGGCAGAGGATTATATCCGAGGCTTACACCTCCTGATAATGCTCACCTGGAGAAGAAATGAGGTGGCACTAATACCCCGCTGACCAATAACAATGCGTCAGTGAGGTGGCCAGGTGAGAGTCTATTCGAGCGCGGTCAGCACCTCACAGCGTGGACACAACAGGTAATGCTTCCACACTCTGTTCACTTTAGTTAGACTTTCACGACAGATAACTTATTTAACATTAGGAAGTTGGTTTTTAAACGGTTAATGGTATTGATCGGACACTTTCGACGCATTAAAATGGCTGAAAATGGTCATTGTGGGTAATCGTGCTAACTTTACAGCTAAGAAGCCCAACAATGTCGATAACTACCTCAGAAGTTAAAGAAGTTAGTTTTAGATTAATATGTAGTCTTTTAAAGCGAGGCCATTTGTTTGTGTTTACTGTGTCTTAGTCACTGTCCATGGTGCTGAACAAAAACAAGTTTGGACTATCTTTTTTCTATTTACCTGAGTTGAAGTGACCTTGTTTCACTTTATTATTATCCTATCTTGAACTTCTGAGCCGTCATCTTTCACGGCATATCCTTTTCACATCAGATATCCACTTAATTAAACATGACCCAAGGGGAATCACCATGCACTGCTGACTTCTCTGCACACAGGCCTTCAGTCTCTCAGATGGAGCAGGAGAAACAGACACCACAGGCCCTGTATACATGGATCAAGAAGCTGAAATCAATTAATGGAGGATTATTTCTATCTTTTGTATCCATTGGAGGAAATAAGGATTGCAGAATTTACAGTTCAGCAAAGGAGCGTGGCTTTTTTCCTGTTTGTAAATAAGGATTTTGTTAGTTGGATCTGGGATTAAAGTTTGGAGCTTTGTTTCTGAGCTAAAACTGCCTAAAGAGGATGTCATTCACAGCTGGGAACCAAATTATGTAATTTTTCACTCAGTGTGAGTCAGCAGGAGCACAGAGGCCCACCTCCTCACATCCCTTGTTTCCAAACCCTGCGCTGCACCTTTTCCATCCTGACAGCAGACCCCAGTTATCCTCCTGTCTGGATGACTAAGGGAAAAATTACCTTTCACATAGCATGGCTCACTCCTCTCACCCCTCTGGCTGGAGGGAGATGACAAACGGAGGCGGGCACCCCCACTTCCACAGCGGAGGCCAGGCCGGGGGTTCCCATAGCGCCACACGCTACATGCTGAAGAAGCAGCACCGCCATAGACGCAGGTCATCTTCGCCAATGGGCAGGGTCATCCTTATCAACGCACCTGTTGATGGTGAGTCCAGCACATGATGAGTTTTCTCTATTACCATGGTACCACACCCAGCAGAGGCACAGTCAGGTCAGACACTGTCAGTCATAGGAATGAATTTAGATTGGAGTCTGGAGCAAAGCATTAATTTATTTATGAGGATGTATTTTGCTTTTTTCATATTTTGGAAAAAAATACTAGTGCAAAGTTTGGGTGATGTTTATGGGACTACTCTGAGGTGATTCTCCCCTGTGAGAATAAAGATACCAGGCAGAAATGTCTGTTTTTGTTGTTGTTGGAGATTTCTTTCAAGGTCAGATTGGGGTCACAAGAATATAAAAAACATATGAGAATTGTGCATTTAAAAAATAAAAATACAACTTTAAATCATAACATAGTTTGAGACAGAGCCTTCTACATTCCCCCACCCTCTGGAGTTCACTCCCCAAACCCATCCAAGACTGTACTGACCCCCACACTCAGTACAGTCTTAAAAACACACCTTTTTAAATTGGCTTTTAACCTGTGAACTGTTCTTTTGTCTTCTCATATTGTGTCTTTTTTAACCTTTTACATCGTTGGTTTTATTTCTCAAAAATGTCTGTATTTTAAATTGTTTTTTTATTTTGTTTTCTTCTTTTTCTTTGTAAGGCATTTTTGAGCACCTGTAAAAGCATGTTATACATAAAATTTATTATTATTATTATTATTATTATTACTATTACAACAGAGGAGGAGGGTTCTAGAGTGTTGGGTTCCAGAGTGTATATGACTTAAAGAGACAGTGGTGTTTTAAACAGAAGCTGAAGGGTTTTCTAAGCGAGCCTGAGATAATAATTCAAATAGTTTTGATAACTATCCTTTTTTTCAGATTTCAAAATAATTAAAAAGCTTAAAAAGCTTGCTTAAAAAAGCTTAAAAAAATTGAAACAAAATGAAGTTATCTGATTAAATTGTAGTAATCATCAGTTCCAGCTCATTAAATTCTTTGCATGTGTAAATATCTCAGTGACTCACAGTTGAAAATAAAACGTGTATATTGCAAAGAAGTATTGCATGAAAGAAAAATCTTTCTCTATTTCTATTTTAAACTTTTATTGATGGAACCATTGTAGTCCTTGTGAGAAGTAGTCCATGAGAGTTTGTAAACCATTACCTTCATGGAAGATGTTTGTGTATTTTTTGCATTCTTTTGTGTTTACAGGAGGGGATGATAGTGAAGATATTCACACAGTGACCGTTGACAAAAGTCCAGATGGGCGTTTAGGTTTTAGTGTCCGAGGAGGCTCTGAACACGGACTTGGAATATTTGTCAGTAAAGTGGAGGATGACAGCTCTGCAGGTAAGTGTGTGTGTCTGCGTGTGTGTTTCTCAGGATTATTGGAAGCTAACACTTGTGCTTACATCTTGGTTTGTGTTAGTCTTTTCCTGTGTGACATTTACCCCTGTGTACCATGCTGAGTCCCACCTGTGTGTGCAGAGCAGGCTGGGCTGACTGTGGGTGATAAGCTGGTGGAGGTGAACGGGGTCAGCCTGGAGAGCATCACCATGAGCAGTGCTGTGAAGGTCCTGACAGGGAACAACAAGCTGAGGATGGTGGTGAGACGGGTGGGAAAGATCCCCGGTATACGCTACTCCAAAGAGAAGACAACATGGTGAGGTTAACAGATCCAGAACAGTTCATACATCTGTGACTTGATATAATCACTCTTTATATTAAGAGAACCTTGTAATTATCACCACTGTCCTTTGCACGGCTGTTGTTGAGTGTAATCTTGTCACTAGACTGCAGCTTAGACTGGTGATCTTTCTTTTGAGATATTTTGTATCTTGGTTTCATGTGGCGGCAGTGGATGGATTACTGCTGTGACCTTTATGGCTTTTTGATTAACCGATACTGATAGGTCTGACCTCAGAGGAGAGAGCAGAAAACAGTGTGTGGGAATGTTTTCACATGTGTGTATTTTTCCTTTCTGGCATATGTGTGTTTTTTGTGTGTGGATGTGTAGGGTAGATCTGATTCACCGGCGGATGGTGGTCGAGGAGAGTGGTCACACGCCGTCAGAGGCCAGTTCAGACAGCGCTCTCCGCAGGATTGTGCATCTTTTCACGACATCAGACGACTACTGCCTGGGCTTCAACATCAGAGGAGGCAAAGAGTTTGGACTGGGAATTTACGTTTCCAAGTATGAAGGACAAGTAGTGCTTTTAAATAACGAGTTTTACTCCTGGAAAGGTCATTGGCATCAGATTAACACAGTTATTCAGGATAGTGCAGTGAGGATGTTGCAGGACCCAGGTTCAAACCATGCTGCTGCAGAGTCTTAGGTGTTGAGAAAGAAAAGCACAAAGGAACAGTATTTTCCAACAGTAATTAATTGAGATAAGTTTCATTGTGGTCTAACCTTCTAATACTCATACTTGAGTATTTTCAGGAAATCAGTGCCCCTCAAAAACTAGTGTAATTAAAAAATATAGTCATATTACCATAAATTGAACTGATTCCTGGCATTTTACAGGACCTAACAAGCATCACACCCCTTGCTGGAAACACAATAATGTAGCTTGCAATCATAAATCATTACTTGCCTGAAACCAGTTTATTTCCGGGGGTAATTGAGCAGTGGAGTGAACTCAGAATAAGGCAACAATTGGCATGTTGGCCAATACCCAATACTGCATTTTAGGCATTGACCAGCACGGAGACAACTTACACTTAAAAGTTTTTTAAGAATAATAAGTCCAGTCAGAAAATGGTTAATAAATCTCTGTGCTCATTTTGTGTTTCAAGATAACTCAGAACTTCATGTTTTACTCTCTTCAGGTTAGATCCTGGTGGGCTTGCAGAGCTGCACGGCATTAAGATGGGCGATCAAATCCTTGCTGCCAATGGCGTCAGCTTTGAGGACATCACTCACAGCAATGCGGTCGAGGTCCTGAAGAGCCACACACATGTCATGTTGACCATCAGAGTGGGTGACAACTTAACAGATATTCTTTAGGCCTGTTATTTCTACTCTTTATGATTATAATGGATCAAATGACAGTGTATAGTTTTATTTTCTGGGGTCTTTATCAGGAAAAAAAAGAAAATGATCACCTAGTTCTTTAGTTCCCCCTTTGCACTTTAGTACGGTTGAGCCTTTAAGACTATTGTTTTGGTGCAAATGTGTTTTGTTTCAGTGCTCTCACTGGCTTTGCTTTTCGCTCACAATTATCTGTTCACAACTTTTACAGCACCAAAAAGCAGATGGACTCAGTTAGCTCCTTGCTTGTGAACATAGCAGAACATTTAAGGACTATAGAGCTTGATAATATTCTTCAGAGTAGGTAAAGAATAAAAACAAAAGCTGAAAGGAGCCACATAAACGTGGCATATGAGCACTAGAGCTGAAAATTGCCTATAAGTGGCAGTATGTAAAATTCTTCAGGTGATAATTTTAGGTGTCTAAATAATCAAATAGTTCAGGTTAAAGACTAATCTTACAAGTCTGTTCCTCTGGTCGTCTCTAATACATCGTTTGTTAAGAGTTGTATGGCAGTGCAGTTGATTGTGTGCTTTACCTGCTGCGACACAATAATAAATGTTACAGTGTGTTAAATAACACCAGATCCTCCCAGGAGAGAAGACAGCTGGCTCACAGCCCTCACAGTTTCTTATGTGTCTGTTTGCGCATACATGTGTGCCACTTAACCTATGTCATTTTTGGAGAAAGGCATTGTGTGCGTGTTTGTGTGTATGAATGGATACACGCATGTTGTGCAGTGTGATCGAGTGTGCGTACTCTCTAAGCACAACATCGCTGCGCGCTCATTTTACTCCTCTGATCTCAGGTTCCACGTGCGAAAAACAGCCAGGGACAACGTTCATTATTCAAAGGCAGTCAGGGATCAGGTTATAATCAGCAGAAAGACGAAATTTATGTCTTCCTTCAGTCCTTTATCAGACCTATAAGCAAGTCAGAGACACACATGGCAAAGTGACGGTTAGCTAATGACTGGAAACCAAACTCTGTTCTGCTTGTGTAAACAAAGCTTATGTGGACATTTGTAGACTGTAACCTTGTGTGTTTATGAGGTTTTGTACTTTGAGACCTATCACTTATCCACTTTTGATCCAAAATGCCACAAATTGCAGGGAATAATAAATTAGCTAAGAACAATATAAAATAAAAATTAAAAAACTGATATGGTATTAAGTCTTGGCAAAGATAGACAGAGCTCCAAGCATGTTTAGCTGGAGGTTAGTTCAAGTAACCTAAGGGGAGACAGCATCTTATAAAGTACCTAGATAATCTTGATATAGTATTGTGGTCACCATTTGTGGATAAACAAGAAACTTGCAGCTTGTATTTTGGCGCCCCCTGTGGACAAAGCAGTCTTTGCTTATATTTCCTTCGTTCCCTTCTCTTCTGGTTTATTTGAAAGTGATTTTTTAGAAATTACAAATCTTGTCCCTGATTGTCTTGTTTTGTTTAGTTTTACGTAGCATAAAAAGGCATAAAAATAAATCTAAGCGTATTTTTTAAATATCAAAAGGTTCTTACAGGAGATTTAAAGATGTCAAAAAGACCCTCCAAAACAAGAAATTGAAGGTTCAAGTTTTTTAACAAATATAATGAAACAAAGAATAATTTTCATAAACATCAGGTGTCGTTTACTCATTAATGTGTTTATACTTTATTTATGTCTGTTTGTGGTTCAGCTGGTTATATTTGATCCTAACTTTTAACAGGAAGCTGGGAGATATCCTGCATACAAGGAGATGGTGGCAGAATATGGCTGGCTTGACAAACGTAGGTGTTTTATATTTTCATGTTGTCCAGAATGATCTTACAGGAGAGGGTCAGAGTTTTAGAAATGTTTTCTCTGAGGTGTCATTGATTATATTTATTTATACAAAGATTTGCTAAAGAAAAAGGTTTCACCTCATCGTCTCACTCTGGGTAGATAGATATAGAAAAGGGAGACACTGGCCACATGTTGCTGACTGAAAGCTTCCTTGTTTTTTAGTACCTCTGAACACAGACAGGGATTAATACAGAATACTCGGAGGCAGCTAAATTGTCTGGAACAGTGAATGACATGACCTGACATCTGGGTCTAAACATAGAGTCACTTTAGAGTTTAATAACAGAGAGAAAAAAAGAAAAGAACTTCTGGCTCCTGTCCTGGGTTCTGAAAGTTTACAGGATTAAAAGCAGATGGGGCAGAAAAGTTAAAAACCAAACAAAGAAGTCTGTGCAGAGTAAGGAAATGAAGCTTGTATAAACCTTAATCACCGTGTAACCTAGTTACTTTTGCATGCATGTATTTTTTTATCAAATGTTGCAGATTCATATGTTTTTTTCTCCAATAAAACCTTGTATATTTAAGACAGTGATTCATATTCTAATGATGGTATGTGTCCTACAGTGGCCAATGGACGCCCTGCTCCATCTTCCCAGGCTTCAGACTCCAACTCCTCTGCCTCATCGTTGTCCAGCAGCACCCCCCTCAGCTCCCTCAGTGGTCTCTCCCAGATCCTTTTCCCTCCTGTTTTTGGCTCTGAGATGGTAGACGTCGCCATCTCCACAGAGGACCGCTCCCGACGTCCAAGCAGTACCGAGAGAACTGCTGACACTGCCATACAGACTGACCCCCACCCTCCAAACTACCCGGACCACCACTCGGTCAATGGGTCTTACTCTGACAGGCTGGTTGCCACAGAAACCAGTCGGACTGTAGGTGCCACAGTGCTGCTGAAGGATACAGTCATACGTGGAAAAGGGGAGGGGCCTAGGGAGATGGGAGGAGCTGGGGAAGGAGGGCGGAGACGGTCGAGGGTGCTGTCATCGGGGGACCAGGAAGTAGAGAAACACTCACCGAAAACTGCAGCACTGATGGCCCTGAGCAAACCGCGGAGGCCAGTCAAACGTTCGCAGAGCCACATCACAGCATCAGGTGAGATTTTAGTAGACTTAGATTTGGTCCTTTATTATGTTTGTTTGAGGATGTCCAATATAGCCATAAAATACAATAAAAAATAAAATATAGCCGTATTGCAAATAAAAACTTGGCTCTGATTTATGGGTGTTTTAGCACCACTGACCTCATATGAAGATGGATGATGCATCTCTTTGAGCACTGAGGAATTGTACATTATGGATCAGCTAGTGCAGCCATGTTGCCATCTAAAGGTTTTGGCTTCACCTGGGTGGCTGTCATGTTGTCCATTCTTTTATTCAGTCTGTTGTACGCAAAAGCTTGAAACCACATGAGTTTACAATAATAAAGCCAAAGATACAGTACAATGCAATTCCCAGTGTTTTTGTAAATCACTTTCATATTATGTAACAAGCATAATGGTGCAGTAGTTAATGAAGAAGGTTCCTAATTGGATCCCAGCAGACAGGAGCCTCCTTGTGTGTAGTTTACAAGTCCCCCCATGCATCTCTATTCTCTACTAAGACACTCTGGCCCTCTTGTGCAGACCAAAGACATGCCTGTGACGTTCACTGGTTGCCCGTAGGTGCATATTTTGAGTGTGTTTGGTTGTTTGTCTCTGTTTGCTAACTCACTTGTGCCCTGGCTCTGAACACTAGGATTGGTTCCAGCCTCTGCAAGGTGTAAGAAAATGTTTGTTTCTGAACATTTAGGCAAAAATGATCATGATTCAGGTTGTTGCAAATATTTTTTCATCTTTACAAATGAACAGGAAGTAAACACAAAGTCAATTGGATGTCTTTGATTTTTAAGTAAAATCATGAGCCTTCTTCTACTAGTGCAAGATTGAAATTCAGAGTAAGATTAGTGTTGACAAAGTTGGATTGACTTGGTATATCCTTTTTCAGTATTTCATCATTAGATTTCTCCCAGTGAGATATTGCCAATAAAATCTGTTATCAGCCAGGCTTTATTCTGTATTATGGTTGTTGTGTAAAGCAGAGGTATCATCCATCTTAGTTAAGGCACAAACTTTCCAGGATCCCAACATGAAGAGAATGGCACTCAATATTGGATCCAAGTTTTTAGCCCATATTTCTCACAGCACTGGAACTCAGCGTGCTGTGGGATCCACTCTCACACCCTCCAGAGATTTCCCTGCAAGGCATCAGTCAGTTTAATGACCCCCCCGTCCCTCCATCACTCCAGGAAGTGAAGAGGAACATTTCCCCTCCGCATGGCTGATTTAAGCTCCTGACAGAATTTGTTCAGGAGCACAAAGTTAACTCAGACTCCTGATTAATCGCTGCCCTTTACTCTCAGCTGTTGTACCTCTATGAGGAATGAATGAGAACACGCATATGGAGGAATATCCATCCAGGCCTTGGCGGGCTGTTGAGTTATTAGGCTCTCCTTTTCAATTTATTCCGCTCATTCATAGCTCCAGGACCTGATGGGGGCTTGGGGCAGAGCCCAGGGCTGATTGGACATTTGTTATGTGAGCTGGTACACTTTGATATTGTATCCTCAAAAGATGGGGTGGGGCGAAGGGATTTTGTTGGTGTGGCTGCAATTCATCAGTATTACTGTGTTACTTTTCACAGTGGCAGATTTACTGCCGAGAACAGAGGACCTGACTGGAAGAGAAATGAACAGTCTGTGCTCATAACGGAGAGAGTGAATCACCCTCTTTTACCGGCGAACAGTTAAACGGGGAGCGTGGCAGAGATAATGAATCATGTTTTCAGCTTCATACACAGAGATGCAGATTGTTCTGTTCTCGCTGTGGCAGCGGTGATTAAAGGTTTTCATTTAAACAAAGTATGGATGCTGCATTAGCGATGATGATTTTATTTACACAGCACCTCTGTTACAAAACAAGATGAGTGATTTCCAATAAAAAACATGGGGAAAAAAAAGGAAATTATTAGCTTAGCCAAGCTGTTATAGGAGGAGAGGCAGGGTTCACTAGAGGCAGGTCGCAAGGCTATCACAGGGTTAGTATATAGACAAACAACCACACATACAGGCCTTATAAAGTGACTTATTAATCTAGCAATGTCTCTGGAGTGCTGAAGAGAATCTGGCATGCTGTACTAGAGTCTTGACCCGACAAAAACAGTTGAAAATAAGAAAAAATAATCCAGGGCTTGAACCTCTCTGTGCCTAAATGTGAACAGGAATTCTTGAAATCAAAATTCAAGAGGAGTTATAAGTTGTAAATTCTCAGGTCTCACAAACATGATTCAGCTAGTGAAACATTGAGCAGACTTCAGGCTCTTTTTTAATTATTCCACTGCATTCAGGTGTAAAAACGCACCTAATCTTCACTTTGTTAAAATACTGATGTATGGACTCCTAGAGCTGAACAATTTTGACTTTCTTTCCTCAACTTTTAGAGGACAGAAAGAAGAAGAAGAAACAACAAAAAGGGAAGCAGTCTTCGGAGGGTAAAACCAGCCTGCAGCGATCTAAAACCTTCGTCAACCTGTTCTTTAAGAAAGACCGTAAAGAGAAGAGCCGCTCAAAGTCACCGTCTCGCCATGCAGACAAAGGTGAGTGTGAGGTTAAGATGCTTTTTTTCCTGTCTTGGCTCATATTGTGCGTCACACAATGACAAATTGAGCCAATGTTATAGATTTGATTGTCATTTCCTGTAACCTATTGTACAAATGTAAGATGTGGATAACAATTCAAGAGATCTGGAAACAAGCAGATCCCAGAGTGTGCTGTGTTCTCTTCTACTGGACATTTTAGGGTTCAGACTGTCAGAGATAGTCACACGTGTCCGGGAATTTTAGCCTCTTTATTGATTTATCTGGATATTCCAGTTTAATATTAAAGATGCCAAGATTATATTGTTTAAATCATGATTGCAAACATCTACAGAGGGAGTTAATTTACAAGTCAAAGTTCCGCACAAGGAGTTGAGACTGTTGACTTACTACTTATTGGTTTTGATGTCCTCTGAGTGAGTTTGGGCTGAGTACAAGCGACTGAGGAGTTTTCTCTTAAAGTTTTCTCTCAAATCCTCAGAAAAGGATCGAGGTCGCCCCTTCCAGCTCTTGACTTCCCCGAGAGAATCCAGAGCTGGTGTGAAAGACAGCAGCCTGCTGCCTCGACTGGAGACCCTGCAGCATGTGGAAGAGATGGCCAAGAGGCTGCTGATCCAGGACGAGGTGGCTGCTGTGATGAGGCACTGTCAGCGGGTGGGTTCCTGCTCTGAAACATCTCAGTGACTCCCTCCTGTATGTGCTTTATCCTTCCTCTGAATGAGAATCAGCTGGATTTCTTACAGACTTCTCACTGTGTCTGTGAGTCTCCTGTAGTGATAGATATGTCTGGCAGCGCCTGTGACAAAAGACAGATTTGGCCTGTCATTTCTGATCAGGATCAAATATCAGACTTGCTTTGATCCCCTTGGCTCCTTCAGCCCATCTCACACTCAGTGGCCACTTTCAGGGGATAAGCTTCTTGGCTGGTCCTTTTACTACCAATGCAGAGAATATTCAGACTTCAAATAAGAGTGAGACTCCTTTACAACAGTCTCACATCTGTTCAACAGTTAGTCTGAGAATGCCAACAAATCTTGGTTAATAATCTATCGACACAAGGCCAAAAATGTAATTATAACAAACAACACATGCTTGAATTCTTGTTTGCTGAATTTTTGAGGAAATGTTGTCTTCAAAACTCATGGGTAGAAAATTCTGGGCTGTTGGTCTCAAGTTTCTGTCATTTTAGACTAAAGGAAGACGCAAAACAACAGTTTTCACAATGAAAGAAGACCTTTCTTTAGAAGTAAATATACTTTTTCCTGCCTTTGTCTCTTTTTATTGTCTAATTCGTGTCTTAATCTTATCTTTTCCTCAGTTTTTATCTGAAAACGTGGTTGATGATTTAGTTCGCCCCCTCTTGGCCATCTTGGACAGACCAGAGAAATTGCTGCTTCTCAGAGAAATAAGGTGAGCTGCATATTAGCAGTGTTAAAGTTACATTCTGTTCTACCTTTGTGTGCGCTTGTATCTTAATGATCATATATCGTCTGTAGGATGCTGATACCAACAGCTGAGCTGGGTCGTTTTGACAGCATGGTCATGCCCTTTGAGTTGGAGGCGTACGATGTTCTTAAGAGTCGCTCTGGTAAGCTAGCTGATCTCTTTATTATAACAAAGTCAGTGTTTTGAAGTGGCCATCACAAAGCCCTGATCTCAATCCTACTGAAAATTTATGGGCAGAACTGAACAGAACTTAAAAGTCATGTGCAAGCAAGGCGGCCTACAAACTCGGCTCAGTCACACCAGTTCTGTCAGGAGAAATGAGCCAAAGTTCCTGCAAACTATTGTGAGAAACTTGTGGAGGCATATCCAAAGCATTTGACCCAAGTCATACAATTAAAAGGCAGCTAATGAAATGTATGTAAAATTTGACTCTCAAGAAAGTCATAAAAAATTGTCTAAAAAATTCTCTCTCTCATTATTCTGGCATGTAGCAAATAAAAATAATTTTGGTAATCCTAATTGACCAAAAACAGGAAAAGTTTAATCTGATTTCATGTTAGACGGTGAGAAAAAAAAAAGATTATGTGCCTTTTTATATAGTGTATGTAAACTTCTGGTTTCAGCTGTAAGTATGTAAATCCTATTTGTATTAGTGACTAAATACAGTTTTTTTTTTAAAGATAGTAATGAAATAAAACAGGATTGGTTTATCCTCAGTTGTATATTTCTCTGTAGTTCGCTCTCCAGCCCTGCGCTCTCCTCGCAGTGGAACCCCTCGACGTCACCTCATCACCCCAATCCCAGGTACATCAACCCCCTCCTCCTCCTCCTCCTCCTCCTCTCACCCTTTCACTTTCTTAACCTCACCTCTCTCCTGACTCTGTCTTCTCTCTGCCCTCTCTCTAATCCCCGAGGAAAATGAGATACACAAGGGGGCTTAAACCTCTCACCTTTTGTTTCTCTCTCCTCCTCTTTCTCTCACTTTTATCCTCTCACTTCATTTTTTTTCCTGCCTCATCTTGTATATACGTCTACACACTAAAACACCTGCATCCACACAGCATATCCTGTCTCGTTCCCACCTTCTGACCTCATATAAAACACACTCACACACACACACACACACACACACACACACACACACACACACACACACACACACTCACACACACACACGTCGCCATGCAGAGTATATCTCAGGTTTCCTGTGCCTGTGCTAAAGCTGAGGCTTATGTTTCATCTCTGCAGCCGGCTGAAAGGACCGAGACGTGCCTGCTGGCTGCTGTGACACTTAAACAAAACAGAGATGCTTTTGGTCTCTTCTTCATTCAAGAATCATTGAGACACAATCGATGCAGCCTCACTTCAGACTGACAGCAGCCTTCTCACTTTCTAAAGTCATAGGTTAGAGGTCATGAGGTCAAAGTGACAGAAAAAAGCAGACAGGCCGTCACTAAGGTGTTTTGGAGGTATTTACCTGACTGGTATGATTGGTCCTGGTGGGATAAGTAAGATTTTCATAAACTCGTTTACTTAGCTGCACTGAATTTTAGCTTGGCCCCTGGGTGTGCAACAAAAAAATGGGAAAGTTAGGTTTTGTGGGGAAAAACTATGAGTATGTGCTGAGGAAGTGTTTAGGGATCCAGAGATATTCAGTTTATGATTATGTGTCTCTATATTACAATAAAACGTTGGTATTGTTCTTCAAAATTACTGCCATGCTTTAAGTCTTGACACTTTATATCGCTCTTCTTTTATTCCACATTTCTTTATCCAAATATTGACACAAAATTCATTACACGTTTTTCATCGGAGCCGTGTAGTTTTGAGTGGATGCTTGAAATATTATGATTTAAAAAATAACGTAGTATAAAGTACTCATTGGTCTCTGTTTTTTGCATTTAGTAGTGTTATTGTTTTGTTTGAAGCCTTTTCTCGCTCCACAGGGAAACTCATCACACTTGATGGATTGCCTCTTGTTCTAAGACGACATGTAAAACTAGTCAAACTCTCTTTGAACTCATGCCGAGCTGCAACTTTGACTCCACAGAGTTTTCACTTTGTGCGTACAGTATGTCCTGGTGGAGATCAATATTTTAACATTTGTGTTGTTCATGTAAACATGAAACCCTTGGCAGATTTTGTACTCATTTTGAGTATCTTTGATATGTTACCTTGAGTCCTTCATTAGAAACCAAGGAGATCCCATTATGTCCCATGTTAAAACAGTCCTGTCAAGTTCATTGACCTAAATCACCTGTTTTGGGGGCTCCGGCCTCTACAGAGGTGTGCATTTTAACTCTTAATCTTAACCAGTGTACTTAAGATGCTCTTTTACCAGAAAATTAAGGTTAGGCTTAAAATACTGATATCACCATGACAACTTCCTTGTGATAAACAATATGTTCTGTGGTGGAAACCTTAAACAGTTTTTTGCTGTCATAGAAAAAAGTGTCAGTGATGATTCAATGACTCAATGCTGAAAATGATCTGATTCATGTATCTACTTCATGTTTTCATGTTTGCGCAGACTTCAGGGGCGGCTTCTACCTGCAGCCGGTCCAGGACACTCTCCGGGGACATCAGCTTGTTGATGAACTGGAGAGATTACGTTTGTCTGGCCGAGACTCCGGCCATCTACCTCCCTCCCGTGCCTTCACCCCTCTGCTGGATGTACCTGTGGACAACTACACCTCCTCCACTGTGCGCTCCCGCTCCCTGAGCCCCTCACCCATCTACAGCTCCATCCCCGCACTATCCCCTCACAGCACCCATCGAGGACGCCAACCCCACAGCTCCCCGAACAGGAGAGAGAATGGGGCGGCGAGGTACGACGAGGTGTCCTTATTGTCGGTGTCTGACCGAGGAGATGTGTTCCCTGAACGGGGGAGGTCACCTGTGAGGAACGGCTGCGGGAGAGCGAGGAGGGAGGCGAGTCCTGATAGCATAGATAACAGACGGAGCAGGCAGGAGGGCTACACAGAGGTCAGCGTGCGCGTTCCCTCACAGCGGAGAGGGAGAACCCCCCTCGCTGGTGTGTTTGAGGAGCAGAGGGACAAGAGTCCGTCCACGGGCAGAGGGGGCGGTCAGCAGCTTAACGGACATTCACAAAATGGACACAGCATGACGCCTGAGGAGTATGAGATTAAGACTTTGACTATCTCCAAGGCCAAACAATCACTGGGTATGTAGAATACAGAAATGTGTGTATATTTAAATCAATCTAAACTTCAATTGAACATGACTGTTTGGAATTATTATTGTTAATGTGTGTAAACTATTAAATTAAAGAGGAAATCCGTATATTTTGGTGTTTTAGCATGACCACAACACCACCAGTAGAGGGCAGGGTGTCACTTATTTTCAACTAAAAGTGATTTAGAGGAGTAAATGCATTCATGATGGCAGATAAAGAACCAAGAATCCAAGAACATGTCATTGTCGTGAAACTCCTCTGGGAAACCCTAAGTCTTAATTTTCCTGTGTGTTTACAGGTATCAGTATTTCTGGAGGAATGGAGTCTAGAGTCCAGCCCATGATAAAGATCGAAAAGATCTTCCCAGGAGGAGCTGCATCTACAAATGAGACTCTAAAGGTGAGCAGCTGCGGCAGAAACAGACGTAAACACTACAATAAATTACAAAATAATCGGTGTTTGAGTGTGAAAAGGCATAAAAAATTAAAATTCTCATTAGGATTCTTGCCTGCAGGTAAAACTAGAGAAAAAAGTGTCTAACAAGATGAAAGGAAGTCCTCTGTTTTGACTATTAATATTGAAAATGTAACTTAATCCTTCATAAGCCCTGACTTAAAGCTCTTTAGATGTCCTCCGGGGTTGAAACGTGTTGTAAGTACCTGTCAGGCCTGTCATGTGCTGTGTTTATGAGTTGTCGCTATAAGTCACTGAGTAAATGACTGAGAGGTTGAATGTGTGCAATGAGGAGTAGAGAAAAGATGAGTGGATCGCCGTCTCAAGTAACCCATTACCTCCATTATTGATGAGGTACACAGGTGCAGGTCTGCTAATGTATTGGTGATATATCGACTGCACAGTAACTTAACAGTCGTCCGTGATCTTGGCCTGGTTCATTTAAGCTCACCTGATACACGCTCATTTACGACACGCGACCACAGGCTAATTCTTTAATAGAGCTGACACCACTTTTAAGACTCTTAAGGGGAAATGAGTGTGTTAACTGTCTCCTGAAGATTGAGTGCCTGCACGGATAGGTTACTACTGTACTCACACCTAGATGGGTGTTAATTTGGACCTCTTTCTGACATTCGCTACCTATATTGTGTGTCTAATTAGAGTGCCAAACATTAAAAGGATTACATGTATCTTCCCAGAAATTAAAATTCAAAGACCTACGTACAATTGCAGTCTTTCTCTCTTTCTCACGCACACACATAAAGAAAAACATTGCCAGAAGCTGTACAACCAAACTTGGAACAAAATGAACATAAAAAGGAGAGATATGGATTGAGACTGGTAATAAAAATATGTAGTGAAACAAAAGTAGCAGGAATGAAAAATGAAGCAAGGTGAGTGAAAAAACAGAGCCCTGTAAAGGGAGACAGATGAGAGCAAGACTGAGACCCAGACCGAAGTCCTCCATCCTTCCTTTTAAAGGGTTGGAGCTCACCTTACCCTCCAAATTGTCCTTAAAACAGTTTTTTCAGATGCTGTGACTCCAAAGGGGGAGGAAACAAAACTCCCAGAATACTGTACATACAAAGGCAGTGTCACTAATGTGGGAAAATAATGAAGATATTTTAAAAAAGTGTTAGAATACTGCACTATACACTTTTCAAAATGCTATTATTGTTTATTATTATTTAAAGCTCCGGGAAGAGCGTTGGTTTGTGTCAAAACTGACACCTCTTATCTCTCGTTCTGAACATGTCAAAGTAATGTACTGTTTTGAGACCAGAACTTTATCCTGTTGTCCTCTAAAAATGAGACGTTTAGCTCACTTTGAGCAACTACCTTAGAAAACAGTAAAACATACTGTTTCCTTAGCCTGATGTTAATCACACATTGAACTCAGGTATTAAAAATTACAACAGAGAAAATTTTAGCCTTGTTTCTCATGTTGACACATTAGTTTCAGTTTCAGTCAGTTTCCCAACCACTTAAAAATTCCCCACAGTACCTTTTAACTACAGATTTTGAAAATTAGTACAGTTTTTGTTTTCATGAAGACTAAATAAAGAACAAATGTTGCACCAGTCAAGAAGCTTGAGCTGAAGGTCCACTATCCAGTAGGGGGCATAACTAAGTGTACTTGGGCTCAAACCAAAAGTCTACAACTATACAAGTGTTGCTAGTCTGTATGTAGGTAGAAAAAAAGATTAATACCCCTTTAATAGACCGCTTGTGTAGTATGAAAACACTTTATTTCATGTATCTGCAGACTTTAAGATCCAGTGTTCAGCTGCACCAAAGAGTAAACAGATAATGCTCAATTTTAACCGCTTTGACTTGACTTCTTTGGCTATTCATCTCGTAGCTGCAGGGATATCTCACTCTGAACTGTAGTGGTGCTAGCGTGGCTATAATCGGGGTCATGGTGTCATATAAAAATAAACAGCTACTTGCTGGCACTCTTCTATCTGTTGTTTCTGCCTCGCACCTCAGAGCGAGGCATGTCAGCTGGCTTACATCGGCCCCCTGGCTCAGTGCTATCTGTCCAAACTCTGCAGAGGGAAGTGAGAACAGAGCAGCTCAGTGTTAACATGCATCCTGTTTCCTTTGACCCACATGATAACGTATAATCAGTGAAGAATGTTGTTCTGTGTGAGCAGAGATGTGTCCATGTGTACAAACACATTCCTAGTTTGTAGACTCTGCCGCTGCTTTATCAGCAGATATCCGGTGTTGCTGTCACGTGTCTCCTTATAACTGTCTGGGCTTGAGCACATAGTAAATACTCCGGCTGAGAACTTTTCCATTTATAGGCTTGTGTGTAAAATAAACTTGTTATATTCTTTTTAAACCCATCCAATCTTGCTGCTGGCGTGATTGAAGACCTCAGCACCATTTCACTACATAAACTGCTAAATGGATAAGTCAGAAAGGGATATGCACTAATGTGGCAAACTGAATAAAAGTACTGCTTAAAAAATTATGACACTGATATGAATCACTTCATATTTTAAATTCAGACTTTGAAACTATATGAAATGCAAGATCATAGTATTTGAAACGTGACCAAAAAATGCGATTAATTGTGATTAATGCGATGCAACGTGATTAATCGGGATTCAATAACAACCATATCATAACCCTAATTTGAATGCGTGAATGGATTAACTAACAAGTAAAGCCTCCATAATGAGATGCACTGCTTTTATGTGTGTATCAGTATGTTTTCTAACTTTACTACATCTGATTTCAAGTGATCCACGGTGCCAATACTTTTCCTCTCATTAGGTAAATAAAGTTGAAGTTATTCTCAGTGGTCTCGTAAACCACTTACGAAGGTTTATGCGAGCTGTAGTCATTTTTACAGGCAGTGATATTTTTAGATTTTGATGTCCTTTGGCCAGAAAAGAGAAAACCTCACAAATGTGCTCCAGAAAATGGCCTCAAAGAGGATGCAGCAGATTAGGTCGGATCTATTTAATTCAAATAAATTACTTTTCAAAAAATGAAAAAGCACCTTTAATCTGCTCTTTGGTTAAATGGATCTAAATCTTTTGATACTGTTCTCATGAAAGGTTACGAGGTTATTGGTGAACACTGGACTGTCTGCTGAGCTGTTGAAAAAACCTGTCAGACCAAAATCAGGGCAGCATCCTCCTCCAGATGTATCTGACACCTGTGAGATAAAATGGGCCGGTGCACAAAGGGGAAAATTAATGTCTGATGACCGCAGAAGGAAAGGGAAAGGGAAAGGACATTATGGATGATGATAAAACAATGGCTGCCTGCATTGTGCGCTCTGTGTTTCTAACCTTCGCTGAGGTTGAACACGCGAGGCAGGTGCATCCTCGGCAAACGCTCATGACATCAGAGGAAGTCCTTCGTCTCTTGGCTCCAAAGTTTTGCCACTCTCTACTTGCATCCTGCAGGAAACAGAGGTTCTATCTGTGCGTGTGTGTGTGTGTGTGTGTGCTTGTCTCAGTGTATGTTCTTTTCTCAACAACCTTGTGCTGAAGGGGAAACGTTATGTGTGCAATAGTGACGGCCTTCAGTGTGAATATATTAAAGTAACAGGAGAGCCCCAATTCTCCATGGCATAAATCAGGTCCACGCCAAGGGACACAATCACCGCAGATTTATAGAAATGATCTATAATGTCGTTGTGGAAAGAGACAGATTTCAACAAAAAAAGAGACTCAGAATAGGAGGGAAATATACAAAAATACGTGCACTTATGGATAGTCTTAGTTTTTTGTTGACACAGAGTTCTGCATGTCAAACTTTTCCTCATTTCCCTTTGTTTACATCTGCAGGCAGGGTATGAACTGCTATCTGTGGACGGGGAAAGTCTGCAAGGAGTGACTCATCAGTACGCGGTCGATGTTATTCGCCGAGCGTTCAGCAACAAGGCCAAAGACCCGATGGTTTTTGTGGTCAAGGTTCCCAAGGTCCTTACTGCCCACACCGCCCCCTGGAGACCTGCGGACTAATCCTTGTGCGCCTCACAGCAAGGCAGATGCTCAGGCGTGAAGGACACACGAACCCGCAACCCCTGAGGGAGTAGATCAACTGCAGAATTCACTGCAGAGGGGGAGACATGGGACGGGTAAATCTGAGGGGTGGACGCACTAAAGTATTTATCACTGCAGGAGAAAGCACGGTCAAGCAGGTTTATATTCAGCTTTTTCTTCAGATGACTGTTACAGATTTTGCTATGATGAAATGTAAGATACCAAATTTTGCAGCTTTAAGAGTTTTTTTTAACAGTACTGGACGAAAAGTGAATAATGTTTGTTTTAAGATAACACCATGTGGTCAATGAACTTCTCCTTGGTTGAAATTGTGCCACTGTCAGATGTGTACCATGACCTCTGAGCACTCTCTGATGGTCTGCACTTTTCAGTTGGATCATCTCAGTCCAGCAGGCCTGCCAGAGGGAGATTACCCAAGCCTGCTTTATCAGATTTATAGATTTATACCCAGATTAATCCCCTGTATTATGTCAAAACTGATAGTTTGGGTTTAGTGGATGTCATGGGGAGAGATTATTCCAAATTTCTGGTCAGTACTTCAGGCTGTATTTCTCTGGCAGGAACGTTTGTGCTCTGGAGCAATCCGCCACTTTAGAGGCTTAATTACACCATGCTGTGGAGCGAGCTTATACAGGCATGTGGCAGATTTGGATAAAACATGTCAGTGATAAATGCAGGACATGAAGACCAGTGAAGGAGAAATGGGCAGCGAAGTAACTGGCGAGTGTGCGTAGGTGCCTTACTTCTGCAGACAGCCAGAGGGGAAATCACAAATTAATGTAATACAAATTTGGTTTTAATATGCTTAAGGTGAAATGTTCCAATTTAGACATGCAAATAAAGTTAAATATGAAAGTCTGTGAATATGCCTTTGAGTTATTACAAACTACTTCAGATGTAGGACGTTTTGCAGCACAAGCTTGGTTATAAACTTCGCACACGCTTGAGGAGTTTTATGATTAAAAAAATGACATTAGCGCTCAGATGAAGGTGTGACAACTTGTTCTTTAATTAAAAACAGTCATTTGTACAAGAAATGTACACATAAAAATATACAAGAACAACTACATACTTTATGAGTTACTGAAGACACAACGCAAGTTAACATAAAAAGAAGCACACAAGAGGATGAGAAAAAAATGTCACAAAGAAGAAGAGGAAGAAGAAGAAAGGTGTTACGTTGCTTTGGTCTAGTCACAGTGGCTACATTTGAAATAGATATTTGTCTCAATAAAAGACAATGTCACTCTGTTATACTATAAAGTGTTTTACATATTTACAGAGAAAATTGTTATGCAACAATGATGACGACCGAAGTATGAGGAGGGAATCCACGATGCATAAAGTTCTTTGAGTGAGGGGGTTCGTCTGTATTTACTGCTGGTCTGCACCTGTGCTGGATTTATGGTGAGCAGTAACAGTCTAGGTCTAGTTTACAACTTGAACATGGTCGGGCAAACCCAACATGTTCCATTCAAAGTCACTTTCCAAGGCTTTATATCATATTTATATTCACAGTGCAGACTTTTTGATATTTTACAAAGACTTTCAAACCACATTTAAAAGTGGTCACGTCATGCAAAATATAGATTATTAATCCTAGTTTCAATTGAGGGGTTCAACTGAATTTCTTGATTTAGGAAACATAAAACTTTCTGAATTTGCATCAGACCTGACCTCCACTTGATGATGAGGAGGTCACTCAGGCGACCCATTTCATGCATGAACAGACAAATGACGTGCACAAAACCGACAATGAAAACATGAACGTGTGTGTGTGACGTTATGAAACTGACAGTCAAATGAAAGATCAATCAAAATGGAGAGACAACAGAGCCAAAAAGTAAAAGCTCTCGGCTGTTTGAACAGCTGCAAAGTTTGGTCATTAGAGTGTATGCTTGTGTCACAAGGATTATATAATGTAAACATAGTTTTCATGCATTACAGTATTAGGTGCACTCTTTCTTAAGATGCTGCCGCCTCCATTTACAACTGATCCATCATTTGAAATATTGTTGTGAGATAGATATATTTATATATATAGAAGTCTTTATACTTTGTATATTAAACCCACACTTATACCAGTACTACAACAAAATATCTTCAGGTGCTATATATAAAAAAATATACAACATCTCCTCCGTTATATAGATTTCCATTTAACTATAATTCATTGATATAGACTCTTTGTAAAATTAAAGTTTTCAGCCCACTATGATTTTTTTTCCATTGAGACTTGCCATGCTCAGTGTTGAACACAGCCCTGCATACAGTGTGAGAAAACACTCCAACCCACAGTTTCAAATGTTTACATGCTCTTTATCAGTTTATACTCGTCATGTTCACGCTGAGGCCGTTTTCCTCTGATGCTCGTATAATGCTGTACGGCTGTATTATAGGTAGTGTGTGATATAAATGTGCTTCTTGATCAACTGAATAGACATTAGCTGTGAAAATCAACATCACTACTCGACTGTTGTACTATTTTGCTAAGTTAGGTAACATGGAATCTGAATCCAAGCAAAAACAGTTCCCCTCTAACATTAGCCATTATATGATATACTGCAACTCGAAAAATTGACCAATATCACCTCATATTTTACACTTGACTGCCTTGTCAGTTTCAAAAAAATAAAAAGTGATCAATCTTTTTAAGTTATCCAAAATTTACACAATTTAAAACTTGGCCTGAGCATGCTGTCAGAGGAAAATGGCCGCCATGTAAACATGGTCATTGAAGGGCTTCAAAGCCGACCTGCCTTGAGGACATTCAGCGTTGGAGCTACTGCCTCTGCAAAGTCTCATCTTACTGCTCTCTCAGCAGGCTTCTTCTGAAATCTGATATAACAAAGACATGCAGACATGCCAGCCTCGTTTCCTGTTTAGCAGTCAGTGAAGATTATACTGTAGTCTAGGGTGAGACTAGGAAGACTCTAAAAGTGTTAATTTGGCGTTTGGCTGCCACAAGCTAAATAGAGGGCGATAATGGGAACAAAGGGGGACTAACGGAAACTCTGAAGAAGCATGCCTACAGTTAAAACACTGGCTGAGACCTCTCAGTGACGTCACATCCAAAGTAGAAGAATATGCTCCATTTTTAGATTCCTGATACCGACTGCTGAGGCGCTTTTCACTGATACAAAAATAGTTGTGAGACGCAGAGTTAGAGACACAGAGAGAGAGTAGACATGGAGAAAAAGGCAGAAAAAGACAAAGAGGAGAACCAGCAGCCTCCTGGTGACACCTCCGATGCTACAGTCTGCTTTCTATAGTGCTACATAACGTTGAATATAAACGTCAATGACAGATTGAGTGTGACGGAAAACATGAGCAGCTTTCTAATTAAGCATGTCCTTTGAATGTTTGGCTGTGGTTCGGAAGGAAAACAAGAGAACAGGATGTCCACATGTATGAAATCCAAGACACTAAAGTTCAAACTTCTTTTTCAAGTTGGCAAAAAAGTGAGCAGGAAAGCTGTGCAAAAAGGACACCTTGTTTCCTCGGTGAGGGGATTCAGATGGTGGCCATTTCTTCTGCATTTCTCTTGGGTGAAAAAAAAAACAGTCCAAAATAATCCCAGAATGAACTCTGCCAAAGTAATCCATCTCATCCTGATGTATTTAGTGCCACATTTAAGTAGCTGATCTTCTGATGGTGTGACATGTTGTGTTATTTTCCCTTATATGCTGTTTCTTGGAGGAGTTGTGTGTTTATGTTGGGGTGACGATGGCATCAATAAGAGTCAGCGAAGTGGGCGGTGACGATGACATTTTATTCATGATGCATCACTTAATGCATGCTGGTGGCCGGCTGTTTAACCTTGTGTGCTACCGAGTAAAGGTGTGATGGCGCTTGGACTAAGTTGCTGTGCATATCATAACTTTATTTATTCATTTTTTTTTGCTTCATTCTCCTTGTTGATTTTGGATACCCTGATCTGAACATGGTCTCAGAAGGAAACACTGTTTTTGGAAAGAAGTCTTTGTGCTGGCTTTGTAGTGGAAAACCCATTAAAAAAAGCGCCCAGGGGGGAGACGAGACACCTTATAAGGATTTATTGGAGTGCTTGTTGTAGCAGGAAGTAAGAATGCACCTTTGGGAGATCTCCCTATTGACAGTGACAAGTGGTGAGTGCTCGCTCAGTCGTCCAGGTAACGCCATCTTGAAGGTAGTGCAGTATTTGGTCTGGACTCCAACGTTTGGCTTTGATTCTCAGAGTCCTTGTGTTTCCATGTTCTTGTGCACATATTACTGCAAGTGTGTGGTTGGTTTGTTTGTTTGTTTTTTTAAATCTCAGTGGCGGTGATTTCCTCAAAGTGGATGTCGTTGCTGCCACTGTGGACCTCGTACTCCTCCATGTCCCTGTTTTCCAGCTCCAGACTCAGCTCCCTCATCACCCGCTCAAGATCCCGGTTCCGGCGGTACATCTGGATGTAGTTCTGCTGCAGCTGTTTCTGGTAGCGGATTACCTGGAAAGAGAAGGGTACAGCTAATAAGTAAAAACACTGGAAGATTAAAAAAACAGTTTGATAACCCAGACCTAGAAGTTTGTGTGAGATGTAGTGAGAAAAACAACACGAGAGAGACTGAACACAGCTAAGTAATACTGCACCACTTATATCCACACATATATCTTGGTATTGTGCACAAAAATAGAAAAAACGATCGTGTGTGTTTGAAAAAAAAGCACAGCCCCCACCTGTTACATGACTGCAAGAAGAAATTGTAAAACTCTGTCATTTGGAAAGAATTTAGCTCTCACTTTCAAATAAACTTTAACTCTTTACAAGGTCTGGTTCAATGGAGTGAAGATGCAAACACACTGCTGACAGTTTAGCAAAGACACCTTCCTTAAGTGGAGGTAAGAAAGAGAGGGATAAGGATATGTTTTGCAGTATTTTTGTTGCTACCCTTTCTTTTGTTATTTTGACTTTGAGAAGTTAAATATTCTTCTTTCTTTCTTTTACCTTCTCCTTTTCCTCCTGCCACACTCTCCTCTCGCCCTCGAAGTGCGAAAGTTGCTCCTCACCCGTTCTTCTCTCGTACATGAGCTCAGCCTTCAGTCTGTCCACCTGAGAAACAACAGGAACAAGAAATGTAATAAAACTGGAATTTTTTGAATTCGGTTGAAGGACATCTGGCTACTAAAGTTTTATGAAAAGTAAAGCAAAAGTGAAGGTTTTTAAAGGTATCTGTGCACAGAAATGTTCAATGTTAATGTTGCTATCCTGTCTTACATATATGGTTCAACATTTTGAAATCAAAACAGAAAAAACAAATTTTAAACAACTAGAAACTATTTTTTGAGTTGAACATGTCGTGCAACAAATGTTTTGCATTAAAAAGTACAAGTATTTTATGCATGTTGTTACTGTCTAAGGCTTAAACCTGCAGAAGAGGTAATAAATAAACTAGTACCTGTTGTCTGAGTCCCAGCACTGTCTCTGCATTCTGCCTCTGAGCCTTTGCTTCATCACTCTCTCCACCCCACACCAGATGACTCTCCTCCCCATCGCGGTACACGCAGGGACTGGGACCTCCTCTTCCTCCCATTTTTCTACCCTGCTGAAGGGTAAGACTCATGCACTGGCCTTTCATGGTTGCATTTCCAGGTATGTGTCCACTGTGACTGGACAGAGTGTCCCGAAGACGAGCAGACTCCTCTTCCAAACGGCCCACTTTCTCCCGGAGCAGCTCTGCTTCGCTCTTGCGCCTCTGGAGTTCATTCTCACAGACTTCCAGCTCCAGAGATCGCGTCCTCAGGGCCGCCGCGGCCTCCTGGGATCGAACCTGGCTGGCCTGCAGTTCAGACCGGGCCTCTCTCAGCTGAGCCTTAAGCACCACGATGTCTCCTGCTTTCTGGCTGAGCTCTGATTGGATCTCCTTCAGCTGCTGCTTCAGGAGGGAAATCTCACCTGACTTTTGACAAACCTGAAGGGATCAGACAGAAAGCCAGAGAGAAAAGTGAAAACCCAGGAAAGCTGCAGAGCACATTGTCTTGAGGGAGAGTTTGCAACCAGACATTTCAAAACTCTTTGTTCCTGATGGATAAACTTCAAATGCCGATAAGCTTTAATTAGATTAATCTGGTCTAATTAAAGGTGTTTTAACAGCTTCCTTTTGGGAGTAATTTATTCTTTGTTAGTGAGTCATCAGTGGAGAGAAGTGGAAATCCTCCACATTATGCAGATCTAATCACATCACAGTCTACACCTCTAATTGCCTGACACCTTTCCAGTGTCTGACTCTCACCTCCCATTTTGTCTCCTCCAGTCGCGGCCCCAGCTGAGTCTGCTCTCTCTGGATGCTGGCACACCTCCTCTCCAGCGTCTCTCTGTCCTGCAACAGAGAGGAGACATCCTCCTGCAGCTTCTTTTTCTCCTGCTGTAGTTGAAACACCTGTGAAGACACACACACTTGTTTAGTATGAGCTCTTAACACACCAAAATAACTGATTTGATCTGCAACATCTTCAGAGAAAGAAATGAAAGACTCACACCTAAAGCATGAGACTAACGGTCCAACTAGGTCAGCCAATTTTTAGGGAAAAAAGACAAACTCTTGCAGTTCTAAAAGTGCTTTTCTTTTTTATCAGAAGTCTCTGTTTCTTCAAAGATCTTGGAACAGTTTTTCCTTGTTTGCCGTACCTGTAACTGTAGCACCTGCTGTGCCCTCTGGGCCTTCTGAGAAGCCTGCTTCATCTTTGCTGAACAGCTTTGTCTTAACTCCTCCATCTCTCTTTCACAGCGGCGCTGCTTCTCCTCGTACACCTTTCAGAGCCAAAGACAAGGGTGAGTGTTTCAGTCATACCTACACCTTATCAGGTTTTTTATTTGGGTGTTTAACAGGAAGGTTTGGTCAGCTGAGTGTCTAAACGTCTCACCTGGCAAATGGCAGCTTCATTCTCATCCAGGTTTTCCCGGAGCTGCTGCAGCTCAAGGTCTCGCTCTCTCAGTTTCTCCTCAAGCTCCCTCACCACCGCCTCGTAACCTTCCACAGGTGGAGGCGAGTGGCCACAGGACCCGCTATCGGACAGGGGCTGCCCGCGCCCACTGAGCGACCCTGAGCCTGTGCTCTTACTGGATGAGGAACGTCCACTGTCTGAATTAGTGTGATTATGGCTCCCACTCCCACCTGAAGTGTTCCGACCCAGACTAGAAATGGGTTCCAGCTGGCCCCCGGTGCCAGACCCGGAGCTGGAGCCCTCGCTGGGGGCCAGACTGTAGCCTGTGCTGCTGTGAGTGGGGAGACTGGAGAGGGAGTTCCTCCCTGAATCTGACATGGAGCAGGACTGGCTGCCCCGAGCGTTTCGCCCTCCACTGTAGGAGTTCCGCTTCCCTTCAGAGCCTGAACTGCAGCTCCCCGCGTTGCCGTTTGTGCCGCTGGAGCTGTTGGACCCTCCGAGGGGCAGCAGGAGGTTGAGGCTGGCCTGGCTCTCTGATAGACTGCTGCCCCCTGGCCGGGGTGATAGGTAGTGCACAGAGTGACGGTTCTTGGGGACAACAGGTTTGAATGCGGTAGGACGGATCAGCACTTTCTCCATGTTCTGAAAAGTAGAGAATTTCAAAAGCATAAGTGATTGATAAAAGTAAAGCTGTGCTAATTAGCAATGGCTGAATAAAACTCATTAGTAAAGGGTGAGTGATATGCTGGCAGGTCAACCCTCCAGGCTCTGATCAGTTTAATTTGGTTTAATTGATATTCATGGGCTTCATTAAGCAATTTTCTTAATGATTTTCCTATCATCTGACAAACAGGGCCAGCCAAGAGAGGGGGACAGTGAAAGAGGAGAGGACAGAGGAAATCTGATTAAAGGACAGAGAAACAAGAGGAAGAAGAAGAGGGAGAGGAGGAGCTAGAAGGAGGATGGAGGAGGTGAAAGCGTCTCTCATGTTATGTTAGCATTTTTCTCAACCTCCCTCAATTTCTAATGATTATGTCACTGAATGAAAGTGAGCTCTGGTATTGATCATGATGTCTGTGTGAGGTGAGGAGCTGTCAAACGGTTCATGTGAGCCTGTCGGGCCGCTGATGAAGGTCCCTGCAGATCGATGATAATAAATAGCCAATTAGGCAGCTGAGGCGATCTACTGTAAAACACATGAGCACGTGCTGCAGGGAGGCTCATGTGTTGAGTGTTGAGTCTTAGAAGAGTCTTTGTTTTGATATTACATGTCATCTATGTTGCACCAGGCTTTAATTGAAGTAGACATTTACCTATAAATATCTTAAGGTGATAATGGTGGTGGGGATTCAACACGCTCAAGGGTACTTTCACACTTCCACTAAGTCATTGTTTACACCTTCCATATCAACCCACTTCACAACATGATTATCACATTAAACATATAAATATCAGCTAAAAGCAACAGTACTTTTAGGGCCTGATAAATATACAAGTTTTGATTCTAATACATATTATTGAGTACTTTTACTTTTTTACTTCTTTTGGGGAGATTAAAGTCACATCTCATAGACTTTGTGGGTGAGGTGTTAAGAGTCTGTGATGTGGATGAAGTCATAAATATACAGAATTTTAAGTGTGAAAAGTTTTTTGCACTCCTGTGGGAAAACATAATTATCAGGACACATTTTCAAATTGCATTAATTTAGTTTGTCCTCCCTGTACATTTAGTGTTGATACTAATTTGTAGAGATGTTAAATTACCAATAACATTACTGTGAAAGCCTGAACTAAAACCTTTAAGGAGGAATCACCCAGTTCATGCACTCAGAGCAGATGCCCTTTTTTGACTTAATACCAACGCTTCACTGCTCCAAAACAGATGCTCGCATTAAAAGTTATTCTCTTATGCTACCACTGAGGTAATAAAGCTGCAAACATTAAACTATTCTTGGTAATTCATCATTAAACCAGCAAACCCAGATGTAGTGCTATCAGGCAACGCTTCACACATAAAAATCCCAGCAGTAAAGACAATTTATAAAGTATACAGGGCATGTGTTTAAGCGCAAAAACCCATCAAACTATAACTTTAAAAATAAAACAATAAAAAGGATTTAACTCATTACCTATAAATACATAAGTTCTCTGAATGAGGACTAGAAGGAACAGATGATATCAAATCTCCTTTTATAAGACACTGTATCTACAAAAAGCCTTGAGCTCTGTCGACCTGGCTTCCCCTCTCACCTTCTCCAGCTGTCCAGACACTGGGATGAGTTTGGGAGGCGGCCCTCCAATGTTGCCGTTCATAGCCCTGTTGTCCCTTTGGTCCTCAGAGTCACTGCAGGGGCTTGCAGCTGTTAGCGCCTGGTTCTCTTTCCAGTCTCCAGCGACCACCTCATCACTCACATGCACAAAGTTCCCATTTGAGACACCAACACCACCTACAGCACCTGTAACTGCTCCACCACCGCCACCGCCTGCCCCAGCAGAGTTGCCCGGCCTGGGCTGCTTCTTGGTGGGCAGCGGTGGAGGTAGAACCTGGGCCTGGGGGAGCGTTTGGTTGCTGATAACCAGCAGCTGCTCCAGGGAGCTTGTACTACGGAGGGTGTTATCCTGAAGCCGGAAGCAGCTGGTGGCTGGAGTGGAGCGGCGTGCCTTGGCGGTGAACTCGCTTGCAGCCCGGCAGTGTCTCTCTTGGTATGTCCGGCCTGATATGAGGCTGCTAACTGACCCCATGGCTGTCCCAGAGCTGCAGGGACCACAGGGTCCAGGGCAGGGGCCGGAGGGGGAGTGGGACGATAGTGGCCGGCACTGCTGGACGTCGAGACCTGGGTTGGGGTGGTCAGTCACAGTGACAGGAAGTGCCTGTACCAGAGCCATGGCACCCCGACAGCGTCAGACACACCACACACTCTGATAAGAAAGAGAGAAAAAAGACTTTTAAGTTCATGCTCCATGTGCAACAAGTGAGACAATTACACATAATCTACTGGAAAGGCTTTTCATTTCATATTTATTCAAGAAAATACTTTAATCTAATTGCATTCGATGTCACGGCTGAGTTTATGGCCCTTTAGCCAGCTCGCAAATTATTTATTCCTTCTTTTCTGACTGATTCATTATTTAAGAAATTGACTCGACATAGAAAAAAGGCCGGCATCATTATGAGTCCAAAAAGTATTCTGCACAGATCTTGTGTGTGCTGAGAGCTGCTTATAATCAACATTTCATCCATGAGCAGATAGTTTTCTTATCGCTTCAAAATCCTAACAAAGTTATAATCATTTTTAAAGATTTATTTCACCAGAAGTAACCCTAATGGAATATCACAGCAAGACAAGACGTGTGGGAAGAAGATGATTGAAGTATTGAGTTGAGCCAGCTGCTGCTGCAGTGACTGTAGTCCCTGTGTCAAGTGGAGACTTGCAGTGTAGGGAAAATGAAAGCAATGGGGAGTTCTAGAAACTGCAGTTCCTGGAGTGTCCACTTGAGGCCTGCTCCAAAAGCCAATGAGGTCCCATTGGGTCCCATGTTGAAGTACCCGTAAGCATGATTACAATCAAACAGCTTCCATCTATGTCACTGATTTATTTGTTTGTCTCAGAAAGGACACCATGAGTGTTCACTGACTATGGGGCCAACGCATTCGGAGCTCCACCTACTGACTGGATGCAGTACAACACAAAACATCCCCCTTTTTCATATGAATAAATACAACATTGGTCAACATATAATTAAAAACAGTCTTGTTATGCTGATTATGTGCAAGTTTCCATTTTTCTGACAAGTTCAGCTTCATTAATTTGTTATTAGGTGTTTAAAAAAACCTTGACTGACAACATAATAATCTGTTCTGCAGCAACCAACCTAAGATGTCCTTGCTGTTTTATCGGACAGTTTGTGTTTTTTGGTAAATATGGTTTGTTACATTTCATGGCTGAAATTAATTTTTTATAACTCACCTATTTTGATCATATCAAAGCTAAGAGTTATGAGTAAATTTGCAAAACTAGGAACATGGCACGTTGGCTGACTGTGGATGCACTGAACCTTTTTCAACTGTTGTTTGTAAGTTGATGCAATGATAGTTTGGGACAGCAACTTCTAATATGGCAACTACCTCTACTGGCATTTATAATGAGACCAGTATGTGTGCATGTTTCTTACAGCCTATGCTTTGTGAATAGGGAATAAAACTCCTGAGTTAAACCAGCACTGCTTTAAGCGTAGTCTTGATAGATATGTTCGCATTAGTAAACTGAGGAAAGTTTAAAAATTAAAGCAACCTCTTTTGCGACAGGAGGTTTAATTGTTTATCGAATTCAATTCTGTTGCGACTCGCAAAACTCATTAGCTGCGGCCACTTTACAGCTGTTTATCCAAAACATTTCCCCAGGGGGGGAACAGGACCCCCCCAGCGAAGCCCCACCCATCATTAAATACACACTACATCTCTTGTGATACTGATGCTCATTGTCAATGCCGTTAATGAGTCTGTTTGAGAAATAGTGGGTGGGTGGATTCAGTAAAGACTCAGGATGAAACAGACGCAGGGAGAGCGAGCGAGTCACGGTCATCACCATGTGCAGCTGCTCTGTGATTTTCCTGGACGTCCCCCGTCTGAACCTGGGGAGCAGTCATCTGTGTTCTGTTTCTAAAAAGGTTTGAAAACTCACTGTTTCGTGATCACAATGCTCACGGTCCTATCAAAACATCTTTGAAGGCAGAATCAAAGCCTAGCCCGGTCTGTGCACTATTTTTAGGAGGACAGTGTGGATACATAATATTAACACAGTAAGAGGCAGCAGATTAAGTCTTCCATTTGCAGATAGTATTATCAGTGTTAGATGCCCCCGGGGGACAGAGAGGGGACACATATCCTCAGCATGTCGTGCCAAACCCAAATCCGTCTGGCCAAGTGGAATAATCTGTGCCAGCCATGGCTGCACACAGTCTGCCTGGGCTCAAACAATAATACCCGCAAAGCACCGTGAAGGTAAATGAACATCAACACACACACCCACACGTGACTGTAGAGATACAAGATGATGAACACGACTTTTTGTCACACTGAATCATAACAGATTGCAGTTTATTGCAGGATGCCTCTGAGTTTGTGCGATGAAAATCTTTCACGTTCACAAATAAACCAGAAACATTAAAGTGCAGCGCTCCTTTATGTAATAACAGCAACAACAAAGCTGAGGGCCTAAATGTGCTCTGAAACAAAGTGAAGTCAGACAGTCAAACAGAGTTCAAAACACTTAGAGGAGGCACTTAAGGCTGAGACATGTATAAGGTAATTTGTTTGTCTCATCACGAAAGAAAAGACCAAACTTCTTTCACATGGGAGCAGTAAAGGTAAGATGAATCGTACCAACAGGGTGAGTTTGTAACTTTCAATCTCCCCTCAGAGGGCGGCATTTCAAACTTGTTTGTCTATGTGATAACAGCAAACAGTGGTTGTGGCAGCTCTACAAAATAGAGCTGCCAGTTTCCAATTTCTGCACTCTTTGCTCTTGTTCAACTTTAATGGCCATGGTTGTGTGTTTTGACAGAGACAACTTCAAACTTGTTAAAACTTTTTCCAAGTTTTATAGGTGGATTCGACTCAGAGCTGTTATGTTAAGGAGTTTCACAAGTTTAGCAGGTAGCACATTGTTGAACTATCAGAGCTCCAGAGCAAAACAACACTATAAATGCCCTCAGAGACAGACTGCCCCAGTCTTATTTGCTTATTAACCTTTATCTGTGGCCTAAATGAGCCTTTTGCTCTCCTACGAGGTTAGATAATTATCCACAGCTTGCAAAGTGTTTAATTTTAAGAGTTGAAAACCCTAAGGATGTTTGTCCTGGATGTGGAAAATGAAAAATGAAAGCATTAAAAAAATTTATAGTAGTATATGAGAGTTGTTGTTACAGTCATTTAAATAAAAAGTAATGAGTGGGCAGTGGGTGGTGATGTGAATTAGTACAGTAAACACAGTAAAACTAACATTTTTGCCACAGTGTCAACAGGCAGAAGTTAAATATGCCACTCTCGTTTGTCCACAGATTGATTTGATTTAACATGAGTTGTTAATCCCTGATGCTGCTTTTACTATTGACAGGTAATCACAAATATTTTAGGGTTTTTACTAATCATAAATGTTCAACACAGCTGGGTTTTGGTGCCTCGACCTGAGCGTTTGGTGTAATCTTTTATATGTAGTGATCAGGGAGGTTCATTTACTATAATTCAATGAGTCTTTCTCTGAGTACGTGACAGGGAATGAAGGGGATTTACAGAGAAAGGGAACACTTCATGAGTTCACACGAGTCAAAGAGATAAAGATATGTGTGGTATGTGATCACTTCCCATGCCAAAATAATCACGCCTCACAACCTCCTTTCACCTTTTATCCACCCGTTCCCACCTCTCCTCCCCTCCCAGCCCGGACAAGGACCTCTCAGGCAGGGATAATAGAATTAACAACCCCTTGAGACCGTCAACCGTGACCCCCCGCGCTCTAACCCTCTGACCCCCTGATGAGAGTAGGGGAGCTGGTCTGATTCTCTCCTCCCAACCCTGTGACCTCCAAGGGTCTGGTTTTGTTCTGGCTACTCCGGCAACAAATCCCAAAAGCTAATTTTCTCCCTCTGATGTTACTCACTGGTTGTTCCTTAAAAAGTTATTGAGGCCGCCCTCTCTTACTCCCACTGCATTCTTCCGACAAAGTGAAAATACTACCATCCCTACATCCACCCTCACCTCCACCTCCACCTTCCTCATTACATGCATCCTTTTCTGCTGTCAGCAGCACAAGACAGGAAGAGAAAAAACACAGCCACCACTAAAAATAGAAAGCATCTCAAGTGCCTGAAATCACTCTGATAGTCTTTCATGAGCCGTTCTCTCGGTGAGGTATTTGATTCTGCGTTCAAAAATAACTCCCGTAGTGTTGCAGCCAGCTCTTACGGGGTCAACCTGGGGCCACTTTACACCACATCCTGACACTCTAAAACTATTAAATGATGCTGAATGGCTTAAAGAGGCCCCACTGCCTCTAACAGGAGCCGTGAATACACCGAGGGGGTTGTGGGAGTTCGCCCTCCACATGCTACCGTCCAGCCCCCTGTATGAGACTGAGCAGGGCTGACAGAAGAAAGAAGTTCCCAGGTAGCTTTCTAACAAGATCCAGAAGTGGGGTTTGTGACAGGGAAATAATCCCGTTATGATAAGTCTGTTAATAACGAGGGGGAGAGGAAACCCTTTCTTCTGTAGCCGGAGATCACGATTTGCAATCACACGCAACCTCTGAGCTGTTCCGGAGACTCTGCTGGGCCCAGAGTCAGAAAAGTGAAAACCCAGCAGAAGTGGGTTTAGGAGTAAGAACACAAAGGCAGGCTGGTACGAGGAGGGGGAGTGGCAGTGTTGGTGGTGAGATTTCAGGGGAATTCCAATACCAGGTAGTCCAAAGAGAGGCTCCAAAGAGGCCTGAGATCTTAGAAAACGCTGAGCGTCTATAATCCTGTTTGGACACTTTCTTGGCCAACACACAGACACAGAGGTCTGAACACCTTAAGATCTCCTCAAAGAGAATAAAAAGTGACAGCAGACATCATTTCCTATCTCAACCATCTCCTCTATACTGCTGAGCAATGAAAATGTTACTTGTGTCAATTTTCTCTTCTTCTCTTATCTTTTCCCCTCCATACGTCTCTCTGATGTTTTAATGATAAGATGCTGACTAAATCTGACAGCAGGATCAAATCTTTGGTCTTCTGGTTTAGGAAAGACTTCCACGAGTTTTAAGTTTCAGCCATTTCTATAAAAAAACAAAAAACTAAAGGGTCACCTGTCCTTTTAAACGAAAAGTTTATGGGTGCAAACTCTCAAA